TTTCAATTTAAAATCGAGGGAGTTGCAAATAATGCAACTAACTTGAGCATCACAATCTTTTCTATCCACCTGTATTCATAACTTACTATCTTTTTGCGAAGAGAAACAAATACACATTTGATATTTCTATGGAAGACTGATATGATGGAAAGTTCCAAACATCCAAACAAAGCTTTGATGGTGAAAATTAAAAAAAAAAAAAACACAAATTGTGGAGAGGGAGAATGTCTGAAAACTGTACTTCATCGTGGTGGGATGAGTAAAAGCAGAAAAACATGCATCAGGGTCTCCACATCCTTTATTAATAATTTAAATATGTGATTAAATTATTTACGGTTCTTCAAAAATATTGCTTTAAATGATGATTCTCTATCACCTTAGTTTCCTTTTCCATATTGTCTAGTTAAATTGTGGAGCAACAGGTGACTCTTTCGTTCCACAGTTACACTTTTTATCTTCTAAAGCAGTTCTGCTTCTGGGTATCTTTTATGCATTCTCCATAAACGGAATTTTTTTTATTTGATTTGATAAGAAAAGATTTTCCAACAAAATGTCAATTGCATCAATCAAATCATTTGTTGTTGCGACGGCAAAACATGATCAACTAGGACCATGTCACAGTCTTTAACTAAGCATGTGATCATTTTTTTCGAAACGAGAAATCGTTTCAATCAATGGCTACATTAAACAGAGTGAGAATTTTACAATTCAAATATGATAAGCTTATCTGGTTTGAAAAAGATTATCTTAATAATGGGATGAGGAAAATGAATGGCTAGCGTTACAAGAAAGAGACAAAAAGGTGGGGATTTTGGTACACCAATTGAAATGTGCCGACTGTGAGCAAAAGTTATGGCATTATAATTATAATGGTATGAAGATTGAAGGAAGAGTAAGAGGGTGATAGCAAGAAGATGAACCAAAAGTAGGACTTGTACTGTGAGTGGGAGCAGATATTAGGACGCTGTCTGTACCATTGAGTGTTGACGTTGGGAAAGACAAGGACCACGTAAAGATTTCATGCACGTGTATCATTTTTCTTCACCCCTTCTTCTACCTTTGCTTCTGTTTTCACACTAAATTCTCACATAAAATTTCTTCTGTGCTTGTCGTCTCATGAAATACATCTTTTGAGATATAAATGATGTTTTGTTTTTCGTGAATGAATCATACTTTGGTAACTTACGGTCTGTATACACACAACTTTCTCCTTATAAACTTAACTAGTCTTAAAAGTACTTATGTAGATTTGTGTTAAATTATTCAAAATCATAATAATTACCACTTAAAAAATAATTTTAATCTATAATTTATTTATCGTTAAACAATTTGAGGATAATTTGAGTGAAATAATAATAATAATAATAATAATAATAATAATAATAATAATAATAATAATAATAATAAATTATGCTGAATTTTATCACTAATTTATATTTTAAAAAAAATCAAAATACAGATCATTTCGTTTAAATTACCTATAATCAAAATCAATTTTATAAGTGCTCACCTTAACATACAATATATGTAAATGGGCATCAATTTGATCTTGTTCAAGATTTAAACACTAATTTAGCCTTTTTCAAAATTTCAAACATTAATTTGACTTTTTCGCTATATAATGTTTGAAACTACGATAAAATCTTATTCGCAGGTGAGAATGTCTCAACCAGAATTTACCATAATAAAATATGAAAATGGATTCGTTTCTTCAAAAATATTTTCAAATATCGATAAAACCTCACTTATAGAATACTTTCATAAAGGAGAAAAATAGAAATGATAGATAAGATCTATTTCTCCAATAATACGACCCAAAAATGAAATTAGTAGCAAAAATAAAATGGAATTCGAGATCCTATAATTCGACATTACCAATTACTTAAATACAATTGAGATTAATATAGCTATAGATTGTCCTCAATATTTTGGTTCAACAATTTTAATCTTATTACGCGCAACAAGGGCAATGTTAATTATTATAAGGAAGTAGGCGTATAGTGTAGAGAGAGAGAACATGGGCTCAAGTATTTTGGACTGAATAATTTGCCCTAAAAGGAAACAAATAAACAGAAGTCATAGAGGCCGATCTATTTCTTCTTGCACCTCCATTCTTTCTTCATCTACCCCATTTTATTATCTTGATGCAAATAATTTCTCAAAAACTCATTCCAAAATTCTTTTAGATTGATCTTTTGAACCTTTCCAAAAAGATGGAATCAACTTTTTAGAAATATATTCTAAAAAAACTAATTCCATACCATTTCTAGAAAATTTCCAGAACATATTTTTGGAAAATACAATTCCAATTTTTTTTTTAAATTATGTTTTTCAGAAAGCATTCTAAAAAAATTTAATCTGAAAATAAATTTTGAATGGTTAGATCTAAAGTACATTTTCAAAAAACACAATCTAAAAATAAATCACAAATACAAATCAAATTCGTTTTTATACAAATTTTTTTAATGCACAACCTATTATAAAATTCAAAGCAAAAAAATCATAGGTGCAGCAAACGAAGATGCAAGTGCTAGTATAGGGATGTTGAAGAAATTATTGAAGTATAGGAAGATGCAGTCGAAAAACTTGCTTCATATTAATTTAAAGCCCTTTAACATGATCAATTTGATCATGTTCGCGTTTTCATAATATTTCCTTTTCCCTCTGAATTTCTTTAGGCGTTCTAACATTCACGTATGATAAATATCCTTATGAAATTAGCTTCAATCCTAACAAAAAAGTTAGAATTCAGTTATCTATCATCAGTGTTCCTCCCTCTCCCTAAGGATCTTCTTTCGGAGCAGCAATTAATATTGATTAGAGAAAAGAAAACATTTTATTACATATCGAACACTATGTCAAAAAGTAACGGAAATTCTCGCAAGGTAGGTACTTCCTATATGCAGCTAAACGAAGGTCACTCAACTGGTTAAAAGCCAATCCTAGATATCCGAACTTCACAGTAATTCTTAACACCAAAACATACTGTAAAATTCTCGGATTACATTGAGAAAGCAAGGACAGCAGAGTAAATAAACAGATTATTTACAGTCCACCGCAAGGGAAGCAATAAAGGATGCAATCATTAAACACAAATAGTTAAATAATGTTGACAAGTCATAATCTATTTGTTGAATGGGACTCATCCAAAAGCAGCATGCTTATAGCTTGTAAGTGAAGGTCTAAAATAAAATAATTAAAGAGTAACAAATAGAGTTGAACAAAATCAAAAGTACCATCTTCACCATATGTATTTTCACTGCCTCTTTAAAAAAATCCTCCTAGATAGCCATCCATCAATTTGACTAGGAAGAAAATCTACAAAATCTTTGATTGAACGTGATTGTGATTTTATGACTACAACTATATGACTGGCAGGATACATTTTCTGAATTAGATTGGTTAAACCCCGTAGTTTGAATGAGGAAATGTTCTTTATATATTTTTAAATACTCTCGAATATAACATAAACTGCAAGCATTATTTAAATTTAATAACAAATCAACTGGTTGCACATATAGGATAGACTAGGGTACCATATAACTTCAACCTCCGTAATCAACTGTTGAAGCAAGGCCAACGGATTCAGGTTAGGAATAGGATCCGTGAAATCATGTTTAAAACTATATAAAACTTGAGGCATCAATTAAGTCCTCATAGAAAGTGATTTACATAATCCAGTTGCTGAGTTATAGCCATGGTTAATCACCATGTTAGAATTTACAGAAAAATTTAGAAAGGTTCTTTTTTAGCATATAACAAACATAAGGGCCTTTATTTTGTGTAAGATTAAATTTGATTTACAAGACCAAAGCATGCATTTTAACTTTCACAACAATAACGAACCAATAATTATCTAAGAATGATGCTCAAAATTTAAATCGTTTTAAACATTACTTACCCTAAAAGAGCTTCCTGGACCACCTCTTAGATGCCGGGGCCTATTGCAAAAGTCAAATGCCAAGAACCCCTGGTGGAGATCAAGAATGCAGACGTAACAACGAACTCAAGGATTAGTACTGGAGCTCATGATTGAAGATTTAAGGTTCAATCGCGTGCAGGTAGTGCTAACTGCTATGTTCATCCCTGACAAAATTATCATCAAATTATCCTTTCATATTTACCATTGTAAAGAGGCAATGGAAATAAATAACAATGCACAACGCACTCAAATTAGTAATTTCCTTCCCTCTTATGCACACACAATTCAATTTAAAATTCTTTGTTGAAAATCATCCACAAACTTCACACTCTCGATGATGTTATAGAGAACCAATATCCATGTATATACATTAATGACAGTATTCTTATAAACATTAATACCAATAACATGTAAAGTATTATATGATTAGTTGATCACTGAGCAGTTATTAAATATAAAAAATGAAAACAAACATGTATTGTCGTCAATGGTGTGCAGTAGAAACTAAAACTGAGCTACTAAGAATCAAAAGAACAGTTAGGAAAATTGAAGGTGATGGAAATGGGAGAATTTCCTCTTAAAAATACAGGATATTGTTATATAACATGGGTAAAAACATGTAAAGCTTTTGAAATATGCATAATCAATCATAATTCAAATTTACCTTAAGAAAGTAGAAATTTCCTCTGCCAAAATATTGAGTTACATACAGCATATGTTAACAAACAATATTTAGCCCCGATTTCCCAGCAATTTATGGGAGCATATTTTTGGACCCTTCCATTCAAAGCCCAAACCTGCTCATCCAATGTCAACTAGTGATCAATGAATTCAGAGTATACATGTCTCAAAGTCCAAAACGTCTAAAATTGCGTTGCTATGTCACAAGAAATTTTCATCAAAATTATGTTCTAGCCTGTACTTCTAACGTAGTATTCTCACGTATGGAGTCTTGAACCATATCATGTTTTTTTCCTGTGTTTAAAAATCTTTTAAAATGAATACAAGTGCACATTACATTGCTAGCACCTTTCCTTTTAGAAACAGTTAAAGTACAGCAGACCAACTGATTGAGGTTTTACCAATTGTCCTTGCAAGAACACTTTCCACCAAAGAAATGATGAAATCTGTTTGAATCTCTCATTATGATTGGTCGTCCTATAGTAATTGACGCATACTTCATAAATACATGGCAGTCATTACAGACTCGTATATTCTTTATGATCCGAATTGGTGCAACCCCATTGGGTTTTCTAATTAAAGCAAATGCAAGAGCAAGTTTCTCACTGTGGTAGGAAATGGATCTAAATTTTTCTTCCTCTCCCACATTGTGTAGGACAATGTTTGTATCTGGATTATACCCAATTTGTTGCAATATTGAGATCAGTCTGTGCAATTCTCCATAAATTTTTCCCACTTCTGGATGAGAGTGATCTTCTGAAACAAATCTATGGACTTCATTCCCAACCTCAACCGAACTGTAAGCTGCAAACTTCTTTACACTCTTTTCCTTCATGAGTGATCTTACAACAGCTACATCTGTCCATCTTCCACAAGCAGCATACAAGTTAGAAAGCATGACATAAGGTCCAGCATCATGTGGATCCAATTCAAAGAGATGACTAGCTGCCAACTCTGCACTCTTTAGGTCAGCTTTGGCACAAACAGATAGTAAGGAGGACCAAATACGGTAATTTGGTTCATGAGGCATACCTTGGATTAGATCAACTGCTTTATCAATTCTACCTGAACGACCAAGGAGAGTGACCATACATGCATAGTGATCCAATGTGGGTGTCATTCCTTGTTCACTGATTGAATCGAAATACTTCTGTCCTTCTTTTACCATATCAGCATTGATACAAGCAGATAAGACAACCACAAAAGTAATATTATCTGGTTTGAAATTTTCTTGTTGCATTCTTTCATACAGACCCAAAGCTTCCGGAACCCGTCCATTTTGTGCATAACCCAGAATCATGGCATTCCAAGCAATCACATTCCTAATAAGCATAGTTTCAAAAATGATCAAAGCATCCAAAGTGACTCCACATTTGCAGTACATATCAACAAGAGCACTTGATACAAGCATGTCATTATCAACACCCACTAAAATTACTTTTCCATGGACGACTTGACCGTAACACAAAGAAGCTAGTTTGGCACAGGAGCTAACAACACTAGAAATGGTGTAACTGTCAGGTTTAACATTCCTACGTAGCATGTCACCAAACAACATCAAAGCATCCTCCTCTCTTCCATTTTGAGCATAACCAACTATCATTGTTGTCCAACAAATTTCATCTTTTTTTGGTAATTTGTTAAATATATTTCTTGCATCATCTACACGTCCACATTGAAAGTAAGCATTGAGAACATTTGAAACTGTAACTATGTCAGGTTTCACAGCTGACAACTGCATTTCATCAAACAAATGAATGCACTCATCTGGGTCTCCCACTTTTACATACCCAGAAATCATGAGATTCCATGAAACAACATTTTTATTAATCATTTGATCAAACAACCACCGGGCCCTCTCTATATCACCACATTTGGCATACATATCAGTCACAGCATTCCATAGAAAAGTATTTTCCCCCAAATCAGTAACAGCAATCTTCCCATGAATCTGTTTCCCATGCCTCAAATCCAAAAGCTGAGAACATGCTTGCAATGCTTTCACATAGGAGTAATGGGTAGGCTGAAACCCCTCTTCCTGCATTCTCATTAGAACTTTCAATGCTTTGCCTGAATGCCCATTACTAGCAAAACATGCAATTAATGTGTTATATGAAACAGAATTGCGACAAGGCATTTGATCAAAGACAACATGTAAATTCTCAACCATACCCATTTTTGCATAAGCAGAAAGCAAGGCGTTCCAAGAATAAATGTCTCTCTTAGTCATGTTATCAAACACGTTTTGAGCATCTGCGAGCTTGCCAAATTTGGCATACAAATGGAGGAGTTGGTTATGGATGAAGGAGTCTTTGGGTTGAAAAAGGTGGAGTTCCATGTGAGACTGCAGTCTCTTTCCTTGAATGAAGTCATTAGCTCGAGCACAATGAAGCACAAGACGAGTGTAATCATCAAAAGAAGCTGGTCCATTAGAGTACAGCAGATCTATGGCTTGGTGAAGCTTTTGCTTGACCTTCATTTTCTGTTTGGCCAACTCAGCCTCTCCAACAACCACCCGGTTTGGGTTCAATCAACTTCAGACCATTTCTATATGCCAGTGTATGGAACTTTAACCAAAAGCATTATTCAGTATTGAATTTTGTGTCTATATGTGTAAAGTTATGCGCACTCCTAGACCATCAACAAATAAAAGTAGTAAAGCAATTAAACCCTTTTACAATGTATATTATAGTTGTTGGAAATAACGGCAAGTGTCCCGAGGAAATAGTATAATCATGTATCTCATGTTAAGTTTTAGCTGTTACGTACATTATTTGCTTTGCCAATGTATTTATTTCTCTGAAGATTCTGTGAACATTTTTAACCTACACGACACAGGCCATGTATGATTCTTTGTTTTGGGTGTGTGTGATACATTTCTGATGACCAGGATATAAATTTTAATGCCAAGAAAACTATTATTTCCGATTATACTTTTTCCTTTATAAAACCTCAACATATACATCAACATGATAAGAAAAATTTCTACAATATTTTACTTTCACATCATATTCTTTCTTCCTTATCAATCTCGTAAAATTACTGTAAATGACTACATCAACTCCAGCATCATATGGAAATCATTTGATATCATCATGTAAAATCATCAAATTGGAAAGATACTCCATCAAATAGAGGGACCCAAACTGAAATCCATACAAATTACATACTATACAAAACTTAACTTATTATATGTCAACAATGAAAACAACTTCAAATTTGGTAGCCCGTACTGGAGCCTTGCTTTCTACTAAAATATATAAATCTAGGATTGCCAACCAAAGTCATATATAGCAATATACAACAATTGTGTCTTTCCTTAGTAAGTTGCACAGCATGCTTACTAGAGTATTACTATTTAGGCAAAAAAAAGCATACAAAATTTGAAGTTCAATTTGCAAAGCCCAAATGAAATGAAAAATAAATACCTGTTGCACATAGAAATTTCAATTTGAGATAACTCCGTACCGGCTTCATCAAATATAATTCCTCTAGCTGGTCCGACCGCTATCTCCTCTGTATTTATAGGTTTATAATTGTGAAGGATTCTAACACAATCAATTTGTTGAGGTGATTAAACATGAGAAACATCAAGGCTGAATCAAATTTGCACTACCTGTTGTAACACATTTCGTTCATCTATCAGAGGTATCTCTTGACACTGGATGTCCTGCAACAGTATGTGCACAGACCTCTAGTCCCTAAATCTGCAGATGAATAGCAGTTAAAATGTGAGTAAAAAAGGTTGTTGTTCAAATTTAAAAGTGTAAATTGAGAAACGAATTCAGAAAGAATCTACCGAAACAGGATTGACCGCGGAAACAGACAGTGACGGATGAAGCTCGTGATAGGCTAATAGAACTAGAAAGCAAACGAAGAAAAGTCAAAGGCTAACCATGCGGGTGAGAGCAAAATTAGGTGTTAGGATACCAACGAGTTTGAAGCATTTGGTTGCACGAGTGTGTTGAAGAAAAAAGTACAAAGTTTTGTTAGAGAGAGAAATTTCCCGGAAAAAAAAAAGAACGAAAGAAGGGACGCCATCAACTAAAAATATCATAAAATAAAAATATTTTAAGCATTTTTTATCTTAAGCAGTTAAAATTATATTTTAAAAAATGTTTATTAAATATCTTTATGAAATAATTATTTTTTACTACTATAAACTCTTTTCTTTCTTTTTTTTACTATTTCAAACTATCAATTATAAAATAGATATCTTAAATAGCATTGTATAAAGATCCTTTAAAACGAGAGGAAGAGTACTTGATTGTTTCAAACGTAACATAAGGAAATATAACTCAAATAAATGAAATTTGAAAAAATTAAAACCAATATACTAGTTCTAAGTGCTATCAAACATTTGTAAATAAATCTCAAATTATTTCTCATTTACTTCTTTTGCATTTAAGAATAATTTTGTCTACAGTTCTATACAATTGACCAGTGCTCCTAAGTCAAATGGTCCAACAAATTGTATCCAAAATTTGAAGCAAGTGGAACTTGCTACAAAGACAGTGTAGTGAGGTAAAGTTTCAAATTTGTTTAGACTACGTGTTTAGGAGATTTGCAGGGAGGAGTTAACTTTGAAGTTGTCTTTTAATGAATATTTCTTCCCTTAAAATTCTAAATAAGAATGGCTGAAGCATTTTATATCTTATAAGTTTTACATAACATGACGCTGCTACGCTACCTTGTAAGTCAAGAAGCAACGATAACAAACCCAATCTTCAAACAAACTCACTCTCTCACACACTCAACATCGCAAATTTCCTTTCATTATCTGCGCCAACTAAACAAAGCGGAGCAATGCTAATCGACAAGAGTCGTTGCGTTGCCAGACACCATGCACGACCACGTTCTTGTCGAGTTCGAAGACCTTCCTCCTTCCGCTTTCGCCCACGCGGCTCCCAACTTATCCGAATCAGAGCTCCGGGAAACGGCCTACGAGATCCTCGTCGGAGCCTGCCGGAGTTCGGGGCCGAAGCCGTTAACGTTCGTCTCGCACTCTGACTCTAACAGAGGAGATAAACGGAACCCTTCACCGTCCTTGTACAGGTCGCTGACTGTGACGGCGTCGAGCGAGGTGAAGAAGAAGCTGGGACTTAAAACGACGTCGTCGCGGAGGAATCGAAGGGCGGCGACGACGGGGGAGCTGATGAGAGTGCAGATGAAAGTGACGGAAGTTACTGACACTCGGGTCAGACGTGCCCTCCTCAGAGTTGCTCCTGGCCAGGTCTTTCTTTCTGCTCCAAACTTTTAGTTAATTGACCTTTTATTATTTTGCTATCAAATAAAAACATTGAGTTTAAACTCCATTGTTAGGTAACTTAAGGGATCTAATTATCTGTACTTAGATATTGTTATGTTGATAGAAATTTTTGAAGGAACATAACACGATGAAAATGATGTTTTTTTATTTATTCCTTAATTGCTTTTTGTTCTTTAATTTGTTATTGAACGAATAAAACCCGGTTGGGCTCGTAATAATCTCTGGTGATAGATTTTCAAACAAGATGGTGCTACGCATAATAGCTGACCTGCGGTTGAAAAGTACTATTTTTTCTACTATTTATTCATTTTCTGCATTTACAAAAGGGAATACATAATGAGTGACTTGCCTTGGCTACTTTTGTTCATCGATCGATGAATTATGTTGGGCTAGAAAGAAGGTTACATTTGTTTTATTCTTTAATGAATAAGTGGCATTGAAATGCGTGGACCAAAGTCTGAAAGTTCATGTCGTTTATTCATTTAATGGTAGCAAGCTTAGTCGATCTTTGTTCTTGAAATAGCTTGGAAGACGAATAGAATCGATGGTTCTGCCGCTAGAGCTAATGCAACAGCTTAAGTGTTCAGATTTTTCTAGTGAACAAGAGTACGAGGCTTGGCTAAGGAGGAATTTGAAGGTTCTTGAAGCAGGACTTCTCTTGCATCCTCGCCTGCCGTTAGACAAGACAGATTTTAGTGCACTGAGCCTGCAGCAAATAATCCATGGCGGCCTCGAGAAGCCCATGGATATTGGAAAAGACAATGAATCAATGCATGCACTTCGGAATGTTGCTATGTCTCTTGCTTGTAGGTCATTTGAGGGGTCTGTTCCTGATACATGCCATTGGGCTGATGGGTTTCCATTCAACCTTAGGATCTACCAAACTCTGCTAGAAGCATGTTTTGATAATCATGAAGAAAACAATGTGATAGAAGAGGTTGACGAGGTCTTAGAACTCATTAAGACAACCTGGGTTATGCTTGGAATGAATGAGATGCTGCACAATGTTTGTTTTTCTTGGACCTTGTTTCAACGGTATGTTGCCACTGGTCAAGTGGAAAATGATCTGCTGTTAGCATCGAGTAGTCTGCTGGCAGAAGCTGAGAAAGATGCCAATATGATGAAGGATCCATTTTACTCAAAATCCTTGAGCTACGCATTGAATTTTATATTAAATTGGGCAGAAGAAAGGCTCCTTGCCTACCATGATATTTTCCATGATGGTAATATTGAGTCAATGCAAAGTGTTGTTTCTCTTGCAATATCATCAGCAAAGATATTGGTAGGAGATATCTCTCTTGAGCGTAGTAGGATGAGGAAAGAAGCTGATATACCCTCCACCAGAGTTGAAAATTACATCACATCATCATTGCATGCTGTTTTTATTCAGGCAAGTTCAACCCTTCAAACTTCCCTCCTTCAGCACACAATCTCATTTTCCTTCTTGAGGTCAATTTTCATGTAGTCTTAAGATTTTTAGACTAAATTATGTAAACTGTAACTTAAAAAAAAAAAATTATAAAATTCAATAAATTTAATATATATGACTGATAAAATCACAATGTAAAATACATTTACTCTACTGATGCATCATAATTACATTGTTTGCAATGGCAATTATAACTTAATTACATATTTAACTCCCTTTAATCTTTCTTTCGAGCAGAAACTGGAGAAACTGGATCCCCGCAACAGCAATTATGTACCTAGACAACACGATAACGTCTTTCCAAGTCTTTCAGTTCTTGCGCGAGACATCAGCGAACTGGCTTTTGAGGAGAAAGCAATGTTTAGTCCAATACTGAAGAGGTGGCATTCACTTGCTGCAGGTGTTGCTGTTGCTACCCTTCATGTATGTTATGGTCATGAGTTGAAGCAATATATCAGGAGTGTTACGGAGTTGACTCCTGATACTGTTGAAACGCTGATGGCTGCTGATAAATTGGAGAAAGATCTGGTACATATAGCAGTGGAAGATTCGGTTGACAGTGACGATGGTGGGAAATCCGTTATACGGGAGATGTATCCTTATGAGGCTGAAGCTGTAATTATCAATCTGGTCAAGTCATGGATCAAGAACAGAGTGGACAGACTAGAGGAATGTGTCGACAGAAATCTACAAGAAGAGGTATACCAGATTTTGCTGCTGACAATATAATCAATGTAAACAATTTTCTCTAAAATATGTTAGTTTATCTTCCCTTTTTCCTTTATGAAGATAAATTTTAAAAAATACAAGATAACAGGCCAACTAATATGGACCAAATTAGCAAAAGCCTAAAATTAAAAGAAAAAAAAAAAAAAAAAAAAATATATATATATATATATATATATATATATATATATATATATATATATATATATATATATATATATTCAATGCATGATTACCAAATATATTTTTTTGGTATTTTCTTCTGCTAATGCTCGTCAAAAAGAAACTTGACGACATCTTCGGAAAGAAGTATAAGCTAAACTACTTGTTAAAACGAGGTTATTGTGAATCAAACAATTGAAATCTAGGATTTTTTTTAATGAGTAATTACTGTAACATGAAATGCATTTTTTCTTTTCTTGTATTTTTTTTTTTTTTTTTTTTGCGGGTGCTGGGTATCAAGTTCTTCTCTTCTACAAACTTGATTTTGAAGTTCAATAAAGCTTTACACTTGATATCTTGCTCTAATATACCTTAATTTTGTTTTTTTCATGATAAATGACCCCACTTCATCCTTTTTCTGCAGATATGGATTCCACGTGCAAATAAGGAGTGTTTCGCTCCTTCCGCTCTTGAAATTCTAGGAATCATAGATGACTCTCTTCAAGCGTTCTTTCTGTTGCCAATACCCATGCATGCAGTTTTGCTTCCAGAATTGATGTTTGCTCTTGACAAATCTCTCCAACAATACATTTTGAAAGCCAAAGCTGGCTGCGGTATATATTTACTGCATAGCGTTTGATAATCATATGCCTAAAGAGTTACTCAGCAATCCCCTTGATGACCAGACTTTCCTTTCATATGATCATCTGCAGGGAACCGTAATACCTTCATCCCAATCATGCCAGCTTTGACTCGGTGTTCAGCAGGATCAAAATTTCATGGTGTATTCAGAAAAAAAGACAAGTCACAAATAACTCAAAGAAGGGTATTCGATCTTGGAACTACAAACGTAGACAACTCATTTGGATTACCCCAGCTTTGTGTTCGCATAAATACCATGCAGCGCATTGGCATGGGACTAAAGATTTTGGAAAAGAGGACAATTGCCCGTCTTGGGAATTCTAAATCCACAAAAGATGATGGTACGGAGAAGAGGTTGAAGTTCAAGCTTTCTAAAGCTGCTTCTCTGGAAGGTATCCGTCAACTCTCCGAGGCCATGGCATACAAATTGATTATCCAGGATCTCTGTCATGTTCTTTGGGATGGCCTATATGTTGGTGAAGTTTCATCCACTAGAATTGAACCTTTTCTAGAGGAGCTTAACCAATGCTTGAAGATAATATTGTCCACCGTGCATGACAGAGTAATAACGCATGTGGTTACTGATGTAATGAAGGCTTCTTTTGATGGTTTCTTGTTGGTTTTGTTAGCTGGGGGTCCAGCACGAGCTTTTTCTCTTGAAGACCATGTTATTATTGATGAGGACTTTAAGCTTCTTGCTGATTTATTCTGGTCCAATGGAAAGGGTTTAACTGCTGATTTGATAGAAAAGCATTCTACGTCTGTTAAAGAAGTGCTTCCCCTGTTTCGCAAGGATACTGAGGAATTGATTAAGCTATTCAGTCAGCTTATTCTGGAAATGTATAATCCTGCCATCAAATCCCACTTGCCATTGCCCACGACATCTGGTCAATGGAGTCCAAGAGAACCAAACACTCTTCTGCGAGTATTGTGTCATAGAAATGATGAAACAGCTGCTAAGTTCCTTAAAAAGAACTACAACTTGCCTAAGAAGTCTAACCGCTAATATGTACACCATCCTATGACGTATAATACTCTTAATCGACGAATAACCTCGGGGAAGAAACCAATTTGTTCAGTTGCTGCTACTGTTGTGCCAGGATGCTCTAAGTGAAGACCTAGATGATACAAAATTAGTATTTGTAAATTGTCAGTAATTGTTTGTTTTGGTACTTTTCTCTGCTAAAAGCCCTTTCATATTTTCTTTCCCCTCCAGATGACTCGAGACTGATCACCTATATGAAAATTCTTTATTCAAAAATAAACTTTACACACGGCAATTAGACTGAAAAGGAGAAAAAATATGCAAGTGCTATAATGAGATAAAAAATAAAAATATATAAATACTATGATGTGATAAAAACAAAAATAAGTGATCAAAACTGAATCAATGCTACGGAAAGACAATAAACTTTTTCATATTCTATAAAACAACACTAAAAATAATACAGTTTTGCTTTTTCACGCTGTATGACATTGGTGGGTGCTGGGTGCTTCTTCCTTGAGAAAATGTGAAAAAGTTATTGGATAGGTTGTACAGCCTTACAGATGATCTCTGTGAAGTGGGATTTACCATGATGTTCACATCTTTCAGTTGTTTTAGGGCTTCCCCTTCTTTGCAAGGTAAAAAATATCCTGAAGCATTCATATAGTGTTGATCATGGACAATTCAAGATAGTTTAATAACATGATAAGGGAGAAAATTTGTTTGATTAATTTGGTAAAAATATAACCTTCGAAACAGCAAAAAGAATTTATCCATTTCTTTGTTAAGGGTATTCTCTCCAGGGCAGGCGTAAAACTCGTTTATAATAGGAGTTTGTTCTGGCTGCATTGGGTTGTTCCATTCATTATGGTTGTCCTGCATTAGGTTATACTGTCCATTCTGGATGTCCAGAATTTTTTTATTGTCAATTCTAATATCCATTAATTGGCAAAAAAGTAACCATCCAGCAGAAGAACAACACCAGAGAGGAGAGAGAGTCTCGAAGAATGACAATAAGTATTAACTTGTTACGTATAAGAAATTAGTAAATCAAATTTCAATGAATCTCTAGACGATCATTAATCTACACATATGTATACCACAACTGTAGCTGGAAAATAAACAGCATAAATAAAGCGTTACAATCCTTCTCAAAAATTGGTTGTAAAAAAAATAAAATAAAAAGAAATGTGGTCTGCAAAACAAGAAGATATAACAAGCATATTCATTCGACGGAATGGTCAGGCCACAATATTGTCCAATGCTGATAAGCATATTCTCTTCATTAGGAGGCTGGAGCCAAAATCATCAATCTTTCAAGGCAGAACCTGCATTCATGACACAAATTATCAAAGTGCAACCCGTAACACAACTGTCAAGAATGACAAAGCATACAAAGAACTAAACAAAACTTACAAATGAATTTGCAAGGACAAAGCTTCAAAGTAACTGATTTCATAAAGGCCGGAACCAAGAAAATTCTAAGAAAATACATGAGAATCAATTTGTTGGATGTTGGGGAATAGTTCCCTAAGGAATGCAGTATAGTTGGGTGACTTAGCCTGAAAGAAACAAGCAGAATTAGTTATAAAGAAATACATCATATAGAGAAATGCTAAAGAAGAAAGATCAGACAAGGAATAACATGGAATCTGCCACTGAAGGATAAATACATAGGTCAAAGTAACCTTCCTCCTAGAAACCCAATAGTTCGGAAATAACAAAATCAACAGGGGATGAAAGCTCAAGGCTGAAAATGTAAAACAGCCCAACAGATAAATTACGCTTTTGCAGAGACTCCATTTATATCCAGTCAAAGCCACAAATGGAATTGTGGTAATGGTAACTTATATATTCTACATGAAACTCGGTAAGATTATCCAAACTTCATGCTCTAGAATACCACTCCATAACAAGATTAAGTGACGGTTGAAGCTAATGAAAGACCTACCAAAAGAGTTAAGTAACTCATAATATAATGAAAAAAAAAAAAACATATGGCCCAATTGACAATTATCAAGGTTTCAAGAAGAAAAAGATTCAAATTTGTAAGCTAAAATGAAACCGTACTGATGGGTTATTCTCTAGATATATGGTAGTAAGCTTCTCTTTTGAACCAACAACCGCCTCTGCAACTCCTTCAAGTGATGCTATTTGGTTGTCGTTAAGCCACAAATCTTCCAATCTGTAATAAATTAAACAAAGCAATGAATTTATCAATGTAAGACCTTAAAAGTTTATCAGTTGGGAGGGAAACCGATGGACTAACGGAGCAGTAGACATACTGTGTTAGATTCATAATGTCATCCACTGAAGTTAACTTATTTGACGACACATCTAAAAGCCGGAGATTAACTAATGTCGACAACCCTTCCATTTTTGTAATGCCATTATGGCTCAAGTATAGTTCTTCTAGAGCTATGCAGTCCTGTATCCCAGAATGAAGGTTAGCAACTATACTTTCTCAATTAATAATAAAAATATTTTAATGGTCATGCATGATTTAAAACAGTTTTATAGTTTCATCCAATCACAAATTACCAATGGCATGACTATTATGATTATTATAAAAATCAACAAACTTACCAAACATCGTTGTGTAAAACTATTTTACATAATCAATGCATACTATTTCCTCTAAAAAAGGGGAGGGGGATCAACCTATTCACGTAGTCGTTGTACGAGAAATAAGTTGTAGTTCCTATTCATGTATAAAAAGTTAATTCTGGTCACAAAAAAATCTATATAAAAATTAAAACTTAACAATTTTTGGAGACTGTAACTTCAAATCAGAAAGCTACAGAGAAAAAATTAATAATTTACCTAAAAAAGGACTAACATTCATCAGCAAGTTCAAATTTGTGGATTGAAATTGAGGGCAACCCCATCGGTAGAGACCATACCTCAAATCCCACCATTGAAGTGAGACGATTGCTTTGCAAACTAATCTTCTTAATGCATTTGAGACCACACAGATTCACAACTTTAATTCGATTCCGTCCGAGCCATAGCTCCTGCAAATTCGTGAGGCGCTGCAAATTCTCCATCACCTGAATCACAAACGAAAAAAATAATAATAAACATACCATAGGAAACAAAGAAAACACACACGTGGTAACTTAACTCCATTAATCTCAACACACCCGCAATTTATTGGAGCCAAGTTCAAGAATCTGCAGCTGATGGAAGTGCTCGATCTCCTCGATCTTCGTAACTTCATTCTTCGACACGTAGAGTTCCTTGAGCGTATCGGAGACCTTGGCACAGCCGTGTAGCGAACTAATCTCGTTGAACGAAACATCAAATACCAGAAGCTTCTGGAATATGCTGACGTCAGGAATGTTCCGCAATTGATTATCCCGCAGCACAAGCTCCTGCACGCCAAAAATAACAAAATAAATAATAAAAAAGAATAAAGCAAAAGCGTTTGAGAAAATGTGATTCGTCCATCCAAACAGAGCCTTAAACGAGATACCTCGAGGGAGGCGAGGGCGTTCCAGGAAGAGAGAGGGAGAACGGCGGCGTCGGTGACGAGGTTCTGGCGGAGCGAGAGCTTCTTGAGATGGGGGAGGTTCGCAATGCGCGGGTCCAGCGTGGACAAGCGATTCGCGGTGAGGTCCAACTCGGTGAGAGTCGGAGGCAACTCGACCGAGTCAAGGTCGTGGAGCTGGTAACTGGTGAGATCCAAAATCGTGGATGAAGGATCGTCTTCGTCCTGATCCGGAACCGCTATTGATTCCACTGACTCCTCCATCATCCAATTAAAGAACCTTCCAATTTCACTTTCTGCTTCAACCAAAAGCTCACATTGCCCTGCAATGCAAACTCAAACTCTATGTTTAATTTTTTATTTTTTTTATATCTATCGGGCCGGATGGGCCTAGGATGAGGCCTGCTATTTTGTAAGGGCCTTTCTTCACATCCCTTTTCTCAATACACCGCATTTTTAGTAATTTGATATACCTAAAATGCCCTTGTTCTATTGTAGAAAACCTCACCAGATTTTCCTTCATTTTATTTTTTTTTGGCGCCATTGCCACTGTGGCATTGTTCCTTATTGGAGCACAGCATGTAGCAGCACAAGGACACTACAATGTCTATGCAAAGGTTCTTCCAACTTACATTCCCTCTTCATCCTCGTCGTTTCTCTACGCAAAACTCTGCGTTTCGATCTCTTCAGGATTATTCTGGTAGCGACCCTGTAGCGTTGGTAGCTAATCATTTGGGTAATTGCGCTACTGTGCGGGAACTGAATCGAGTGTATGCCCACGTTTTAAGGACGCACTTTTTTATCTCCAATCCGGCGCCGTTTAATTGGAACAATATTATAAGGTCATACGCCAGGCTAGAGGCTCCACTCAATGCACTTCGCATCCACATTTTAATGTTGCGGAATGGGGTTTTGCCCGATTGTTATACCCTTCCCATTGTTCTCAAGGCTGTGTGCCAAACTTTTGAAGTTAAGCTCGGGAAACAGGTTCACTCCGTTGGTATCAAGCTTGGACTGCAATGTAATGAGTTCTGTGAAACTGGGTTTTTATGTTTGTACTTTAAAGCTGGCGAATTTGGAAGTGCCCGAAGGGTGTTTGATGAAAACCCTGACCCGAAGCTGGGTTCTTGGAATGCGGTAATTGGTGGGCTTTCCCAATGTGGTCTTGCCCGGGATGCGATCAGCGTGTTCCTTGATATGAGGAGGCGGGGATTTGAGCCGGATAGGTTGACCATGATTAGTGTGACTTCGGCTTGTGGAAAGATTGGTGACCTCAACCTGGCTCTCCAGTTGCATAAATGTGTTTTTCAGGTTGAATCTGGTGAGAGAGATGATGTTTTAATGTTGAATTCGCTGATTGATATGTATGGGAAGTGTGGGCGGATGGACCTCGCTTACAAGGTGTTTGCAACTATGGAGGAACGAACTGTGTCGTCGTGGACTTCCATGATTGTGGTGTATGGGATGCATGGACATGTGAATGAAGCGCTTGAATGTTTCTGGCATATGAGGGAGGTTGGGGTGAGGCCAAATTATGTGACTTTTATTGGAGTGCTTAGTGCCTGTGTGCATGGTGGGGCAGTTCGAGAAGGGAGATTTTACTTTGATATGATGAAGAATGTTTATGGCATAGCACCCCAATTGCAGCATTATGGATGTATGGTGGACCTTCTGGGTCGAGCTGGATTGCTTGAGGATGCCAGAAGAATGGTGGAGGAGATGCCTATGAAGCCAAATTCGGTAGTGTGGGGGTGTTTGATGGGTGCGTGTGAAAAATATGGGAATGTGGACATGGCTGAGTGGGTGGCTAAGCATTTGCAAGAATTGGAACCTTGGAGTGATGGGGTTTTGGTGGTATTGTCTAATATCTATGCCAATAGAGGCTTGTGGAAGGAAGTGGAGAGAATAAGATCTGTAATGAAAGAAGGAAGACTTGCTAAGGTTCCTGCTTATAGCCTGACAACTAATTCAGATTGAAGATAATTTATTTAACCATGGGGAATTTATAGTCAGTTATAGTTCTGCTTGTGCTGACTATGACTTGTAAATTGATTTTTTATTTTTCAATACTGTTTACTCCATAAACAGAATATGTTTCCATGATCATTATTTTTGTGTACCAAAGTATGGATAGTTCAGTAGAAAGTAAAGAAATTTTGATGTGTAAATTCTCTTTTGTTAAATACAGAATAAGTTGAATTTTCGTTTAAGATTTCATAGTGTAAGGTTAAAATATAGTAATAGTAACTATGGATTGAGAATCGTATGCTTACCTGATCTGCATACATAACTATTCAACACACACCGAGTTCAGTCTTTGGATGAAAGGAGCGAATGCTTTTGCTTGATAACAGTACTCCATAACCAGTACTTTTCAGTCTAAACTTTAAAGTGAATCAGGAGTGACTTTCCACCACATGATATGTGGAATTGGATGTTTCCTTTTAATTTTCTGTAATGTACTGACTGCCTGGCTCATAACCCTGGTAGGCTTGTTACTTTTTCAAGTGATAGTTATTTGTTTCTAGAGTACTAATTTTATTTTCTAAATGTCAATTTTTTTAGTTTTATGTTGAAGATGAATACCTGGTCCAGGTGCTTTTGCATGAAATGCTCATGAACTCCTCATATCTTTATCCGGAGTTCACTAGCCTAATAATTTTTTTCCGAAACCATGGTGAACACCTAAGGTGGAGATTTTCCTCTCAATAATAAAACTAAAGATGGTATCACCAACATTCGAACTATGGATCAGATTAAGAGTCATTATTTGTAGTCAACAAATGTTGGTTCATGAGCCTATGATATTTATACATTTATTTTTCATCGGCAATTTATACATTTATTTTTCTCTTATATTTTTATTGCTCTTTTCATTATATCTATCACATTTTATTTTCTTTTCTTCCCATTTCTCATTCTTCCCGGCTAATGAGTGTATACACGGATGAACCTGGGTGTGGAAACCTAGTAGGCTCTCGATTGCCGCCTTTTGGAGAATCCCATTCAATGCAGTGCTCTAACTAAAAGACTAGGTACTGTTGGGTAGGTGTGGGTGAGTAGCTGCCAAATTTAGAGCCAATGTAATTAAAGTTATCTTTTTATTTACCTTTTTCACAACTTTTTGCATTATTACGGAGTAAGGACTCCAGCGAAGCCAATCTACGCGTTGCAACTCTGAAAATGTGATTTTCATTATGAAGTACGTCCTTCTGACCCAAAAAGAGTACGATTTGGGAACAAGGCATCACCTCTTACCTCGGACCCAAGTGCAGCGTATCATCAGTATCTTTGATTATTGCGTCGATATATCTGATTTTGGTCTATTCTTTGTTTTATTTCTGGCAACATTGCCTCTTATATGTCCTCCAACAGCTATCAAAATGGAGTATGTTGACTTTTATACTTGCGAACCAATTTGTACGATTTGCCATTAACAATCGTATCATAAAATTGATATGCCAAATATAGATTTGCTTTCATAATATTAGAAAATCACGGAACACGAAATCCTTGTCACAGGATTTGCAATGAAAAACTAAGCTACTTAAACAAATCTGAAAGTAGATTGAAAACAAAATGTGTCATTCACGACAATTACATTGATCTTAGCCTATACAGTTTTTCAAATCCAAGGAAAAGAATGCTGCGTATCTAAATGAAACCTCGAGGTCCTTGACCAAATTGTGCAGCTAGTGATCTCTTCAAGGAAAAGATCTGCAATGTAATAATTTCCTATGTATAATTACATCATACATTGTCATGAACCAAAGAAAAATTAAATCTCTGTTGCCTACAAACTCACCCCTTACAGCTATGCTTTTTCTTTTCTTTTTTTCTGTAATGAAAAGTGGCATCTGTGAACTTCTGTTTACAATGATGAGAAACATAATCTTATAAAACCAAACTAGCTATCTGCTTCACCGATTTCTGAACTGTGTTTGATGCCTGAAGTATCGGTATGAGTGATAATATTTCCTGCATTAATTTCATCATCAGCCTCGTTCTTTGATGCTCCCAAATTCACTTCAATAGTGTTATCTTCTACATATGTGACTTCATAAATGTGTTTTCTAAGCCAACTTCCTTTACTAACATTTGAAAGGTTTTCTTCATGCACGATGTGTGCCTGACCAAACACTATTTCAGTTTCATTAACATCAGGTGGGACACCATTCGCGTCATGAAAGCTTGGGACCTCATCTATTTCCTCTGTCACTTCGGCACTTGTGGCACCCTCTACCACATTTTTCTGTATCCCGGTTTCCTTGTCTCTAATTCTATGCCCTTCATCTCCGTCATTCTCCTTTTCTGAGAAATCTAATATAGCATTCTGTCTAACATGCACAACATTTAGCTGTTTCCTGAGTTGTACTTCTTTTTCTTTGCCATTAATTTTATAATCATTTACTATTGATCTCTTTGGGTATTTCTCATTGCCGTGCCCTTTTTGACGTGACTCATTTCTCCTTGATTCTATACCAACCTTTCCAGCTGTTGTTTTGAATGAATCTTTGTATTGATTTTCGGATGATACCTCAGATTGACTTTGTGGTTCAAGTTCCACTTCTTTTCTTTCTCCTGTGCCGAATTTCTCTTTGATATGTCCAAACTCTTCTCCAGCCTTATCTTCCTTGGCTCCATCAGATGATTCAGATTCATCATCCCTGCCACTATTTGACTCTTCTCCTGCAGAATCTATATTTCCTGAGTCAGGAAAATCTATTTCATCTAACCGTGATAGAATCCCTTTACGCCCTAACAATATAGCATCATTCCCTCGAACAAACTTGGTTTCATCGTTATAGTTCTCTCTGTCATTTCTTGATTGCTGGATCTGATATAACATCCATGCACCAACAGCCAAAACTAGCATCACCTTCAATGCCTGCTTTATGATAACCCCTTTTGGTCTCTGGGCCCTTCCAAAAGCTTGATACTCCATTCTTCTGCATATGATTCAGAATCCTTGTCAATGCTCAAATAAATATTTGGACGATCCTGAAGATGTGCAGTTGGACATTTGAACATCTTGGTTCTTGCATTAATTAATGTAAAACTACTAGTAAATCTTGAAAAACAGCAAGAGGGTACAAACAAATCGAACGAACAATTAAGGAAGCAAATCCGATTACTAACAATTAAAGTAAAGAAATAATTAGATAAAAACAAGTACAACTACAGAAGGACAAGAGACGCGTATGCAAGCACCACCAAAACTACTCTAATAATCATGACTTGAAACAGAATCCAATAACTAAAAAGTAAAAGAAAAAAGTGCGCCAAATTCATTCAAACATGGCGGAAGAGAAGAATTTCTTCCATGGCAGAGGCTATTAGAATCGCAAACCGGCCCAATCATCAGTCAAACATGCACATTTATAGGGCATTTCTAGTCCCAAATATGATGCCCAAGAAAACTTAATTCCATGAGAAACCACTCATTCCAAGAAACAAGTTTGACCATGATGGTTGACGAAAAGAAAAAAAAAAAAAAAAAAAAAAAAAATATATATATATATATATATATATATATATATATATAAAAGATGAAGAAAGATCGTAAAGGCATAGAAAATTCAACAGATAAATGAGGAGAAAGAAATGGAGTTTGACGAAGAAGTACCTTTTGTCTTATTTTCCTAACGGAGGAGGTGTGATCTTTGTTATTTGTTCTCCGGGGTTACTGTTGTTCAGTCTATTTGTGCTTTTATATTGTAGTTCGAACAAGAAGATCAAAATTAATAGTTTTGGAAGTACAGAAAACTAGAAGAGTAGTTGAGAGTGCCCAAAAGTAGCAGTTTGCATTTTGTCGCCATCGTAAATAATCCTGGGATGGGATTCTCCAAAACGCAACTAGTCAAAGTCAAAGAAATCATTCGGGGCAAATTTGACAATTCAAACGATGGCTTTTTTTCTCGGAATTGGGTACTGTCCGTTTTCATGACTCCAAACTCTATGTTGGTCTTTCAAACTCTTAGGGCCCTGCTATTGGCACCCCAAGTTATTAATTAGACCTCCAATAATAAAAAAAAAAACTACTTTTAAAATAATTAGGGTTCTCGTATATTAATTATTCTTCCGAAACGAGGATGAAGAATAATTTATATTATTTTTTAATATAACAAAGTATCTATTAAAAACAATTATAAAAAATTATAATACAAGACAAATAATAATTAAAATATGACAATAAATTATAATTATATTATCTATTAGATATAAAATCAAAATTGAAGGTGATTTAACAGGTCAATCTCATCTACCAGTTACTTTTTATATATAATAATTATTTTTTAAAAATCAAAACAAAATTATTTATAAATATACATAAAAAATAAAATTTCTATTTTTTTCTTTCAAAACTTATTTTATTTTTCTTTTTCCACCTTTTTATTTTCTTACTTCAATCTTTTTCTACCAGTTACACTTTTCATATTTATATATCTTATTTTATCACTCATTCTTTCATAATTTCATCTTACAAATATAAATTTTGTAAGCTTTTTTCTTTTGGGTTTTTTTTTAATTACGGTTTATTTTTATAACATAAAAATTATAATTTTTTTCTTTATTTTTGTTTATGTTATTCATGAAGAAACAAAGCAATAATTTAAAAGTATAAAGAAGATAAATCACAAAGTAAAAAATAATAAATAAATATATTTTCTTTGTATAGTATATTATAAAAATATAAAATATTAATATAATTTTTTTAGTTGTTATAAATTAATTTGTTATTTTAATATTTTAAGATAAAAGATATGATAACTAATGAAATAATTATCTTTTCACAATTTTAAATTTAATTAGTAATGTTAAACTTGTGGATGAATATTTCGTATAATATATTTATTTTTATATGATAAATAATTTTTATATATTAACTCTTTAATTTCATTTAAAATATATAATTTCACTTCAAATTAAAGTATTATTATTTTCAAACGAAACATTAATACATAAAATAAATAAATTAAAAGAAAATTATTATAAGATAATTTATGTTTAATTGTATATGAATTTATAATTTTATTTATTTTTATTAATACAAAGATAAAATAATTAAATATGTTTTGGATAACAAAACGTGTTTACTACTCCTGTTTTTATCTATCTTATCTTTATTCTACTAAAAATCAGATTAAATAGACTAATTCATTATAGTTAAGAGATTTTAATCCACCAAAGAGGTATTGGATTAGTGAATTAGTCTATCAGTAATTTTTTAAATATATATTTTATTAAAATATATATTTAATTAATAATATTTTTTTATTTTTTATTTATTAATAAATATTTTTATTATATATATTAAAAAAATTAATTATAATACATAATTTAAATTTAATTAATTGATTTTTATAATTTAAATTATAATATTATTATATATTTTAATAACATAATAACAAAATATAATTTTTTAAATTATAATTTTTTTTAATATATAAATATTTTTTAAAATAAACTAACAAGTCATCCTTAAGTCATTAACAAACTACACTACCATATCAAAATATACGGATTAAAATCGTCCTGTTAGTTTTAAGTAGATAGGTGTACTATTCAACATAATAAACCTAAATTATCACGTGCCTTCTAAAATGAATAATGGCAAAAGGGTTTAAATTAGAATAGTGACTTATATTGTGTAAAGTATTGGAAAAGTGAACTATGAGTTATCCATTGAGAGTTGTCTTGGTAGTCCAAGAAAAAGATTCCAAGTCAAAGGTTATGATTTGGAAGAGGACTAGGCTAAGGAAACTCCTTAATTTATTCTTATTCTCTACAGTAATCTTTTTCTCATTGCATAAAAAGTAACACAATGCTTTACTCCCTCTCTGTGTAACAGTGTAAACAAAGTTGAAGAACATAAAATAACTTTTTCCTCAAAAGATTCAATGAAAACGTAGCCTATATATCAAGCGGAGACCAATTTTAGATTGCACAGATTTTTTTTTTTGTTTGGAAACTAATTAATTTTCCTTTATTTTCTTTCATCGTTCTTAAATCGCCATTGCCCAACAATGTTTTATATTTTTCTGCATATTTTATTTAATATAAATTATACATATTACACACTCATTTGTTCTTAATTAATGTGAGAATGGATCTTTCATATTAAATATTGAACGCTACAGCAGAGACATATTTTATATTTCGATAAATTGTGTCTATTATTTTACAATGCCTCATTGTCATTGAAATCATTAAATTGAAATTCTATATATTTTATAAGAACATATATAAAAAAAAAAACCTATAATTTAGAGGTCCTAGATTTTTGTCGAATCATATACATTAACAATTTACGTAGGGTTAATGTTTTATAAGAGAATACGAGAATGCCACGCCTCCAAAGTAGTTGTTCGATATTATGAGTCTCCACTTGGCATTCGTTGAGTGAGTGATACAAACCTTATGCATCATTTTCTGTGGAAGAATGGTGCACAATATATATAATATATTTGGCTTTTTCAGATATTTAATTTTCAAAATTTTTATATCAAATCTTATCATATTTGAAGTGTGATATTTGTTGTTTGCTACTTAATTAATGAAAGGGATTGCAAAACCATTCATTACGCTGGAAGATATGCATGATTGGTGTCATGTAGATTAATTATTATTTGTACATTGTTTTTTGTATAAACCTTTTCAATAGTAAAAAAAATAAAAAATAAAGTAGAATAAATAAATAAATTGTTATGTTGCAGGACTCAAACATCTTATGTTCTTTCTTTCATGATATGTATTTTCGTGCATACTTTCCATGAAACTTGATTATTAATACAATCGATTTCTTTCGGAAAAAAGTCAGATAGATATCAAGAAGTAATCAAAAATTAAATTGTGTAGAAATCATGTTAACTTCTTTCAATGTTTCAAATGTAATTCAAAGAGTCAACACGTGTTTTTTCTTCGAATAATTTGGTACGAACAAAATGACGCAGAAAAAAATATACATATAATTGAAATTGGACGGTAAAGTTTAATCAAACTTGGTTACGCGGCAAATTCTAATCTTTGACCCAAGAGCATATCACCACTAAAAATATCTGATTATTGTTTTTGGAAGTCGAATAATAATTTTTTGTTGAAAAATCTGATTAATTATGTTCAGTGATTTTTTTTTAAATAATCTCATTTTCTTTATTCATAAATTTAGATAATTTAAAAAAAAAATCAAATTCGAACTGTGCAATGCAATTCAGTAAAATAAAAAAATATGGGTTTCTATCATAGAGACTTTCCAGTAAACTCCAACATACCTTCCTTGTAATGCACCAACCCACCAACACCAATGCCACTATTTTAAACAAACATTATTGTCATTGTCATATATTAATTCTTCCCCCCAAAAAAAAGTTTTGGTGTTTATTTGAAAAAATAATTGGCTTATATAATATGCTTTTAAAAATAAAAGCTTAATTTCTGTATATAATAAAAACTATAGATATATGAGAGTTTCCAAGTGATTAGTATAAAAGTCAATAAACTTATTCTAAATATTATTTCATAATTATATAACTTGTATTTTTTCTAATATTGATTCATAAATTATTTCTGAAAAAAAGAAAAACTATTTACCTAAATGACAGGTGCTATCTGTGCAGATGTTTTGTCCTGGTTTTATATCCAAACCACAATATCTCCTTTAAACATTTTCGTCCTATTAACAATTATAATATGAATTGTTATAAAAATCAGAACCAATAATGATGATAATAATAACAACAAGCGTGTGGCACTTGCATAGCACTACTTTAAATAGCTCCTACACTCTCACGCATTGCAGAGCAAAACACATTCCAATCATTCAACTTTCAAGTACTCTCTCTCTCTCTCTTTTTCTCAGACACACTCTCCATTAAGCATTTGGACATAAAACAAACAAAAAAACACAGTGAGGAAATGGAAATTGAGGGAAGCACGCAGGTGGTGGCGAAGAAGGTATGGAACATTGTACGCGTGATGTTCTTCATGTTGAGGAAGGGCATAGCGAAGAGCAAAATAATGGTGGAGTTCCATCTCATGCTGAAGCGGGGGAAGAAGGCCTTGGTGAACAACCTCATGCTCAACCACCATTACTTCATGGCCTCTTTCACCTGCCGCTCCCAACACAACCACACCACCTTCTTCTCCCCACGCGACTACGAGTTCAGCTGCAGCAACAGCCCCGCCATCCCTTTCCACGCCGTCAAACGTGCCCACAAACACCACCGCTTCTCCAAACCCTCCCAATACGAAGACGTTTCCACCCTCTCCGCAGTTCAGAAGGTTCTTGAAATCCTCAACAACGAAACCAGCACCTCCCCCTTGCCCGGCTTCGGAAAAAGCCCTGTTGGGAAACAACTCAGAGTCACCGACTCGCCCTTCCCTCTTAAAGACGGTGGGGATAGCCAAGTCGACGTGGCAGCCGAAGAATTCATCAAGAAGTTCTACAAAGACCTCAACTTACAGAAAAAAATGGCATATATTGAGTCCCCATATCATAATTCATGGAGCAGATGAACGATATTGCATTCCACTGTTTTCAAGTTTGGGCTTTCACTATAAGAGCCCTTTGTCATCTCGCATGAACTGAACCTTCTGCATATTTTTGGCTACTACGTCATGAAAGTTACATGATCCGATTGATCATTTGCACGGTGACATGGATGACATGACAAGTCACCTGACTTTGTTGCTTTCATTGGATGTAGCCGCTTTGTTTTTTTTGGATCGGTTCTGGGAGATAATAATGTGTTTTGGCTCACACTGTCTTGTTTCGGTTCACTACACTGTATATTAGTGTTTTGGGACTATGTTTTTGTTTTTCCCCTGTATTTTTGGGTTTCATAATGTTGGTGATAGTACTCCAATAATGGAAGAAAAGAATGAAAGAAAAAAAGAAGAAGAAAAAAGATATGTAATGTGTTTGTTTGTTAAATTTTTTGTGCCTGTCTTCCTCTGGTGGTTTGGAATTTCTCAGTTCCCAATAAAGGAATGCACCTACTGCGACTTTGCACAATGATAAATTAAAGTGGGAGATTAAAGTAAGAGCCTTAAGTTTTGTGGCTATTGGTTATGAGTGCAGAAATTTATTTTACAGCTTTTCATGGTTGGTGAGTTGGAAATTGGCTTTATTAGAGCCTTTATGTCTTTCTTGTCCTGGTCTATATTTTTTATTTAAAAAATATAGAATATAAATTTAAAAAATATAAATTATAAATTTATTGTACCAAATTATTCTTAAACAATTTAACATTGATTTTATTTTAATAAGTTAAAAAAAATATTCTCTCTTTTTATTTACTTTGATGTTTTATTTAAAATCTTTACAGAACAATTCCTAAAAAGTAAATAGAATGAATTACTCTATTAGAAATATTATGTGGTATTATGAAGTAGGATTATTTATTTATTTTTCCCATTTGTCTTTAGTAAATCGAGATGTGTAGGAGCTATTATTTTTTTATTTGTGAATTAATTAGTAGGATAATGTTTTTATACAATTACTTACCTACGTTTTCATCTTATAATATAAATTTGTTTTTAATTTTGCTATATAAAATTTAAAATTATTTATTTAGTTCTTTGAAATTAGTAAATTTAAATTTTCATTCTTATATTTTTATTTATTTTAATCATTTAACATTTGAAAAGGCTATTTTTAGGTTTTAATTTTTTTTAAGATTAGTAAATAATATTTATTTTAGAAATTTAACAATATTTTGAAAATCCTAATAGATGTTATCTAGAATGGTCATTTCAATTTTCATTAAGCATATAAACAGCCAATTAATGTCATTATTTTAATATTAATTTATTTATATCCAATTATCAGTATAAAGTATTCGCTAACTTTGTCCATAAACAAATTTTGCCAGATAAAACCTAATTAACTATTTTTACTGAGTTTTTCTTCAAATCATAATATTCAAACCTCAAACTTGAAACTTTGTTTAAAAAGTTTGAGTGGAGTATTACTTAGACTAATGATTAATTGATATTTTGAGACTAATTTAAACATTTTAAAGGATAATTTACCTTATACAATTATTTGTGTAATTTGAAAAGAAAAAAAAATATTAATGGCGTATCAAAAATCATTATTTTAAGTTTTTTATTATGATTTGAAACGTACTTTAAAACCCGCTTTCTACTTATCACGTATGATAAAAATAATGAGTTATTTAATTGAAACGCGTGTCCTTATCACACCACTAGATTTTATAATTCAGTTTACCATTGCATTGTGCCATCATTGAATCTGAAATTTTGGGATCTGTATCTTGCTTTTCTTTTTTACTTTTTCGTATCATTATCAAAATATCATGTGTTCAGAAAAATAAAGAATACAAAATTCTAAATAACAATTGCATAACCTAACTTCAACTTCACTTTTTCTTATCCTTTAAGATATATATTTTCTTCAATTCACACTTAAATCTCTTTAGCTAAACATTTGTTATGGAATGTGTATTTTTTTTTTTAATTTATTTAATCGAAACGCATGAATTGTATAACTATTTAAAATTACACCTTAAAGAATGAGTTAGTTTAGAAAAGTTATGGTACATGTATGGGATTGAAAAGTGTGATTGTGGGACAGTGGTATTATTTGAGGGAACTTTAGTTGTTGTGTGGATTAGTTTGTCTTTTTTTTCCCAAAGCAGTGGGGATGGCAAACAATGGAGCCATTTTGTCAAAGACAAAATAAAGAACATGGTGCTTTAGGGATCACTAAGGAGGCAAAACACTATTGTTGAGTAGTTAGGTATTAGTGAGATAAAAGCCACTTTTTTTTTTCTCTGTCTATATCCAATTTTCACCATTATTCTTCTCATCACACGCACTTGCTAAGTTATCTTCTTTTCATTTGAAAGGGAAAAACCATGCAAGTTGGAACTATTATTAGTATATGATATATGCCTACACTACACATGTCTATCCCACCCTATTATTTTTTAGTTGAACCTTCAAAAAGATCACTACGTAGTCTTTGTCTCTATGTAGTTAGTATCAAAAGTATGATAATTTCTTCAGCTATCTTGTGAATGTCAGCATACACTTCTTTTATTATAAAAAAGTTGATTCGGAAAAAAAATGTTTATTCTAAAATTTAAATTTTTAGCAATGAAATAGGATTTTTTTTAAATTTTGAATTAGGTAATTTAAAATGTAAATAATTTTTTTTTAATGTTTTTTCATAATAAGAATAGTGTAGGGTGATTTTTATAGGATACAGGATGAAAAGGCAAAAAAAAAAAAAAGTTTCAGTAGCCCAATTGGAGCCCACACCCACATTGCTCAGAATTATGGACGTGGCTTCACTGGGCCCAAAACAAAAATTGGTTGATGTACAAGAATTTTAGAGAAAAAGGCCGAAGTGAACATCAATTGAAGAGTACAATACAAGCTATGTTAGGTACAAGGTGTGTACGTGAAATAAAAATGAAGAAGAAATAATGTAAAAGAAAAAAATAACAAAAATCAACTAAATGTGGATGGAAAAATCCATGTATGTACCATTTTATTACATGACAAAACTTTGCTCATCTGGATTAGAAATGTTTTAAGGGACCATGATTATGGCTCAATTTCTCGAAAAATGTAGAGTGAAAAGTGATGAGTATAAAAATAGGAATAATATAATAATAATAATTCTTTTTATTTAATGATAATAAAAATATAAAAATACTATTTTTTAGATATATTTATTTTCTCCTTATATATCAATAAATAAAAATGAAAATAAAATAAAACATTGTTTTATAAAATTATCTTCTCATTAGTAAATATTATAATAACTTAAAAAATAATTATTAAATAATTTTTAATTATATAAATATGAATAATTAAATAATAATTTTTTTATGTTACTTTCTGTTAATAAATATGTTTTTCATTCTATTTTTTTTCTTTTGCTTCCTTTTATTTCTTCACGACCGTTTAAAAATTTCAAACCACCTTTACTTCAAAAAGGAAAATAACTCTCAATTCTTTTATAACGTTTAATCTTCTCGGTCTTTTTACTTAATTCTTAAGTTTGAATTTATCTAAATTTAACAAAAATATTAAACACAATGAGAAGAAATTATTTTATATATAAGAAAGTATATAATTTTTAATATATATATATATATATATTCTTTCTCCCCTATATATATATATATATATATATTAAAAATAAGTATTAAATATTATTTTTATATTTATAATAAAATAATTAAGACACGTTACTATTTTATACCATTGAATTATATAAACAAAAGTAAACCATAAAAATAAAAATTTGATGTCTAACTTTTATTATCATTTTTTTTTCTCTGTATATAAAATATAAGGAACAAATATATATAACTTTTTCACCAAATTAAAAATATACAGTTGCAAAAGCAAGATAAACTCTTTATTTTATCATTGCTATTATCATTAAAATTTCAATATAACTATTTTACAAAAACAAAATTATAATAAGTAAAAAATATAATTAAACATTTTTTTTTTGCTTTTTCATATCACCGTTACTATTATTAATTTTAACATCAAAACAACTAGCAAATTTATTCTAATGAAATTGGATTGAAATCTTCTAATAACGAGTTATGTACAAGAAAACATATAATTAAAAGGAAGCACATCATGATTATTTAAAAAATTTTAAATTTTTAAAATAATTTATATACTTATTGTCAAAGTCTTATAAAATATATTTATATAATTAAATCGTAACTAATAATCTGGATTTATATATGGGGTTTAAATGAAAATGAATAAGAACCAGCGAGTTTACATTTTCTTTATAGAACAGACAAGAATATTCTAACTTTGCGTGTGGTGATGAATATCCTAGCTCAGTACTTCTCTCTTGTTTAAAAAATTCCGACCTTCGTTTCTTTTGAACAAACAACTCACCTCCATGAAACACGTGTTGATTAAAGCGGTTCTTTCCTTCTAATTTGGACACCTTTCTTCACCCATGTAACAAAGCATTTTCATACCAAATGCATCTCTTTTGTAGCAAAAGAGAATGTTACTGTTGGAACAAACTTTCTTAACATTATCTAATCCCCCTTCATCCTACAAGAATACGTCACAGCAGACAAAATGTCCTCCTCAAGCCAATTGAGAGACCACACAGTGCCACCTAGTCATCGTTGTCATCCATACTATATATCACCCAACAGTGACAAAGCCTTTGTCTTTTCTCTCTCTCTCTCTCTCTCTCTCCCTCGTATGATTTTGTTGAACATAGCCAGTTTAATGGTAATTAACGACTCTCACCCAGAGATGGTTATTATTTATTTATTTATCCATCAACAACATTTATTAAAATAATAACGTTAAAGCACAGAAATACGAGCACTTGGCATGGTTCTTTGAATAGAAAATGACTACACACATGCACCCCACTTGGACAGTCTTCCCTTGACTTGTCCTTCATAATGGTTGTGAGTTTGACATGTAACTTTTGTCAAGTAGGGACACGGGGGCTCTAAAAGCATCGGAATTTCTGGCTGCTGTGGCGGTGAAAAGAGGAAAATATCAGAGAGAGTGGTGTTGCGTGTAAACTCAAAGGATAATATCCACAGCAGTGGTGAAGAAGAGGGAGAAGATAAGAACGTGATTGGTAGGAAGATGGAGAGCACACTGAAACCATTGCGAGATGGAGAGTCAGTATTGGACCTCAGCCCGAGATCCACTGTCAGCGGCGGCGTGGAGGATGTCTACGGCGAAGATCGCGCCACCGAGGACCAACTTGTTACCCCATGGACTTTCTCAGTTGCCAGGTCATACTCACACACGAGTTATCTGATAGCTTTGTTTTTCTTTTCTTTTGCCATTTTGCTTCTTTTATGCGTAACTGGGTTGATTTTAGTACACTCTTTATGTTTATGTACTGTTATTGTTGAAAAATTTACATGGTAAACCAATTAAAATCCATGCTAGAATGATTTTAAAATAATTAATGTAATATCGAGAATTTACTGTATATAGTAAGTTGTGATTAGATGGTTATATAAAAATCCTGTCCTTTATGAGTGAATCTACTATTTTCTCTTTTGGTTTATAGAAATACCTCTCTGGTCTGACTCTGAGCATCTGGTATGAATTTGTGGTCTCTAAGCTTCTGTAACAATTTGTGCTGCATGCAGTGGTTACTCTTTGCTAAGGGATCCACAGTACAACAAAGGGCTAGCTTTCACTGAGAAAGAGAGGGATGCGCACTATTTGCGTGGGCTTCTGCCTCCGACAGTCAGTACTCAGCCACTTCAGGTTTGTGCCTTCTGATAAGAGTTTTATTTAAAATCTGAGTTTATTATTTTACTCCCCCTCTTTGGTCTCATTATTTCTTCCTACTCTCTGTAGGAGAAGAAACTGATGAACAGCATCAGGCAATATCAGGTTCCCTTGCAAAAGTACACTGCCATGATGGACCTTCAGGCAGGAATTTCAAGTCATTATATATACATTAATCAGTTGCTTAGTTTCTCCTGTTCATGGTGTTTCTGTTCATATTAAGTTTGGTGCTGTAAAGCATGGTAGTTTGTCATTGCAAATAAATAATAGAAATTTCTTTCTTTCACGATCTCTTTTCTTCTCTTAGTAGTGCTTTGTACTATGTCACTGCAAAATACATGGTCCCTTGCATTTTGCAAGAACATAGAAAACATATCAATATAGTAAGACTTGACATATTTTATATAAAATGAGGATATGATAGTCGAGAAGTAACTAACACAGCATGTTGTTCTCGTTCTGGTACACAGGAGAGGAATGAAAGGCTGTTTTACAAACTTCTAATTGATAATGTTGAGGAATTACTCCCAGTTGTATATACTCCTACTGTTGGTGAGGCTTGCCAGAAATATGGGAGCATATTCAGGCGTCCTCAGGGTCTTTACATAAGTTTGAAAGAGAAGTATAATTCTTTATTTTCCTGCATTAATATGCAACTTTCAGCCACATTTGGTTCAGGGTTGTAAAGTTGTTGGCCATTTGCAGGGGTAAAATCCTTGAGGTTTTGAAAAACTGGCCTGAGAAGAGTATTCAAGTTATTGTTGTAACTGATGGTGAGCGAATTTTGGGACTTGGGGATCTTGGATGTCAGGTATTTATGCAGGGGAATTGAACTTCTTAATTTATAATGAAAATATAGACATGTGAAAGCATATGAACTAGCCTTCACATAACTAATTATGTTGGTTTTGCTTCAGGGGATGGGAATTCCTGTTGGTAAATTGGCTTTGTACACGGCGCTAGGAGGAGTTCGTCCTTCTGCTGTAAGCATTTTCCATTTATTGTTTATTCACTGTTGCATGTTAGATATGATGTTTGTGTTTGTTCTGCTTCCTTTCTTCCTCTCTTTCTTACATTTGATTTGATTTTTGTGGTCAGTGTTTGCCTGTCACTATCGACGTGGGGACAAATAATGAGAAATTACTGAATGATGAATTTTACATTGGGCTTAGACAAAAGAGGGCAACTGGGCAGGTTTGTATAACATATAAGTCTTGCTCAGAATTATTTATTATTTATTGTACCATTGATAACTTGTTTTGACCTGAGGCAACTTTAATGGTTTCTTTTTAGGAATATTATGCGCTTCTGCATGAGTTCATGACTGCCGTGAAGCAAAACTATGGAGAAAAAGTTCTTGTACAGGTCGATATAAATTCCATGCATGGTATGCAGTTTATAAACCTATGTTCTTCAATTATTATTCTTTCAACTTCAAATGATTTTTGCAGTTTGAAGACTTCGCAAATCACAATGCTTTTGAGTTGCTTGCTAAATATGGTACAACTCATCTTGTTTTCAATGATGATATACAGGTACTTTGTCTCACAAAATCAGGCATCTATTTCTTGAATATTGTTAATATGTTCTAATTGTTAATGTGTTGTTATAGGGGACTGCTTCTGTTGTTCTAGCTGGTGTTGTAGCAGCCCTGAAGCTCATTGGTGGTACCTTGCCTGAGCACACATTCCTCTTTCTTGGTGCTGGAGAAGTAAGACCATTTTATGTTTTGCCCCTTTTTTCAGACTTGTTATGTATGCTTCTTTCCATGCTGGGGAAGTAGAGAGAAGCAACCAAAGTAATGAAGGAGTATATAGCATTGCTCATTTTAAATCATTCAATTTTTTTCATTATCTATACTTCATCTTTATTTGAGGGTGAGAATGCAAGGCATCACATTGCCTATTGTTTTATTACCTAAAAAATCAGTTTGTCTAACTCATTTTTTGTCACACTTTTCAGGCAGGAACCGGTATAGCAGAGTTAATTGCTCTTGAGATGTCAAAGCAGGTGAATCAGCCATTTATTTATTCAGTAACACTGGTTTCTTGAGTTCATTTTAAATGACAATTGGTGATGTTCTATTTGTTTCTGTGGCAGACTAAGGCACCTATAGAAGAGAGTCGCAAGAAGATATGGCTTGTAGACTCAAAGGTAGTAGAAAGTTTGATAAGTTTCTGCAGGAAAATCTTCTCTTCTGATTCGTTTTATTTTATTAAATTTTAGTTTTGTTCATTTATTCTGTTACAGGGTTTAATTGTTAGTTCCCGGAAGAATTCACTTCAACACTTCAAGAAGCCTTGGGCTCATGAACATGAGCCTGTCAACAGTCTTCTAGAGGCCGTCAAGGTGTATAATATGTTTTGCTTATGGCCTTCAATAGGTTGCTTTAGATTTTTCCTTTTCCATAATTAGTGCACAATTTCAGGTGATCAAGCCTACAGTTTTGATTGGATCATCAGGAGTGGGAAAAACTTTTACAAAGGAAGTAATTGAGGCAATGACTTCAAACAATGATGTAAAACCTAATCTCTCTCTTGTTGTGGATTAGTATTTGTGTGAGTATTTAGAGACATAATTTGACACAAGAACTACACAATTTCAGAAACCTCTCATTTTGGCTCTCTCCAATCCTACCTCACAGTCTGAATGTACTGCTGAAGAGGCTTATCAGTGGAGTGAGGTAAAGAAACTGATTATCACATCTTTCTCTAGACGTGGTTAAGCATTCTTAGATGCAAATTATGCTCAACACTCGTACATGTTTGCAAGAATATTAATTTGTTTGCTTGTTTTCCCAAAAAGGGTCGTGCAATTTTTGCTAGTGGGAGTCCATTTGATCCTGTTGAATACAAGGGAAAACTTTATGCTTCTGGCCAGGTTTTAAAGTCTTATCCAGATTCATTATTATTTCTCTTTTTTCATTTATTAAACAGCACAACATTGTGTCTGATTCTTTCCTTGTTAATCCAGGCCAACAATGCTTACATTTTCCCAGGCTTTGGTTTGGGTTTAGTCATCTCAGGAGCAATTCGAGTTCACGATGATATGCTTCTAGCAGCTTGTAAGTGAATGTGACATAGTTAGCCAGATAAATCCAATTGAACATGGAGTTGAGAACTTGATAAGAAAATGCTTTGAATTCTCTTGGCTTACATTTGCATCTCTGTAGATGATAAACTACTTATAAATACACATGGCCCCAAAATAGCAAATAGTGCAATCTATTAACATGTAATAGGAAATGCTAAAACACAAACTATGCTTTTAGATAATGTAAAATTGAGATTTGAATGATGGACTCGTTGACATTCTTCTTGTGAATTGTACAGCTGAAGCCTTGGCTAAACAAGTGAGCGAGGAGAACTACAAAAATGGTTTGATTTACCCACCATTCTCTAATATCAGAAAAATCTCAGCCAATATAGCTGCAAATGTAGCTGCCAAGGCCTATGAACTAGGTGTTTGCTCATTCTCTTAACTCTTTCATCCTCATTCATTTCCTTCTAAACTAAACAACTGTTTCAACTGTTTCTGTAGGCTTGGCTACTCGTCTTCCTCGTCCTCAGAATCTTGTGAAGTATGCTGAGAGTTGCATGTATACCCCTGTATACCGCAACTATAGGTGAATGAGCAACTTCAGTGGATTCTTGGCTTTTTGGCTCTAACAAGGATGTGTTTTGTGTATGGTGTTATTGTCCTCTTGTGCATATTCAAGAATAAACAACTTTTTCCTTCAAAAAAGAATTAACAAATTTATGGCTTTCTATAATGTAGAAATCCTATGCAGTAGATTTTATGTAATTATATAAATCCTGAACATTGACTGCTAATTTATTGTAATGTAGAAATCCACTGGAAACTATACTTTTTTATTACCACACACTTGGCAAATGCAAGATGGTCTTCCTTTTGGTAAATCATCCACTTGAATTCATTGAACAATCTTATAAAAATGAAAATAAAGTAATATTGATACTGAATTGGAATGAAATCGAAGTTATAAGATGAATTAACTAGTAACGAATAACCCCACTTCGGTTATCTCATCCATTATATAATCTTTCTCCTTTTTTCAATTTTTTCTGCGACAACAATATGCACCTCACATTCTCTAAACCTCTCTTTACTCTTCTTTTATTCATCATCACAAATCAGAACCCACAAAAGCATGCGCTTTTTCTTTCATTCAACCCCAACAGACCCCCTCATCAAGCATACAGATAATAGTCAGAGATGGTAACAAAAATTAATTTATAATTTACAATTTACAATTTACAAACATATCAAATACTTAGAAATATAATGTTGTAAAAAATGGCTTTCCATTCCCCAGTACTTCAGTTGACCATATCCATGTCAGTTAAACCCAAAAGAATATCATCAACTTCATTTGAGAAAAAGACGTCTGTTATCAGAGAAGAAATTGCAAAAATAAAGAAAGATGTAGCAGCAGGAGATGAAGAAAAAGGGAAAAGAGGAAGTATTGTACATCGTCCTGAAAAAATGTCAGATATTAGACAATATTACAAACAGATACTTCATCAAGACGTTTCCCAATTCAAAGCTTCATCAAAAGAGTAGTTTTCTTTGTCAAACCTGAAACAACTTCATGACCGTATTATAATATGATATGGTTAAGTAAATGCTGATGTCTCAAGTATTCTTATTTTTTTAATTTTCATATGTCACGAATCGATTTTTAAGGTGAATTGAGAAAGAAAGGTATATATAAATTATTTTTTATCTCAATTATTAGGACGCGTGAGACTCACAACAATAATAAAAATATTTTGTAAGAATCCAAATATTAAGTATGCATCTATTTAATATATATATATATATATATATATATATATATATATATATATATAATTTAACATTCCTCAACCAATATACTTGGATTAGATAGAAATGATTCGTGTAATAACAAGTAAAAAATAGATAAAATGAAAAAATATAATTAGACAAAAAATAAAATTTTTATTTATTATAATAATAAGATACCCGCATTATCTATGATGTATTAAATATAATAAATACTAAAAAATTACTTAGATATAATGAAAAATCAAGTTAATTAGTTAAAATATATGAAAGTTTTAATTTGAATCTTAAAATTTAAATAAATAAAAATAATGTTCTTGAAAATAATTTTAATATCTTACAATCATATATTTGTATATATTATAATTAAAATAATAATAATAATATCTTTATGTTATATAAAATATAATTTAATCCATTTAACATAAAGATTAAACTATATTTTAATTATAATATATATAAATTAGTTTAAAAAATGTGAAAGAAGAAAGTATTTTTAAAATTATTTATTTATTTATTTATTAGTATTTAAGGGCTAACTAAAAAATATATACTTATAGAAATAAGATCACTCAACTAAATATGTAATAAATATTATTTAAATAATATTATTAATGCTTATTATGAATTATATTATAAAGTGATTCCCCAAAAATACTTTTACGAACAATAATAATCTAAAAAATTGTTAAATATATAATTGAATTTAAAATAATTCATATAGTTATAAGTTTATACATTATATGTTAATATACATTTTTTATATTTTAAAATATGTTTTATAAACTAATTTAATAAAATAATATTAAAAATATTTTTTTTCAATATATGTATTCATCATTTTAAGTATCATACATTTTCAAAAGAAAAACATTAATGGCACACATTTAATTAACATTTATTACATTTATAATTTTAATATATTGTATATATAATAAATATACTATTTAATGATAGCATTAAATTTTATTAATAGTTTCTTAGGTTGGGTTACGCAAATTAAGATAACTATTCATTTTTATTATTTTTTATAAATTTAATAATTTTTTATTAGTATTATTATTATTATTATCTTAATATTTTTTTAAATCAAAATACTCTAAATGAATCGTTATTTATTCTTTCTATGATAAATATAATTAGAATATATATATATATATATATATATATATATATATATATATATATATAATTGGTAAAAAAGTAATTAATGGAATCTTACATCCTACAAACATCGTATACTTAGATTTTTTTTTCTACCCAAAACATTATATATTTAAAATGGAGAGATTATTAAATTTAATATTTACGGTATTGACTCCATCTAGTTACTATCATTCTTAAATTCAAAGGTACCCTCACTTAATAAATATGTTAGTGTTTTTACAAAATAAAAAACATATTTTAGCATTTCCTTTCTTCTTATATGATGTTTCACTTTTTCAAAATTTTTTGTTAATATTGATTTGAAATGACTCATTTTTCTTTTCCTCTCTTGTATGTAAATCTATTTATAATTTTTTTATTTACAATAACTAAAATAAATATTTGAGTAGGGCACGGATGTACTTGATTTATTAAAAAAAAAGTTTTTCTTAACTTCAATTTTAAAATAAATCATAATTTTTAATCTTATATTAGACTAAGCTACAAAATCAATTTTTGTTTTATTAATTTTAAAAAAATATTAATGTATTTATATTAAAATAATTAATTAAAAAATTAAAAAAAATATTATTTTAAATTTTAAATATATTAATAAAATTAATTTTATTTTAAATTTAATAATTTACTATATAAATTATAAGAGAAATCATATATTCAATTTTAAAATAAAAAATAAAAAATTTACATTTTTTTATTATCATTTTTTTAATAATTTAATGATTAAAATAATAATTTATTTTAATTATTATATCATAAGTAGATATTAAATATTTATTTTGTTGTATATAAGTAAATTTTAAATATTTATTTTTAAGTCTATAGTGACTGAGTTTTTTATTAAATTAATTTATAATATATATATTAATAAAATAATATTTTATATTTAAAAAATAATTATTATTTTTAAAAAATTATGAATTAATATTAATAAATTATATTTAAATAGATTGAGTTAAAATAAATTTGATTTAATTTAGATTATAGTAATTTTTCAACATAACTTATTTATAAAGTATTTTGTTAAATTAAACTTATTTTGATAATTAAGATATTAAAAATATATATAAAATTTATGTTTTTCTACAAGTTAAAGATGTAGATAAGAAAAAGAGATCCGATCAAAATTATTGATGCCCCAATTAAAGAAAATTAGAAATATATTAAAGCACTTTTCATATGATTTAAAAAAAATAAAAAAATTAGAGACCGTAATTTCAATATTAGAAACATAGGGCATTTTCAGAGTGTATATATAAAGAAAGGAGAGTGCGTGGGAAATCATAAATATGCCCCCCAACCTTTCTAATAACTATCATCTTTCTCAGACCCTGTTCTTGAGTCATGGGTCGTCGAAAGATTGATATTTCAGAGGTGAAGGATGCCAACAACAAGCAAGTTACATTTTCCAAGCGTCGCACAGGTTTGTTCAAAAAGGCAAACGAGTTGTCTATCATGTGCGATGCTGAAATTGCTGTTGTTATGTTCTCTCCTGGGGACAAGCCTTACTCTTTTGGACACCCTAGTGTTCATGTTGTTGCAGACAAATTTCTTCAACAAAACCATGCATCGAATGTTGAACCAGAAAGCAGCGCGTCTCATGAAGTTGGTGACATTCTAGGGCAACATCAACAATTATCGATTGTTAAATGCCATATAAGCGAGGAGCAGAAGAAGGCTACGGAACTTGACAAGAGAGAGAAAGAACAAGAAGCTGCACAACTCTCCCAATACAAAGAATTGCAGGTTTCACCAGCACTCCAGCGCATGGTGGAAGATTATGTTGATGCGGTCGAGGTTTCGGAGTCTATGTTGCTTCTGGCAGAAGAACCCGTAATTGGAATACCAAATCGGGGCAGAAGAAGAAGGAATTGATTCCCAATAGAATCAAAATTGTCTTTGCTTCTAATTTTAGTTTACTTAATCGTTGTTGTTCCCAATTCTCTTAGGTAAAATTATCAGTGTTGTTATTATAATTCTGCAAGAATCAGAGATTAAGTATTTCAAGAATTTTCCTATGAATCACTTGGTTTAGATATGTTGGGATCCATTCAATACGTTGTTCTTTTATGCAAAGAGATCTTGATCTTAATAGGAATTGACAACACATTGAATTAACAATGGAAGAACACATCACATTAATTTTGATACGAAAGAAAGAAAAATATCAATACTTGTTAAAAACCAAACTGCAAATTTTAATGTGACTTTTCTTTTTCTTTCTTGAAGTAATGAAAAAAAAAAAACATTACGAATTCTGAGATAACGAAGATATTTTTTACTATGTTATTGCTATCTTGAGCCTCGTTTTGTGTCTAGATAAATGTCTAAATTGAATAATCTTAGTAACGCCACTTCATATTAAATAACATCTACGACAGTTGTAAATTGAACATTTTAAAAAAGAGAAGTTAATTAATAAAATATTAAATAATAAAACTTTTAATTAGATAAATTGTCCGTGTTCAAAAGTTTGGTCGGTAAAGATGGGCATGATTGACACGTAATCATGTTATAATTAATAGGTTTTGATCTTTCCCAAATCATGATTTCATATAACAACTAAGCTTGTGAAACTTCTTTAACTTATTGTAGTGATGAGGTGGGGATAACATCTTCTACAAGTGAAACAATTGTAAACTATAAAAGAAAAAAAAAAAAAAGCTTACTTAAACATGTCTAATAGAAACTAATTATTGAAATGTTTAAAAATTTTAAGTATATATTAAATTGTTCAAAGTATATTTTTTTAAAGTTGTTTAAAAGGAAAATGAATGAAAAAATGAGTTAGTTAAAAGTTTTTTTAAAAAACTATGCATAAGAGCAAAATTATATGTAAATTACTTAATCATTATGACAAAATAAAATTTATATTTTATATTTTTGAATATGAGAAGTATGGTATGCTTTATTTCTATTGGAAATATTCTTAATTAATTATTCAATTTAAAAAATTGTAAATATATTATTGATGCCAATTAAAGTTTGAAGTATCATCATCAAAGCTTTTTTATAGTTATTATAGGAGATAAAAATAAGATAGACAAATGAAATATATTCTTTTTTTCTTAAACTTAAATTAACTTATGCAAAATTAAAGATAACAATTTAGAGAAAATATACAAGACAAATTTATAGATTAATTAATACATAAGTTAATTGTATATACAATTTTTATTTTTATTTTTCTCTTCTATAAATGGAGGGTTTTGCCCAAATAAATTCAATGTATATTATTTTTTGATGTCAACAGTAAAAAGTTTATACAATTCTCATTTTACATGTAATTTGCATAAGGATTTTGATGAAGAAAAACTAAAACTTTAATAACACTGTTTAAAAATAGTTTTGTTAATATTAATCACATTTTAAAATGAAATAATCTATTTGCAAAACTATATATAGAGAAGATATAATCTACTTATTTTAAAAATAAGAGTTGTAACTTACTTTTTATATTTATTATTTTTTTAAACTAATAATTATGTATTATTATTTTATATTGTTAGATTAGAGTGACAACGAAGAGTTAATATATAACTATTATTCTTTAACTGAAATGAATGTTTATATATATATATAGATATATTGGTGATCATAAAAGTGGGTTCTAATAATGTGACTATTAATTAATATATGTTTTTCTTTAAATAAATAATATATGCATCCCGTGACATGTTTTCCATTTTTCTTAGATCTATTGATATGCTTGAAGTGACAATTGAATTCATTGATGCATTTATCATAATTAATAAATGGATATCTCATGTTAAAGATTAAGAGGGGTTTTACACTTACACGTTGATTTCATTATTAAGTATGACTTTGGTTTGAATGATTACACAATTATGTATGAATGTAAAAATGTAAAAAATAATGAGTATGGTAAGATTTTTAAGAACGTGTTATCTTTCTTGCTTCTTAGTTTTTGGAGTGTGGATAAATGCTACAATGAAGATATGTTTAGTAGGAGTAGATATGAGCTTAATCATGTGTAACAAAAGAAATGTTTTTATTATTATTATAATGTTAGTGAAACTTTGTTGATCTTCACTAGATAATGAAGAGACTTTGGATTAGGAAGTATATTTTGGAGGGCTACGATTTTGTTATAAGGAATAGTTTAGGTAAAAGGTCAAAGAAGTGTGGGAATTTAGTTGAGATTTTTTTTTTTAGACTTAAGTGAGAAAGTTTCATGGTGGATTTAAGTTTGAATCTAGTTGGCGTGGATTGATGTTGATCTAATGTATAATGTTGATCTAATCATCGTAAAAATGTGGCAGGTTGATCTTGTCAATCCCTAAAAATATATTGAATAGAAAATTTATTCTTTATTTTTTGTTGCTTTGAAGAATTGATTGATGGATTGGTTCAATTGTTCTAATTGAAAATTGGTACGTTATTTTTTAAATAATTAAACTTTAATTAAATCAGAATAAAACTATTAAACCTAAAAAAAAAGTTGATTAAATTTTCATGTCAAATCTATTTTAATAAAAAAATTAAAGATAATTTTTTTAAATATAACTTTTTTATAAAAAATATAATATATTTTATATTTTTTTTTATATCATACATCAATTTTAAATAATAATTATTTTATTGTGTTTCAAATAATCCATTTCTTTCTCTTACTTTTAGAATATTATTATCATTTTCAAGCATAGAAGTAAGTTTCTTGAATTGGTAAAATATGATGTAACTTCCTTTTTTTACTTTAATTTTATTTTATGTATTTTCAAAGTTTTTAAGGAGTTTTTATGATGTTTTATTTTTTTTAGAATTCTTACCTTGTTCAATTGATTTTATTTTGAAGTACTACAAAGACAATATCTTTTTTTCTCTTTTAAAGTTGTGTACTTCATGAACTCCTAAGGTTTCAAATAGTTCATGGAGAATCATGTTTTTAGACTTTGATAAATTAAACTCTTGGTAAATTACGTAGGATTTCCATAGTGTTGAACAGTGACATATTCTACTTAAAAATTTTGAAGTCCATTCATGATAGTTTAAAATCTTTTAAACATTTCATGCACTATTTCGTCTTCTTTCATTTTAAATTTCCTTTATAGGATTGTAATATTACGCAATCACATGTTGTCAGTTCATTAATAGATTAATACTTATAATATTCGTTATATTTAAGTTTAGATGGAGTATATATCTTATTGTGACATTTAGTTGAAGAATATTTTCCTGAATGTAGTATACTTTCGTTAGTGACAAGAAGGTAATTTTATGGTGATTTTTCACATATAATAATATGTGGACTCGTATTTACATCTTTATTTTATCATTTTACAAGATATATTGCTAGCGCAAATTCCCTTCATTGATCTTTTTCTTTATCACATGTTATAGTGTTCAACACAAACTTTTAGAGAAAAAGACACAAGATGAAAAACATAACAATCTAACATGTCCAAAAAAAGATGAAACAAAATGCTAGGTTTTAAAGTGAGTTTGGTAGTCTAAAAATGATTTGATAAGCTCTTATGTTAATTTAGATTTACTTGTTATAAAATCTCAGCATAATTTTTTCACACAAATTTGACGTAGATTGATATATCAATCAATGTCTTATAATTATTAGTCATGACAAATTCTTTAATAACAGTTAAGACAGGGACTAAAATAAGTAATTTTCAAATTATAGAAACTAAAAAGATAAATTATAAATTTGGAAACAAACTTCTTTCAAATTCAAGAGATTAAAAATAAAATAAAATAAATTCAAACGAACTTAATAAGAATGATATTTTTAAGAGTTTAATTATTATGTACTATTAATTAGAAATTATCAGACATATAAGTTAACTATTATAAAGTAATCAAAACAATTGTTTTATAATTGGATGTTATTGTAAAAATATACCCTATCAAAATGATTTTTACAAAAAATTTAAGAAACTTATTTTGTTCAGTACTTTTGTTTTCTAAAAGTTAATTGAATTTCAAGTAAATTATGTTGTACATTAAAAATATACTTTTTGGATGATAAAACTAAATTAGCCCCATAATTTGTAATTAGAAAAATATCAAAACTAAAATTAATAAAACATCATTGTATGGATTAAGATTATTATACTAAGTGGGTGTCCTATTTTCACAAAATAAAAAACAATTTGTTATCCACAAAATACATATTTTAGAAACTACATTCTAATTAAACTCATATATAATTTTTAAGTTTATTACTTCAATTCACATATGACAACCCACCACTTGAGATAATATTAACAAATAAAATAACAGTTGGTAACTATGACCAAAGAATAAAATATTCTTTTAAAACTTACACTATAATATCTAGCAAATATAGAAATTATATACATTTTTCCAACTTACCAAATTAATATCAGTACAAGTTAATAAGGAAGTTCAAAGCCAAAATTGTTTATAGCACCAAATTCATAGAATAAAATTAGAAATATATTAAAACACTTTCCTTATGAACAATACAAAGAATAAAAAATTAAAAAAATAATTTTAATATTAAAAATATTGATAATTTTCAGAGAATGTGTATAAATAAAGAAGTGTGTGGTGTGGGAATCATATCATCTACCCCAACCTTTCTAATAACCTTTCTTTCTTTTTAAAGCTTTTGTTCTTGAATCATGGGTCGTCGTAAGATTGAGATTACGGAAGTGAAGGACCCCAACACCAAGCAAGTTACATTTTCCAAGCGTCGAACAGGTTTGTTCAAAAAAGCAAACGAATTATCAATTTTGTGTGGAGCTGAAGTTGCTATTGTTGTGTTTTCACCTGGGAACAAGCCTTACTCTTTTGGGCACCCAAGTGTGGATGCTGTTGCAGACAAATTTCTTCAACAAGAGACTGCATCATCAGACGTTGTTGTCAGACCAAATCTTGTTGAAGGAACTAACTCATCTAATGCCGACAACGTAGATGCACTCAATCAACAGTTGTCTGGTGTTCAAACTCAAATACTCGAGGAACATAAGAAAACCGTTGAACTTGACAGGAAACAGAAGCAGCAAGAAGTCACCAAACTCACCCACAACAAACAGTTGCAACGTTCATACCTCAAGGTTCAGCGTAAGGTGGAGGATTATCTTGATGCAGTTGAAGTCTCAGAGTATTTGTTGCTCCTCGCAAAAGAACCTGTAATTGGAATAACAAAACATGTAACTACAAAAAGAACGAGAAAGAATTGATGCTTTGTACCATCAAAATTATATGTTTGCATTCTAAATCTTGTTGTTCTCAGTGTGTTGGTTGAAAAAACAAGAATTAATATATTTTTCTCTTGTCGAGTCTCAAAAAATAATAAGAAGCCAACTTTTTAATCTTAAATTTTGTGTCAAGTGGTTGTTGTTATCTTCTACTAAACTTTACCTTGTTGCCACCTAAGTCTTTTCTTTCTCACTATGTATTGAATGAGTAAGGTACTGGTTTTGATGTTGAGAATTGACACAGCATTAATCAGTGTAACATATCAAAATTTTGGTGTGATTTATTTTTGTTTCTTGAAAAATAAGAATAAAAAGGTGTTTACAAATCCTGAGATAGCTAAACAGTTAATACGATTTTTTTTTTTCTATGATTGGATAATCTTAATGTTTCAAGTAATATTTTACATTACATCTAAGATAATTGTTAATTCAAAAGTTTAGAAGATAGTTGTTAATAGTTATCTCTTTTTTTTATTTTAACTTTTTTTTTTCCCTTTATGATTATCCATGATCATAATTTCTCTAAATTCTTAACATGTAACCAGGTGGTGGTGACATTATTTTATAATCTCTTATAGGAGTGCACAGATATTTTCTATTTTCAAGTAAAGTTTGATCAAAATCAACTTCACAAAATATGTATATATGAATATAGCTGGTTCAACTTTACATGGCATATATAATATTTTCATCAAAACCTTTCAAATTAATGCAATTTGCATTAGATATAACAAAGATTCTTTGAACAATGATTTCGACAAAGAAAAAAAAACTAGTAATTTTGCATAAATATTACAAATATTAAAATTTCAAGTAGAAAAAACTATAACACCTCTCTATAATTTTAACTTCTTCACTTGTGAGTAAAGTTGGAAAGAAACACCGCGTATATAATAATAAAATTATAAAACAAAAAATAAAAAAGAAATTTGAAATAATGGAAAATGGTCTCTAATTTTCCTAAAATCCTACCACTAATCTCCAAAGATGCTATGATCTACAAACGTTCAAAACAATTTGAAACTTAAGGAAATAATGAGCCAAATTTGGGACTAACTCATTACACAAATAAGAGTAATTAATGAATTTATTAAATAATATTGTATTGATACTTTACAGAATTTAATATATTCTTCAATTTATTGAATAATACCACTTCATGAATTCAATAATATATTAAATGTAATAATTAAATGAAATAATATATTTAATAATATCAAATGTAGTAATGTATTGATAGTAGCTTTTTATTAAATTCATTAATTACAACTATTTATTAATATATAATTATTGTAAAACAATAATTAAAACCATAAATGCATATTTTGTTATATTATCTTTGTAACATTTAATAAATACATTATATTTGATAAAGATTATTAAATTTTAATGTATATTATTTTTTTTAATATAAGTTTTCAAAATATAGTATCGCACACTACATAAGTGAAAATAACTTTAAAAATATAATAAATTATCTTTTCTCAGTTTAATAAATATATTATATCTTTTAAAATTATTAATAATATATTAGTAAATCATTAAATAGCACATTAAATTTAATAATAAGTATTGTATTAATATATCAAATGCACTCATATATTTTTAATAAGTTTATTAGTTACTATTATTTAATAATAATTAAAGGTAAAATAATAATGAATCAAATAATTTAATTTAATATATTTTATTTGTTAAGTTTAATTAATATATTATTTTCTATAAAATCATTACAGTTAATTATATATTGTATTTAATAATTAATAATATATGAATAAAAATGTGTTATTTTATTAATTATTTGTTGTAATAAAGTTTAAATGATTGTTTTACATAGATGCTAAATTAATTGAAAAAAAAACTATATTAATACATTTGTTTGAAGTCCATTTAAAAAAAAGTTTTACAGTAACCATCTGCAATCCAATAATAATGATACTTTAAAATTATTTCAATAGCAATTTATTATTTTTTAAAAGTAAAAAAAATTATACTAATAATGTATATTGAATAGAGTCTTATTTAATTTTGTTTATTTTAAATATGTTGTATGAATAACACTTGTAACGACAATAATTATTTTTAAAAAATATAGTTAAATCTAACATAGCAATTTATTTTAAATGATAAATATCAATAAAAATTAAAAGAAAAATATTATATATATATATATATATATATTAATTTTTACATGATCATCATTATTATTATTATTATTATTATTATTATTATTTTAAATTAATAAGGTTCGAAGTTTATTATATTTATATATTATAATTGAATTAAATATTATATTAATATTTTTATTGTCACTCCTTCTCCGCCCTTCTTTATTTTAATCTAAAAGATTATTAAAATTATTAAATCCAAAAAATGAAGATATAAAATAAGTTTTAAAGTTATTTATTTTACAAAGTTACTCCTTAGATAATTTTTTATAAACAACTTTAAAAGAGTTATTATATATTTTTCATTTTTCCTATATTTAACCGTTAAAAAAATGAAATATTTAGTAACACAAACTAGATGAAACGAGTGGATGAAAATTAACTCTTTAAAATATTATATTTGAATCATCTGATCTCTTCACAGACATGTGTTTTAGGAACATGTTAATTAGCAAATTATAATTATAACGTATTTTTCTACAAATTAAGTGGTTATATATTAAAAAATGGTTGGATAGTTTTCTAACGCATACTCACATGATTTTCAGAATGCATACGTTACCAAATAAACTTATAAAAAAAGACTGACACCCATAAAATGTATGATTATTTAATTATTAAAAATAGAATATTCATTACAATTTTATATTTTAAAAGATGTTTTGATGGATGAAGAATATTTGAATTCGATTCTTGATTAACGTAAAATTTCGTCTAAGTATCAGAGAAAAAAATATAATATTAATATTATAAATTGATTTTTCTATTAAAAATAACTAAGACCTATTAAATTAATTACATCCCATGTTACTGTAAAATTAAAATTACTATCTACAAACATTTTTTTACTCAACTAAGCATATAGATACTGTACACGACATTCAATAAACATGAATTTATATTCAACGTTGAAACTGTACACGACTTAGAAAAGTGAGATATGGCAGCGGCAAAGGGGGCAAGAGTTGCAGTGCTCCAACCAGAGGGTGATGCACTTTGAGTGGAACACGTGGCCGCACGGGACTCGTTTGTTTTCTCCATCCCTGTTGTCGCGGGTGAACCCCTCCATGCAAACGGAGCAAACGTCGTCCCTCCTCACGTCGGTAACAGTGGGGAAGTTGGAGACAAAGGTCTGGTAGGGCGCGACTAGACGGCGTGATTCTCCGTCCAGCACCGCTAGAGCCTCGTCCAGATCAAAAACGCCCAAGTCTATGAAATTGTTGAACGTTGACACCGTCGATGGCGGCATCACCACCTCAATATCATCCTTGTTCTCTGAAATTCTATGGCTGCCATTGTTGTTATCCATTGCTCAAACACAATAACTTTCAGATATATCTCACATGTATTTAACTATAATTAAAGAATTTTAGAACTGTGCTGCGAGTATGAACCTGAAGTAGCAAGAATCTTGCCGCAGTGTTAGGTCGCAAGCTTAGACGTTTAGGTTTACATTTTTTTTGTTAGGAATCCAAATAAATTTCAATTTTGTGCATAAATTCCAAATAAATAAATATAAAAGAGTGGAAGATAATGAAATGAAGTGAGAGGATAAAATTGTAAATATATAAATAAATATATTAAATGATATTTAAGTGTGAGGGGATAAAATCATGATATGAGAATTATGAGTGATGTGATGAGAGAATAAAATTATAAATATAGAAATAAATATATATCCACTCATACTATATTTTAAAGTCAATTTTATTAAAAATATATTATTTGATTTGAAATAAAATCTATCACGATTTTATATTTAATGTTTTGTTTGTTTCAACTTATTTATTTATTTATTATAATAGACTATTCAAAAGAGGATATTCATGTATTGGAATATAGGAGGATTAGAAAGATGATATTTATGGGAATATACGTTGATTTGTTTCTGCTCATTTAATTAGATTTATCGATGGATTATTTAAATTAGTCGATAATATTTACTGATAACCCAATTTCTGACGTATTTTTGACCATTGAAATTTCGATCAATAATATCTATTTAACGAGAAATTTTTGTTATTATCGACATGATTTTGACCGTCAATAATTTCAAATTTTTTTTTAATAGATGTTTTAACTAGTAATAAAAACATAAACTAAATAATGTTTAACTAGTAATAAAAAATTGGTATATAAACTAGTTTGACTTCTTATTTTAATATCTAATGTCGTCGGCTACTAATTTTCTTTTTTAAATCTTACATATAATATTGTAACACGATGTTACATTTTAAATTTTGGTTTCAAGGCTGTGTAATGTGTAAAAGATTTTCTTTACGAGAGATCCATCCTCAACTCAGAGTGTCTATTCAATTAATGTTTACGTTGTTCATCCCTTACTCCATTGTTTCTTTCTATATCCATACTTGTAATAAAGATATTATTATTATTATTATTATTATTATTATTATTATTATTATTATTATTATTATTATTATTGTTATTATTATTATTGTTGTTGTTATTGTGTGTTTCATAAAATTGATAATTAAAAAAATATTTTTAATTATTCTATTAAATAATTATTTGATAAATCTAGAATATATAATATTATTTTTAAAAATTGTAGATTAATCAATCTAAAATATGTAAAAAAATCAAATTTTTAATTTATGTATTCATAAATCATTTTTTAAATAATAATAATAATAATTTATAAATCTTATGAATTCACCAGTTTTAAAGTTTTCCATATTCATTCGGACTAAATTTTTTTTTCATATATTTTATATTATTTTATCTAGAATTTTTAAAAAATATTATATGTTCTAGATTTATTAATTTAAACTAAATCCATTATTTAAAATATTTCAAAATACGTCTTTGACTATTCGTCAGCTACACAGAGTTAATATTATTTTTTAATAATAAGTATAGGAGTACAAGAAAAAAGTATGGACTGCAGCAAAACGAACTCAATCTTTTTAAGCCCATTACATCTTTAGGCTATTTCTGGGCCGCAAGGGCCTGGGACTGTGTAGTCATTTTGGGTGGACTGTTACTTCCTGCAATCCCATAATTATATTAAAACCAATTTTACACCAACACTTATCTTCGTATTTGAAATATATTCTGGATTAAACTTTCAGTAAATACATTCGGAACACTCAAATTAGAATGCGTATGCAGAAAGACTTCTTGGGAAATATATTTTGAAATATTCGATTCAGAATATATTTTTAGATTGACTTTTTTTAAATATATTCTTGAATTTTCAATATGAAGTACATTTTTAGATTGATTTTTTCAGAACTCAACTTCATTTTTACTATACTATTTTAGATTGAGAAATTTAGGTATATTTGTATAACTTGAATATAGGAAAATAATTTATACATAATATTAATAATTACTTATATTTAATTGTTAGAAAATATCTTTAATAAAACGGATTACAAAAAAAAATCAAATAATAAAAAGACAAAGGTGCTGAGAAATGAAGTTGCAAAAATTATACAAAAATAAAAGAAGAAGTTAGGGAAAAAAACAAAATTATGAAAATAATAAAAGAAAAAGAAATTAAAATAAAAAATAAAATTATAAAAATAATATTTTAGATATTTGACTTGAAGATGAAGTTGTGGAAGAAATTACAAGAAACAAAAATCTTTTGGGTGTGATATGCCAATTGGTTCTACCAAAAGTTATTACATTGATGTGAGTATTTCTTTTTCTTCCCTTACGTAAAAGATCTTGGTTTACCGCTATTTTATTTAAGAATGGGTATTTTAAATATAGAAATTATATATTTCGAAAATATGTTATTGGATAATGAAAATGTGTAGATCAATACTTTTATATTCAAATCTTTAACACTTCAAAATTATAAAAATGCATCTATTTAGACTATAAATCATACGTAGAACACAAAATCGATATTTGGTATATACGGTGAGAAAAATAAAGAAAAAGCAAAATATTAAATTATAATTTCTTCTTTTTATTAATATTTTTTATTTTGAGTTATTTATTTATTTTATGGTTTTAATGTACAAATTTTAAAAATCATTCTATATTCTTGAAGTTGGACGACACAATAATTAATGTAACTTTATATCGGTGATGTTATTATCAATTAAAACTGTATTTATCATGAAATAAATTAAATTTATAAATATAATCACAGGAATAAAAACAAAATAAATTTATATAAAAAAATAGTATAATTAAAAAAGTAATTTTAGGCATATAAGTTGTATTTAAAAGTCATAATACACAATATATATGTAGGTATTGTTTTGTGCATTACCATATTTTTTGCACCTTAATACAATGATGAAAATTAATTTTTTAATATTTATATTTAGAAAAAAAAGCAATTCAAATATTAGAAAAATTTATATATATAGTTTGTTAGAAATTGAAGAATGAGGAAAAAATTATTATTTTTATTATTTCATACAATCAACAATCCAACAGTTTATATAAAGTTTTTTAGAAGCGTAAGTTGCTTTCTATGATTAACAGAAAGAATAAAATGTAATAGAATGAATACCATATATACAAAAGTGAATGTAGAGAGAAAATAAAAAAGAAAGACAAAATAGATAGATATTTTACTTGAGATTCTCACTACTAGAGAATATGCGTTCCAGGTTGTTATTCAGGTATCTTAGAGTTAGAGGTTAATATTCCAACCACTATACTACTTAGAATTTTCCGATAATAATTTACAAATAAATTATATTTATATACAAATAAATATATATTCATGTAAATATATTAATATAAAATATATAAATATATTTTTATTTTTTTATATATTTATATAGTTATATATTTATATGTTGGATGTGAAAGCACGCTTAAGGATAAAATTGGGATTGATTCTAGCTTGAGCGAAAATACTTAAAAATCAGAGAAATTCACTCGCTCAAGCAAAATTGATATTTTTTGTTTGAGCGAATGACATGTTTTCCAAATTTATTTTATATCATTATATAAATAAATTATAAAGATTATATTTTGTCATCAAATTACAAACCCATATAAAGAGACCCGCTCACAAATTTGCATCAAATTTTGAAAATCCACTCGACACACACTTGCATAGTTTGACGGAAGTTAACTGAGTCATCTTCCACCATATCATTGTTTTTCTCATGTTCCTGAAGAAATACCATGTAAACATCCGAAATAACATTTCTTCTTTCTCTAGTGGATCTCCGCAAAGTTATTGGCTCATGATGCACAGGTTCTTGAGGATCTTGAGTTTGTTCTTCATGAATAACCAAATCATCTTAAGTAAGGGGTTCATCAATAATGTCTTGTAGAGGTTCTGAACTTACTTTATCAAAAGTAACTGTTTGAATCGGTTCTGGAATTGTTACCGATTCTTCCTCCAAGATAAAGTTCTGAATTTTATTCTTCCCCAAAACTCAATATCCTCAAAGAACGTAGTAGTTCCCGTCTCAAAAATTGTCTTTAATGTGAAATCATAAAATTTATATCTCCTAGATCTTTCAGCAAAACCCTTTTATATTAGCCATAATGATGATGTCCCTTTTAGAGCACTATTAATCTTAGGGTCTTCCACCTGAAGAACACCTTTATTTTTCCTCCGAATTTTCTCTCTTGATAAGGATAGAAAGAAAAGAACGGGAACTGATTTAGAACCTTACATAGCTTAACGGAAGTTAACTGAGTCATCTTCCATTATATCATTGTTTTCCTCATGTTCCTGAAGAAATACCATGTAAACATCCGAAATAACATTTCTTCTTTCTCTAGTGGATCTCCACAAAGTTATTAACTCATGATGCACAGGTTCTTGAGGATATTGAGTTTGTTCTTCATGAATAACCAAATCATCTTGAGTAAGGGTTCATCAACAATGCCTTGTGGAGGTTCCGAACTTACTTTATTAAAAGTAATTGTTTGAATCGGTTCTGGAATTGTTATCGATTCTTTCTCCAAGATAAAGTTCCTAATTTTATTCTTCCCCCAAAATTCAATATCCTCAAAGAACATAACAGTTCCTGTCTCAAAAATTGTCTTTAATGTGGGATCATAAAATTTATATCCCCTGGATCTTTTAGCATAACCAATAAAATAACTACTTACTGTTCGGGAGTCCAATTTATTTTTATTTAGCTTATAAGGCCTTGCCTCAGCTGGACAACCCCACACATGGAAATGCTTCAGACTAGGCTGTCACCCAGTTCAAAGCTCATAAGGTGTTTTGGTAGCTGCTTTAGTTGGTACTTTATTTAGAATATAAGTTGTCGTCTTTAGTGCCTCTCCCCAGAGTGACTCCGGTAAGGTGGAATGATAAATAATACTACTGACCATAACTTTAAGAGTCCAGTTTCGTCTTTTAAATACACCATTCATACTAGGTGATCCAAACATGGTATACAGTGGGACAATTTCACACTCCTCTAGGTACCTGGCAAAAGGTCTTGGACGCTGTTCACTTGACCCGTCAAATCCGCCATAGTACTCACGACCACGATCAGACCTGACAGACTTAATTCTTTTGTTGAGTTGATTTTCAACTTTAGCTTTAAATGTTTTGAATACGTCTAGAGATTGTAACTTTTCATGTATAAGGAATAAATATGCATATCGTGAGTAATCGTCTATAAATGATATAAAGTATTGTTGACTATTCCATGAAGGTGTAGAAATGACCCACAAATGTCCGTATGTATCAACTCTAAGACGTCTGTAACTCTATATGCACCTAATCTCTTAGCTCTGGTTTGTTTGCCCTTAATGCATTCAACACAAACATCAAAGTTTGTGAAGTCAATGGACTCTAAGATTCTATTTGACATAAGTCGTTCAACTCTATTTTTAGAGATGTGACCTAAATGTCTGTGACATAATGCTCCTGAGTGAATATCATCAATTTTACATTTAGTATCCCGTGATTCTGTATTATGAGTTTCATTATAAGTGACTACAATATCAAGTAAATACAGATTATCATAAGCCAAAAGTGAATCAGTTCCAACAATAGTTGAATTAAAAGACAAACTGAACTTATTGTTTCCAAATAAACATAAATAACCTAATTTGTTCAAATAAGAAACTGAAACTAAATTCCGTCTAGATGACGGCATAACAAAAGTGTCTTTCAAATTTAAATAAAAACCAATACTCAATACTAGTACTCAATAACAATTTAAAATGCCCTATAGCTTCCACCTCTATCGATTTGCCATCTCTAACATATATCCATCTTTCAAAATCAATTGACTTCTGGTAGCTTAGGCAACCCTTAATAGAAACATTGATGTTAGTAATTGCACCTGAGTCTAACCATAAAATGTTACTAGGTACTCGACGCTAAATTGACTTCAGAATAGACTAAAATAAGAAACATACTTTTGAGGATCGAAACAAAATTTAAATTGATAGATACAAAAATAATTGTAGATAAATTAAGAACAAAAGAAACAAACTAATTATTTTCACGTTATAAATAAATAAATAAATATATATATATATATATATATATATATATATATATATATATTCAAATAGTGGTTTAACCCATCTCAAGACACCCAATGCACCATCAATATCAAGTCTTCTGACAGTAATATTAACTGCTAGGAGTATCTTGTTGTAATGGTCAAACATTGACAATAAAACACGTTCAACAATAAACCAAGTATTTGGATTGATTTATCATAGACATAACAAATCCTTATAATTATCACATGTTTATCATTAAAAGTGTGTATGCAATTCGACCAAATATTAATCTTCCTTTGGGCCGACTAATACTTGCATGAATATACATAAACACTAACATTCAATATTTTTCACGAACTACCAATTCAAGAGAGGTTACTTTGGTAAAATTTGCTCACAAAAAATATTAAACTACTAAAAAATTGAATATTTTATTTATATAACAAAATCGAATATTTAATATTTATTTATTTAGAGTTAACAACACAAATTCATTCAAAAGATAATTACGTCATTAGAATCTCACTAAAAATGAACACTTTCCTAGAATCACACTAGGGATGAAATAAAGATAATTCTAACCCTCTTTAACACACTGGTCAAGAAACCGTACAACCACCTAAACCTTAAAAGGGGATTAAATAGTAATCACTCAAACCCTAAACAGAAAACTTAACATCAACTTCTCTTAAACCCCTAGAGAATAAAGACAATAAAATAAGAACAGTCACCTGTGAAAACATTCACCAATTATCGAAGATCCTCATCACCCCAAATTCCAAACTCATCCATCTCTACCATAAAAAACTCAGAAGTTGAATCGGCCCAAGCCTAACTCAAATGGAGGTGAGGGCATTGACAAGAGCTTTGATGCAAAAAAGAAACTCATGGATAGATTTGTCTCATTTCTTCAGAGTGCGTAACTCAGTTCGGAGTTGCCTAGCTTTGGCTCTGGTTTGGGAGTTGAAGTAAGAGTGAATCTTCTCCCAAAGTTGAAACGAATGGGTGTACCCAATGACACGAGTGAGGAAGGATACATATAAGGAGGATTGCAACCAGGATAAAAGGAGTTGATCTTGAGTTTCCCAAATACTGAAATCAGGATTTTCAATAACTGTATTATAATCAGAAGGTGCAAGGAACTGAGGTGGTATTTGAGAATTAACCACATAGCGGTGGAGGCGGTGGACTTTTATTACGGGCTCCACTTGTTGTTTCCATATAAGAAAATTTGTGTCGGTAAGTTTCTCATAAATAATATAAGAAAAAAAGGACAGGTGAAGAGGTAGGCTTGAGGTCTACAAAAGTAGACATTATGAGCAAAAAAAAAGAGGGAAGGCTCCAGGATCAAGGAAATTTTTTTTATTGAGCTCTGGATATCATGTTAAAAATTGATAATCAATAACGAGGAATAGTCTATTGTTTTTATTATTTCATACAATCAACAATACATCAGTTTATATAATATTTCTTAAAAACGTGAGTCGTTCTATATAACTAAGAGAAAAAAATAAAATGTTAAGAATGGTGATATTTTAACAACCATAAACCATACCATCTTTTAAATAACTCACTTTTATTAATATAATAATTTATATAATGATTTAATAAAAATAAAAATAAAGTAAAATTATTATTATAATATTAAAAGAGAGTTGTTTATAAAAGTTATATAAATTTGAGTGGTCAAACTATCATTTTCGACATAATAAATATCACTTATACAAAACAAAATGGAGATAGAAAATAGAAAAGACAAAATTTATAGTTATTATACTGTTATCTAATATAGTTCATATGACATATATGCATATATTAGTAAATAAAAGTAATGGAATTCAGGGAAAATAAGATATAATTAACATCTAATAAGAAAAATGACCCCGTCAACGAGCATCAAATTTTGCTTCCTGTTTAAAGTGTTGATGATGATGCGATGAGAGTTTTTTTTTTATTATTATTATTATTATAAATTGTCTTTCTCATGCTTATTTATATTTATATAATGATGATTAAATAAATAAACAAATCACATAATATTGAAATTAAGAAGTAATGTTTTGTAAGTGAGAAAATAATTGATAAAGTGGATTAAATTAAAATATATAATAAACTTTTATTTGATATTATTTATTTTGAAATTAAAATTTACTACAATTTTATCTTTTAAATATATTTCTGTGAATATATTTTGAATTAAAAGAAAAGATATATATAAATTATTTTTAATTTCAATTTATAAAGATTATGGCTAAATTATAACTCCACTGGTGTTGCTAATTTTTCACTCTACGATAAGAGGGACCTTAAAATTGAATTGAAATCTACATGGTACATAAAAAAACATCAATTCTTTCTTCTTTTCTTCACCTGTTTTGTTATTTCGAGTACAGGTTCTTGGGCAAGTTGAATCAAACATTTTGATACCTCAATGGCATCAATATTATCTTTCACCCTACGTTGGAATTCTAAATATGAATCTTGTAATTCCTTATACTTAGAGAGTTGTGTCACTTCGTGTTGTCTTAGTCTCTCGTCATGCTCCACGCCCTTCTTTTCTTCCACGAGAATCTGGGCTTCAATATCCAGCAATTGTTGATTCAAGACATCCATGTCACCAACTTCAACGTTGTTTTGTTCGACATCATTGGATTCGATTTCCTGTTCGAGAAACTTGGCTGCAACAACATCAACACCAGGGTGCCCAAAAGAGTAAGGTCTGTTTCCAATTGAGAAGACAACAATGGCAATTTCTGCACCACACAGTACGGATAATTCATTCGCCTTTTTGAATAAACCTGTTCGACGCTTAGAAAAAGTGACTTGCCTCGTGTTAGGATCCTTCACTGCTGCAATTTCAATTTTACGACGACCCATTCTTCTTCCTTTCACACTGATAATTACTAAAAAAACATACAAGAATGAGATTAGAAAGAGAGATTCGTGTAACGATTAAGATGAATACGATGTGATATGATATTCCCCCAACCCTTTATTTATAAAACTTTATTTGAAATTCTTCAACGTTTCTAATATTGACTTTCCCATTCCCAATTATTTACGCAAGTATTTTAAGATCTTTCACGATTTTTCATTCAAGAAATACCTCTTTTGCTCTCTTTTTATTTTTATTTTTAAGAAAGAACCTATTTTAGGTTTCTAAAACTAAAACATTAGTCATTTTCTTACACCGATACAAAATTAATGAATATTAATTGCCATTTAAGGTCAAATTTATCATTGTCTATATATAATAGAATTTATTTAAACGCATTTATAGCATAAAATAATATCTTGTTTAATATGTGTGCTTGTTAATATATGTACTTAATGCATTGCTCTAACTAATCCAAACATAACGGTTTAAAAAAAAAAAGCACTGCGTGATGATCTTAAAATCACTGCCGTCTATTTTTAAACACGTGGCCATGATTATATTAGCCCCTTTCAGGAAAATAAATAAATTAAATTATTCATTTGCTAGTAAACTAAAGAAATAGGAGGAGATATTTTATTAATGAGAGTTAATCAAGTTTTTTATAGATTGATTATTGATTAATACTTCACATTTATAGCACAGTGACACAAAAATCATTTGAAGTTTTTTTAGTAAGTGATGAAATTAAGTTTTTTAATTGATGTTTGATCGTACCAAATATTTTTAATTATTAAATCTATGTTGTTCGTTTTCGGTGGCAGATTTTTTGTACTAATTGAATTAATTTTTATTGTTTGTTATTGGCACCCTATTCAACACAGTATTCAGTAAACTATAATTTTAATTGCTCACAATTTTATTTTTAAAAGATACTTTAATAATTAAAAAAACATATATATATATATATATATATATATATATATATATATATATATATATATATATATATATATTATCTCAATTATAATGTCTGAGTCAGGAGGTGAATAAAACTTGACGAAACGATATATTTATCAATGGTCATATTCGGACAATAATAGAATAATTCAACTTTTGAATTTAACATATTAATAATTTATGAGTAAAATTTTTTTATTATAATAAATATTTAAAAATACAAGTAAAACTATCTTTCCATTTTTATTTCTTTTTACTTACTTTTACTTAGAACACGTTTTAAGATAAGAATTTTGTCATTTTCTTTAAAATAATCATCCAGCCAAAAAAGAGTAGATTCACATAAATAAACACTAATATTAAAATAATTTTGATTAACATAAAATTTTAACTATTTCAACGATAATAAAACTATTAAATCATATATTGAAATTGTTAATTTTTAAATTAAAAAATATATAACATTTTATTAATCATATTAAAAATACATAACTCAATCTTATAAAATTAATTTGGTAAAATAATGATTATATTTATTTATAAATTCAAATATTGATTAAAAATTATAAAATATTTAATTGAATCTATATTTTTGTTTAATAATATTTTAAAAAATAAATATAAGATAGAATTAGAATAAAAATTAATAAAGAAAATAGGAAAAATGTAAATTATTGTAAGGCAAACAATAGAGCGGGTTTGTAACAAATATGCGATTAGTTAACTATTAATCGTACGAGTTTCTTGATCATACAGCTATCGAAGCAAGGAACAATTTTGTAACTACTTAACCTAACAAAGAAAAACTTTGATTAATTAAAACTGAGAATGGATGATCCATCAACTGGCCGTGTGTTTATTAATACTGTACTTTATTAGAGCTAATTAGTGTTAGGAAAAATACACAGAACTTCTCCATGTAGTCAGATATATGAAAGTGAAATAAAAACGAAATAAAGACGGAATAATTGGACACACCAATTGATAACGGAGTTCGGCCAAAATTGCCTACGTCTCCGGACTACTACAAATGTTTTACTGGGAGAAAAGAAAATACACAAGTGTTTACAAAGCACTCTCAAAACACTCAACCTTCAACCCAATTACACCCAGAAGCTAGATTATTTTCTTTCTGCTTCTTGCTGGCTAACTCTTGTAATGGTTGCTTTGGAATTGGATGATAGAAATGAGTGAAGTGAAAAAACATTTTATAGCAAAAGGAATGGTTCTTGTGCATTTAAGGCTTTCCAATTTTTCTTGTCTCCAACCACTTGCCATCTAACCACTTGCCAACCAACCACTTGCCACCTTTTTTTTTACTTTTCAAACACCAACAATCTCCCACTTGAGGACTGATTTCAATCTGTCCTCACACCTTGATTAATGCAGTAGTTTTCTCTGGTCTGCTACTCTTGCAAGTCAACTGAAGTTGAACACAACTTCAGTTTGTCAATGGTCACCACCTTCGTCAGCATATCTGCTGGGTTCTTGCTTCCTACAATCTTCTTCAATGTTAACACCTCATCCTCAAGTAGAGATCTGATGAAATGATAACGAATATCAATGTGCTTGGTTCTGGAGTGAAATGCTGAATTCTTTGCCAGATGTACTGCACTATGACTATCACTATGCAAAACACTCCTTTCTTGAGTGAATCCCAGCTCTGCTAACAGTCCTTGAAGCCATATCAATTCTTTATCAGCTTCGTCATCGCTACATACTCAGCCTCGTAGTGGATAAAGCAACAATTTTTTGTATTCGCGACATCCAACTAACAACTTGTAGTACCAACCGTGAAAACATAACCAGTGGTGCTTCTTCGGTGATCAACTTCACCTCCAAAGTCTGCATCTACGTAGCCCTGTGATCTTAGATTTCCTTTTCTAAAACACAGACAATTTTTTGTTGTTCCTCGTAGATATCTTAGAATCCACTTGACGGCTTCCCAGTGAGCCTTTCTTGGATTTGCCATAAACCTGCTCACAACTCCCACTGCATGACCAATGTCTAGTCTTGTACAGACCATTGCGTACATCAAACTTCCAATGACTGAAGCATACAGAACCTTAACTATAATTTCTTCTTCTTCCTTTGTTTGAGGAGACTGATCCTTGGATAGACGAAAATGACTGACCAAAGGTGTATTGACTGGTTTGACCTTGTCCATGTTAAATCTTTGCAAAACACGGTTGATGTACTCCTCTTGAGATAACTGCAAAACTCCTTTTTGCTTATCTCTCGTGATTTGCATTCCAATAATCTTCTTTGCTGGTCCTAAGTCCTTCATGTCAAATTCCTTTGACAACTGCATCTTTAAATTTCTGATATCCCTCATATTTGAACCTGCTACTAACATGTCATCAACATAAAGTAGCAATATGATATAACTGGACTTATACCTCTTGAAGAAACAACAGTGATCGGCATTGCACTTCTGGAAACCTTCCTTGTGCATGAAGCTTTCAAACTTCCTGTACCACTGTCTTGGAGCTTATTTCAGACCGTACAAGCTCTTCTTCAATTTGCACACCATATCTTTCTTTCCTTCTGAAAATCCTTCAAGTTTGTGCATGTAGATCTCCTCATCTAAGTCTCCATGGAGAAATGCAGTCTTCACATCTAATTGCTTTAGGTAGAGCTCTTCACTAGCCACAATACTTAACATTGTTCTGATAGTATTGAACTTTACGACTGAAGCAAAGATTTCAGTGTAGTCAACTCCTTCTTTCTGCTGAAATCCTTTGACAACTAGTCGGACTTTGTATCTTTTGGAACCATCATGGTCTTCCTTCACCCGATACATCCATTTGTTGTGAAGTGCTTTCTTCCCCATGGGTAACTTGACTAGTTCCCATGTTTGATTGGAGATCAGAGACTTCATCTCTTCTTTCATGGCAAACTCCCACTTGCTAGCATCTGTGGTTTGACAAGCTTCTATATAATCTATAGGCTCCCCTCCATCAGTCAGCAACATGTAGTCCATGTATCTCCTGTTTGGCACATGAGGTCTAAAGGACCTTCTCAATACAGGAGTTGGAGTAAGAGGTTCTGGTTGCACATCACCTTCTTCAATTGATTCCTCTGACTGAGGACTCCTCACTATAGGATTTTCTAGGACATCTTCCACTTATGTAAAAACTGGCCCACTCGATTCCTAATTGCTAATACATGTTTTATGCATGTCCTTGTACAACACTCTTTCATTGAAGATTACATCTCTGTTGCGGATCATCTTTTTGTTTTCATCATCCCATATGCGGTAGCCATACTCATCTTCACCATAACCAATGAAAGTGCACTTCTTTGATTTTGGATCAAGTTTGTTTTTACCTTGATCACTGATATGGACATATGCTACACAATCGAAAACTCTAAGATGTGAGAGTTTTACCTCTTTTCTGCTCCATACCTCTTCTGGTATTCCGTGCTCCAATGGTACCGATGGACTTCGGTTGATCAAGTAAGCTACTGTGTTAACTGCTTCTGTCCAGAACTTCTTTGGTAAGCCTGACTGTACACGCAAGCTTCTGGCTCTTTCAGTCAACGTTCGGTTCATACGCTCAGCTACACCATTGTGTTGAGGTGTATCAGGCACGATCCTCTCCATTTTGATTCCGTGCTCATAGCAAAACTTCTTGAATCTGGTGTCTACATATTCACCACCATTGTCGGATCTGAGCTTCTTAATCTTCAATCTTGTTTCATTTTCTACCATAGCTTTCCAAATCTTGAAAGCTTCAAATACTTCTGACTTGTGTTTCAAAAAGTAAACCCATACCTTTTTGGAGTGATCATCGATAAACGTCACGAAGTATTGTTTCCCACCAACGGATGGGACAGTCGTTGGACCCCAAACATCAGAGTGGACAAGCTCAAGTCTCTCTTTCTTTGGAATTCTTCTATTTGTCTGAAAGCTAACTCTCTTCTGCTTTGCAAGTATGCAGTCTTCACACATGTCAATTTCTACTGACTGAAGACCTGGTAGTTTTCCTTTTGAGTGCATGATCTTCATCTCTTTCTCACTCATATGCCATAGATTGGGATTTTCATTTGTTGCAACTGCAATCAAATGACATGCTCCTGCAGTCTTGTAAAGAGTACCACTCTTTTTGCCTCGAGCAATTGTCATCGCACCCTTTGAGATCTTCCAATCATCACCGTGGAAGATTGTTGTGTAACCTTTACTGACTAACTGACTCACTGAGATTAAGTTCTTCATCAGGTCGGGAATATGTCTGACATTTTTCAATTCCCATACAGACCCGTTCAACTTAATCTTTACTGTACCTTTACCTACAATCTCACACGATTGCTCATTACCAAGGTAAACTTTACCAAGATTTCCGGGAACATAATTCTCGAACAGTTGCTTTTGTGAGGTAGCATGGAAAGATGCTCCAGAGTCTAATACCCAAGACTCCTCCTTGCTTTCTAAAGAGCATATCAACACATCATCTTTCCCTGAGGTAGAGGCAACGTTGCCTCGTCCTTCGCTTCTTGATTCTTTCGTGCATTCTTGCACTGATTTTTGTAATGCCCGGTCTTCCCACAATTCCAACACTCGATTTGCTTCGAGTTTTGGGAACTACGATGATTTCTGGACTTGGATCGTTTGCCCTTTGATTTTTCGCGTCCGCTTTCTTTGGTTGAACTTCTTCCTCTTGATTCTGTATGCAATACTGAAGAGGTTGATGATTCACCCGACTCCCTCCGCCAGATCTCTTCACTGAGAACCAAATTACGAATATCATCAAATTTTAACTTATTGCTTCCCGATGAGCTATTCACAGCTGTGACAGTAGCATTCCAACTTTCTGGTAGAGAAGACAAAAATATCAAAGCTCGTACTTCATCATCGAACTCAATCCCAACTGAACTCAACTAAGTTGTAACAGTATTGAGTTCATTGATATGTTGCGCCGTTGAAGCGCCTTAGACATCCGTAGATTGAACAACCGCCTCATCAAATGAACTTTGTTTGAGGCTGATGGTTTCTCGTACATACTGGATAGAGTATCCATAAGACCTGCTGTCGTCTTTTCTTTTGCAATGTTAAAAACAATATTATGGGATAACGTCAGTCGAATGGCTCCAAGGGCCTTTCTGTCGAGAAGAGTCTATTCCTCCTCTTTTATACCCTCTGGTTTCTTTCTTGTGAGTGGTTCGAACATATCCTTCTGATACAGGTAATCCTCGATCTGCATCTTCCAGAACCCAAAGTCCGCACTATCGAACTTATCGATTTTCACCTTTCCTTCATCTGTAGCCATCACTCCAACTCGGATCTGACTTTTCTGGATCGTTTCTGACAATTTCTGTGAATTACCGTGTTTCGGAACACGTCTGTAGATAATTTTGTAGCACCGACAAAATTTTTACTATTCACATAATAGTAAATTCACTATTCATATGAATAGTGTCACCACAAAAATTGCAGAGTTAACAACTAGCTCTGATAGCAGTTGTTAGGAAAAATACACATAACTTTTCCATGTAGTCAGATTTATGAAAGTGAAATAAAAACGAAATAAAGACGGAATAATTGAACACACCAATTGATAACGGAGTTCGGCCAAAATTGCATACGTCTCCGGACTACTGCAGATATTTTACTGGGAGAAAAGAAAAGACACATGTTTTTACAAAACACTCAACCTTCAACCCAATTACACCCAGAAACTAGATTATTTTCTTTCTGCTTCTTGCTGGTTAACTCTTGTAATTGTTGCTTTGGAATTGGATGATAGAAATGAGTGAAGTGAAAGAATATTTTATAGCAAAAGGAATGGTTATTGTGCATTTAAGACTTTCCAATTTTTCTTGAGTCCAACCACTTGCCACCCTTTTTTTTTTTTTTTATTTACTTCTCAAACACCAACAACTAGATATTTTGGTAATAATCACTTAATCTGATTAATTTTGATGGAAGAACGTAATTCAGTTGTAACGGTGTGTGGGACACGTAATTGGTAGAAATTATTGGTTATATAGGAAGAACAAGATACATGATACAGTGTAAAAGTGATTAATTAAAGTAACATGAAAACATCATTATCGATTGAAAAGGCACGAACACTGGACACAGATGGAAGGGGGGGGTGTGTGTGTCCATGGAGGATTTGATGAAGCAGCATTATGATTTGAAAAAGAGAATGAAAACGGGTGAGGGGTATATTGGTAATTGACAATTGGAGTGTAAAGGAATGTGAATGAGTTACCTTGGAGGGTTGGCCAACCCAAGACTCGTGGAAAGCACCGATATTCAATCATTCACTGCACTCCAAGAAGGGCGTGGAGATGCAATGCAAGGATGGTGCCTTCAATTCCTCATTCACCCACGTGTTCACCCGTTCATCTCCTCCTCTCTCACACGTACCTCCAAGAATCAGATACCTCCTACCTGCTTTCAGGGTTCCACCCTCGACTACACAATTTGAAAGGTCTTCATCATTCACACTTTCTTCTTTTTTATTTTCTATTTTTAAATTTATATTTCTTTTTGTACGGATTGTTACCACCTGTGCGCAAAGTGCATTGCTCCTTACGCAATAATGTTACTTAGGAATGCTACAGACTTGGTCCATCAACTTATTTAACTCATTCATCAAATAAGAAACCAACAAAAAAATAATAATAGTTCTTTCGTTTTTTATTTTATTTTTTATTTTTATCACTTATTTCTAATTTTTATTTATTGTTTTCATGTATTTCACGAAAATCTTAAGATAAGCTTAACCAAATTTAAAATATAGTTTTATGTTGTTGAAGGGGGAACTTAATTGACTTGTATTATACCAATTTTAACATCCTATTGTTACCTTGAAAAGGCCGTATAGTTGTAGATGATGGATTCTTTGGCATTTGTGTAATCTCTTTCTCCCTTCTCCAAGAAATTAGAAATCACCACGCGTTGTAGGTGTTTGGTTAAAGTCCACACCGCAATGGCTTAAAATTCACAAGACTGAACACCTGTAAGTATAGTACTAGACTCTTGGCTAAGAACGACCAATTCCTTTGTCTGCAATCAAATCATATCAAAATTACTCCTCCATTGTACTTCTTCTAAAAAGATACTCATTCATTTAAACAGAAAAAAAAAATTCATTATTTTCGCATTCAAGTTCAACTAACACACACGTCAAATTCTACCAAACGAGTAGGTCCCTAAAGTGATCAGATGTGCCACCTGGCGTTACTCTAATCAAAGACAGAGTACCATTGCTTACGTACATAGGTTCCTCGGTCGTCACACACGTAAGGGTGGAATCCAGAGCAGGCAAACCCACATGGTACTCTGGGACCGTCCAATCATGATTCGCAGAATCAGGAGAGAGAGTAGGATGAAAGCGGGTGCAGGGTTGTGCGAAACAGGGGATTAGAAAGAGGCGTGATAAGGAAAAGAAACGTGTGGAAGGAAGATCAATGGAGGGGACAGGTGGAGACACAGCATAAGGCAGGTGAGTACGACTACAATTTACAATCAGCTCGTGTCTCTCTCTTTTCCTTTCTTTCCCCCACTCACAATTCACAATAGATGCGTGTGCCATCAACAAAACTTACATTTTTCCTCACACGTGTCGCTTTCTCGTCTCTCCTTTCTCCTCCTTTTATCGCCTCCTCCCTTCTTTTTCTTCCCGTTCCCTCTCTCAACTACGACACCGTTGCGCTATGGAGGAGGATGACCTACTCGAACGATTCGACTCCGAGTTCACGTCCACCAGCTCCGGCTCCGTCATTTCTTCCACACTCAGCACCGACGATTTCCGGAACCTCACGAGCTCCGGCGACATTTCCTCCATCAGCAGCGGCTCTGGCGAGATTCCTCCTGTCGCGGTCACCGAGGTGGTACTTGCGCCACCGCTGCTCCACCGCGCGGGGCTCAATGACTGCGAGACGCCCACGGCCAGGGAGAAGTGCGTCGGGAGGAGTAACAAGGGAGTGAGTTGGGGACATACTTCGGTGATCGGGAGGAGGAAAGAGATGGAGGACGCCGTAGCCGTTATTCCGGGATTCATGTCTCGCACGTGCGATCACGTCGGCGGTTGTACGGCTCCCGGCTCCAGATCCTCCGGCGAGATCGCTCCCGTTCATTTCTTCGGCGTTTACGACGGCCACGGTGGCTCACAGGTTCGGTACACTTTTTTCTTCTTCTTCGCCGTCGTCAATTTTTTTTAATAATTATTTAATTTTCGGAAAATTTTGGTTTTCGTTTTTATATATTTTGAAGTTTGAAAGAGGTGTTGGTGGTTATGGTGAATGCACCGGATGGAGTGTGGCGTTCTGATTAATATTTAACTTATTCTCTTTTTAATTGTTATTTATCTGGTGGATTACTTTCGATGCTTATTCTACTACCATCATTTTTTTTTTCTTCTATGTAAATTAATAAATAAAAAAAAATGATATTGGAATCATTGGGCTCGTTAAATTTAAATTGGGAATGTGGTTGGTGGGTGTATTGCTCAGAGAGGCCACGTGTTATAGGGTCATAGGCAGAGTGGTCCTCAGAGAGAGATAAACTTACAGTGCTTTTCATTGTGTTGTAACACGTGTAAACGCAATCGTGTATAATCGGGACGTGGACCTTTTCTTTTCTAGGACGGATAGTTGTACTAATTGGGAATGGAATTGATTAGCGTGACTGAGATCTGACGTGGTTTCTATCACAGACAAATCATCACGTAGTGGCATGCCAAAAGGTTTCAGAGACGAGTCTGTCTACAGCTTGAAGAAAAACAACCAGTTTTGAAATAAACTAGAAAATATTTCAAAGCAAGTTTGAATCTTATGTATTTATAAGACTCATAAAAAATAAATTAATGTATAGAAGCTTTTATATTGATTTAAGTTTATGATTTTTTTTGTTATTTCGAAATTTATTGATGTATATTCAATTTTGTTGCTAATATTTTTTTAATATAATTCTCAAAATAATTATTATTAAAATCACAAAAAATTACAATTAGGTGATGATATACTCTTTTATTCATAAATTATTTTAATTTAGCAAGAATATATTCAGAACAGTAGTTATGGTTGTTGTTAAATATGATTTTAAAGGTTGTGCCTAAATATTTCTTATGAATATATTTATACATCTTTTATTTATTTAATTGCTTTGAAAAGAAATATAATGATTAGGAAGTGTTACTATGTTCGGGTGGCCACGTGGATGAAAAAGATGAGTTTTTTTAGAAAGAAAAGGTGTATTGTTCATGTGTGAGGAAGTGGGAACTATGCTAACTATGATCCTTTGCACTACTTTTGGCATAGGGTGATTTTGACGTTATTAATAATAAACAATTCAAAAAATAATCCATTTTATTAATATAATAATTATGAAAGAGATTAAATAAAAATAAAAATAAGTTAAAATTATTATTATAATATTAAAAATGGGTTGTTTATTAAAGTTGTATAAATTTAAATTGTGAAAAGTATCATTTTTCTTTAGTATATTATATTGGGGGCTGACGGATGATGGTCGTGGTTAGTCTGCTTCATTCTGGAAAAGTTTTCGCATGTTATTTTGAATACCAGTTTCCAATAAATTATAATAAATTGCAAAAATAATTGTTTATGTCAGTAGATTAAATCACAACTGTTAAAAACATTATAAAACGATCTTCCCTGTATGCGTGCAGAACAGCAGCTAAAGTTCATGAGGAACTTTCAATTCGTAGGAATATTTATGCTCTGCACACTTAACAAACAGATAAGATTCATGCTTTATTTAACGATTTTGCATTTAAATTTTAGGGATTTTTTTTCTCATTAGAATATTGTTATTCCAGAATTACTTTTAGTGATGTTTAATAACATCATTAAATGAAGCCAATGATCATATCTGAGGTTTAGGACTGGTCTTTAAATAAGAAAGTGGTAAAAAATTGCGCAATGAAAAAGGTATGAAAAAATATTTCCCTTCTAGATAGTCTTCAGAAGTTTGGTTTCCCATTTGATATATCAATGCTATTTTTTCCATCGGACAAAACAAATTTGTATATACTATTAAGACGTTGAAAATGTATATGTCCAAAAAAATTCCACAATTTTATTAGAGCTTAAGTAAACTATGGAACTGTCAACAAATGGTCATTTAATTGTACCCGTTTTCATCTCTTTCCAACTCTGAATCACAGAAAGCATCTTCTCTAGTTTCATTGTATGTAATTATGCGATCGTTTTATCGTTGATTTTGCATTTGAAGTGTATGTGCAACAGAATTCAAGGTGAGTTGTGTGGGAAAAAATGTGGAGCGCATAATATTGGGGGGACTGACAAATGATGGTCGTGGTTAGTCGCTTGTACATTTAAGCAAAATAGGTCGATGGATTAAGATCTAATGTGAAACTGCCTTATTATACTGTGAGTATTTGTTGCAGGATGCTAAAATGAGAGTTTTTATTTTTGTATCATAAAAAAAAACGAGGTTATTTGAATTTTCTCATTAAACTGGTTACCATGTAGATTGGTTGATTATTTTGCGTTGTAGATGTTAATTATGACATTACCACTATTATTTGTGTATTAAATTTTTATTATATATCTTTGGACTACTATCTACTTCAGAATTATGATATCAAAGATGGATTAAGAAGGGCAACTTAACTATGAACGTCGTTCCCTTGTACAAGGGAGGAGTAACCTGTCCAAAATGCGAAGCCTTGAGCTCATTATTTATGGAATATTTGGTGTTAAACTCGTCCAAATTTTCCGCTTGATGTCTAATGTTTCTATTTTTTTCTCTAAACTGTAATAATATCTGATTCTAGTCGAATGAATGATCCAACGTGGTCTTCATAACATAAAAGCTACCTAGAATATATCTGTCCATATTTGACAGTCGTTAATAAGACTCTTCACAATATGTTTAAGTCTTCAGTTTTTTCCCTGAAACTTAATTTACTAATTTCTCTACAATTAATACGACAGTAAAATTTGTTTTTAAATAAGGATAATCTTGGAATTTTTAATAATTTTTTATATAAAAAAAATACATTATCTAACTTTAATTTTCTTCATTCGTGTGATTTGGTTGAATAAACACCTTATAAGTAGAATGGAAGTACACCATAAAAGTTTACCATTCTCCTAACTTTTGTGGTAATTTAATTATTCTAGGTGGCTAAGTTCTGTGCTAAGCGGATGCACGATGTTATAGCAGAGGAGTGGGACCGAGAAATGGCAGGTGGAGCTGAATGGCAGAGAAGATGGGAAGCCGTATTTGCTAACAGTTTTGAGAGGACTGACAATGAAATCCTGTCAGACGCAGTTGCACCTGAAATGGTAGGATCTACTGCCTCTGTGGTTGTTCTATCTGGTTGCCAAATTATTGCATCCAACTGCGGCGACTCAAGGGTAGTTCTTTGCCGCAGGACACAAACTATCCCCTTGACAGTGGATCAAAAGGTCAGGTCTAGTCATAACCCACTTATCTTGTTGATATAACTCCGACCATGCGATCATGTGTTCCATTTTAGGTTTCATGAAAATGGGAAACTATATGTACCGCCAGTTTATTAAATCAGGCCATAAATTTTGTCTGTCATGCATTCTTTAGTTTTCATGTGTACGTAATGACCACAAATTTATTGTCAAAATTATAAAATAAAAAGGATAAAAACAGTGACCTCTTCTGCTTTGAATTGTGAAATAATTGTAACTCACGAGAAGGGGTTGTTAAAAAAACAAAGGAAGAAAAAGAAGAGAAAACTCGGCCCATACAGCCATGTTTTCAAAACATAATCAGGGACGGATGTAAGGAGGGTAACTCTCTAAACAAAACTTTAAAAGATTGTATATTTTAATTTTATTTATAAAACTATATAATATTATAATTTATTAATTTAATTATGTTAGTAAAGGTATTTTTTACTCCCCTATTTTGATATCATTAACGGAATTGAGATACCATTGTCCTTCTTTGTACAGCCGGATAGACAAGATGAACTCTTGAGAATTGAAGGAGAAGGAGGAAAAGTCATAAACTGGAATGGAGCTAGGGTGTTTGGTGTTCTTGCCATGTCCAGGGCCATAGGTACCTTGATTTATCTTCATACCCAATCTTAGGTTAAGAATTTGCGAAATTTTTTCTACTTATAAACTATTAATAGGCACATATAGTTGCTTTCAACATTAATATGGCCAATAATCTCTCTGCTATGAGATACTAAGGGATGCAAACGGTTATAATCATCTAGTATTTTTTTAATCGTCTAGTAATTAGCGATTGTGGTAATAATCTATAATCGTCCTGTACATGGTCATTTTCTTCCTGGTATCACCGTAAATAAGTTACTAAAAGAAACAACAAAATGGGCAGATACTGAAACTCATTGCATTAGTTGCGATAATGAGACAATGGAAGAATGGAAGTTAAGATAGGGAATCTGAGCTTGAGTTAAAAGCCTACTTTTGTGGAGATACTTGAAATGAGTCTCGTGACTCGTGAGATAACACAGTAAGAGGATGTAGCTGGTAAGAGATTAGATGGGGAAAATGTATCATGAAGAAAAGAGCGGTTTGTGTGATAGATTCAAATGAATTAGGTGTCAAATTTATGTTATGTTTGAGTCAAATTTTTTCAAGTTGTTTGTTTCTTAAAAAAAATTGTCAAACACCTTCTTCTTTTTTAAGTTCTTAGAATTTGAGCAGATTAACTTTTACAAAGAAATTGAAAAATAAGTACCTTTTTTTTGTTTTAAAAAAAAAATGGTTACGGAAATAGTATTTGGTTTCTCATCTCTCTGTCTCAGCTATCTTCTTGTTCTCTCGCTACACACGGACTCTCTCTCTCTCTCTTTTCTTTTTATTCTCTCTTTGTTCTGTTACAGTCTGCATTTTTTTTGTCCATCTCTTTTAATTAATTAAAAGAAATAAAAAGTGACAAACACTTCTATGTTAATTTTGAAGTTCTTGTTTTGAGTTTTAATTTTAAATTAACTAAAAATAGGTCAAACATAACGTTAATAAAGTGATGCCTACAAGAACTTCTTATTAAGAGTGATTTTGATGAATGATGGATACACACAAATGTTTGAAGAAGTTGATTTTTCATCATTCACACACTCGCATGATTTTCCTCTCCAATTAGAAATTCAATATTTATTGTTTGAAGCATTATCATATTGTTAACTTCTTTCTTCCTCAGTTTAATCAAATCAAGGTAGACTATTCCAGCCTCTGACTTCTAGTGACCTGAATTGCCATAATAATACAACTTAATTGTAGTGAGAGACTGGGATCTTTATCATCCACAGTTCATAACATTGGCACAAGTTAATACATGTTAAAACAAACTTCTCTTTATGATTTAAAAGATTACAAATTCTGCCCGTTTGTTCCTCTTGCTTATTATAATTGGTAACTAGTTCATGCAAATTCTTGCACTAGAGATGATCGTTTGGATCGCTCAATTATCCAACAAGAATATTTTACAGTATTTCTCAATTCCCTTGAAGTATGGTAGTTACACACCAAGAAGCTTGCCTGCAGTGAAGAGCTAATCATTATTATCTCTTTCCCTTTGAATGGGACAAACTCTAGATATACTCCCTTTTGTTAGTCTGAAATTCTTTTCATACGATGATACAAAAATGAGGTTTATAGTGTAATGAAGATTATACAAAGATAGGGCTTTGTTATTTTTATACGAAAGGTATATTGGAAATAAAAATAAAAAAGGGGAGGGAGGAGTGCACTTCGTAAATTAAGAGGTTGAATAGAAAAATGCAAAAAGAATTGTATTTATACGAGCCTACATTTTGCTAGTCCTAATCCACACATGTAGCGTGATTCCTTATACGGAGCAACGTGTAAACCTAAAGTCCAGATGGTTGCTTTGGTATAAAGTTGTATTACTCAGTCGTAGCGAGTTGCAAGTTTGACCTATTTAACTACTTCATTTTACAACCTATCATTCTTCTCATCTAATAATCAGGTACGGTCATTTTCTCTTTTGACATTACTAATTAAAAAATCCTGGAGTACGTATAAATATCTAGTTCATGGTTCTTCAGAAATTTTAGCAGAAGCTATTTATGCCTGATTCAGGAAAAGTCTTAAACAATAAAAACTAACATAGTTTTTATGCCTGATTATCTATATAACTTGTATTTCATATTATCTTAGTTATAAATAATAAATACTCCAGCTATCACATTTACTTTTACTTTGAAAACTAGTTAGAATACATACTAAGGTTTAGATGAATTACTGCAAGAAAGGTATTTTGGTATGTATAGCACCGGTTCTTCAAGGCTACATGTGTTTAGCAGCATCCAGTGCAAACATTGCGTTTATTCTTTTCTTCTGGTGGTATTCAGTTAGAAAAACTATATGTACAGTCTACCAAGTTGAGCTAGTACTTGGACATCTTGAATCCAAGTCTATAACTAGTCCTGTATTTACCTGCTTAACGATGATATTTCAGGTGATCGGTACTTGAGACCATGGATTATTCCGGTGCCTGAGATAACTTTCACAGAAAGAACAGACGAGGATGAGTGCTTAGTTTTGGCAAGTGACGGACTCTGGGATGTACTGAGCAATGAAGAAGTTGGAGAAGTGGCACGCCACATTCTTAGAAGACGCCGCAGATCTATGTCAGTGGAGGAAACATCTCCTGCACAAGTTGTTGCCGACAGCCTGACTGAAATTGCATACGGTAGAAATAGTAAAGATAACATTTCGATCATAGTTGTTGATCTGAAATCAAAGAGAAAACGTCAGCAAAGGCCTCCTTTAATATCCTAAGAATATATTTCGCTCTTATCTTTTTCGATCTTGAGAAGGGCAAAGAGACGGTAATGATCTATAAACAAACCTTTTTTTTTTTTTTTTTCATGACCCCATTGGTACTTGGTATCACTTCACCTTGTGTCTTTCTCCTAACCTGCTGTACAGAGTTGATTGGGTAAAAAGAATCTGCTTCACGACAGTGACAACTAGCTAGGGCTGGCTTGTTGTATGTAATGAAGTATATAGATCGGTACTCTTTTTTTTTTTTTTTTCTTTTTTCATTTGGTCCTGATTCCAGAACGGTCATGTGAATAACAGAATGAAATGCCATCAATTGTATTGTTTGAATTTCTTTTATTGAAAGAAATGGAATAAAACATGATGGACTTTATTCCATTTCATTGTATTCAATATTCTCATTATTTTCTATTTGATTTGAAAATACATGATGCAATTACTCTAATAAACTAATAACTCTTGCTACTATGTCAAATGTTCAAACAGTGAAACAAAAACTTATTCTTTTATTATATACTTGTAGGATATAATTATTTAATTTTAGTCTATCTTCTACCTTTTTTGTTGATGTCATTGATTATTAAAATACAGTTGGAGGAAAGCTTGGAATAAGAAATCTTTCTATTTAGACTATGTTTATTGAAACTTAAGTAGCATGAGTTTCAATGCACTTCAATGAAAGAGTTATCAAAGAGATAGTTTTGCAAAAATGATATGCTTGAAGAATGTCTTATTTTAATTACATAAAATGGCATGTTAATATGCCCGGCCGAAAGAAAACATCATTCTTTAACAATTTGATCTGATGTCACCTTCATCGTGATCCTCGCAGGTTTGTCGTTCTACAATATATCAATATTTCCAACTAATAAGGGACGTATGTTATCCAAATTCGCTTTGTTCGGAAAATTGAGTTACCTCAACGAAATAAATGACATGAAGAGCAACTGTAATCCCTTTCTCCAATATTTATTGTTTTTAAATATTATTAATAAATTCAGATGATGTTTTGTTGGCTATTCTATTAATATTTTCGTAATCTGCAGAGTAAAATTTTGCATAAAATGTATTCATACTTATATTCTGGAATGCAAATTTCATAAGAAAATATTCGATATTGACATATTTAACCCTAATAATTAAGTTGATTTTAATTTGACAATATTTCAATTCTCATATATATTAAATAACATTTGTTATATGTATATAGTATAATCAATAAAGGATTATTTTTACTATGTGATGAGGTGCTAATTCAACATAATCAATCAAATATCAATATTTGAAAATTAATATAAACCATAATTTAACAAGTTATGATTACACTTTTTTAAGCCATATAATTTACACATAGATGCTGCTTGCTAGGTTCCATCTAACTCAATCTAATGCAATATAAATTAAGAAGATTGATTTTTGATATTATTTATGATTAAATTAAACCCAATCAACCTAATATGAATCATTGAACACTGAATTTTATATATTTAATCGGAGATTCAACTCAATCATTAAAATTATGAAATAATATTAATATTAATATAATAGTAATATAAATATTATTTAATTGATTTAATTATTATATTATAAAAATATTTTTTTAATTATTAAATAATATAATTATTTCAAAATATTTATAAAAGAATATTATAAATTAAAAAAATTATAAAAAAATAATACTTTTAAACTCAACCTAACTAAATTCAACCAAACCTAATCAAATCCAACCGATCATTTTCTAACCAAATACAGTTCAACCAAACCAAATACAATTGAATTGAATCAAACCCAATCAAACTAACTCAAATAAAATCAAACTTAATTGAATCTAATTCAATTGACCCCAACTAAACTAAACACAACAAAAATCAATAGAACCTAACTCAATCCAATTGAAGTAAATCACATACAACATAATCAAACTCAACTTAATCAAAACCAACTAACTGAACCAAATCCAACCAAACTAAATTAAATCAAATCCAATCGAATCGAACTTAATCTAATTGAACTAAATAAAACTAAACCAAACAAAACAAAATTCAATTGAATCAAAATGAACTTAACCAAACCAAGCAAAATCTAATCGAACCAAAATGAACTCAACCAAACCAAATAAATCTCAACCCAAACCTAACCTAACTTAAATCAAACTACTTGAATAAGGGTAGTTAGGTTGGTTTGATTTTAACAAATAAAATAAAATAAAATATGCAAAGACCCACCTAAACCAATCGAATTGAATTAAACCAACCAAACCTAATACAACTAAATCAAACCAAACCCAATAGATCCAATCAAATTGAACCTAACCATACTCAATCGAGTCGGTTGAGCTCAACTCAACCCAATCCTACTAAATCTAATTAAATCAAACTTAACCTAACAAAATCCAAATTAATTGAACCAAACTAAACTCAACTAAATCGAAATGAATCGAACACACTCAATCAAACCAAATCGAATCTAACAAAACTAAATTAAAACATATCCAACCAAATTGAACGCAGGTTAACAAAACCTAATTGAGCCCAATCTAACCTAACGAAATCCAATCAAATCAATCAAACCAAACCAAATAAAACCTAATGAACCTCAACCAAAACCTAATCCAACGGCACCTAAATGAACCAAACACACTCAATTAAACAAAATTAAACTCAATCCAACCAAATTGAAGCTAACCTAATGAAACTAAAATAATCCTAACCAAAGACAATCCAATCAAACCCAACTAAAACAAACCCAAGGATGACAAAACGATTTAAACCCAACGGGTTGACTCGTCAACCCACCTAAAAAAATGGTAGGGCGGGTTAATGATTTTAATCCGCTAACCAGCTTTTAGGCAAGTCTTGCCTAGTCCACCAACGCTTTAAAAATATATTTATATCTTAAAATTAAAATTGTAAAAATTATAATTAAAGATATTATATTTTTTGTGTTATGTTATTGAAATATGTAAATATATTATAATATTATAATTTAAGTTATAAAAATTAATCAAATAAGTTTAAATTATTGATTATAATTAATTATTTTAACATATAAATATAATAATTTTTTTAATTTATCTAATAAAAATATTAAATACTAAATAAAAAATAAAAATAAAAAATTATTCATATAATTAAAGATATATTTTTATAAACATACATATAAAAAATTTAATATAAAAAAAGTTGATTGATGTATAAACCCGTTTTGTAATCCCTATCCAACAAAACCTAATGAAAACTAATCGAATTCAACTAAGTTGAATCCAATTAAATCAAGTCCAACCCAATTGAGCTTAACTAAATCAAATCAAACTAAACACAATCCAATCAAACCGAATGAAACCCAAACAAATCCAATCCAACCTAACCACGCATAACTTAATCGAACTTGATCAAATCCAACTCAATCAAACCCAACTAAACAAAACTCAACTAAACAAAACTGAATTATACCTAATCAAACTCAATTGGACCCAACAAAATTGAACACAACTCAATTAAATCGAATCAAACTAAACCTAACTAAACCAATTAAACTAAATTGAATCAAACGGAAATGAGGATAGATTGACTTGGTTTGAGTATAACAAAATAAAATGCAAATACCTAACTGAACCTACTACATTCAAACCAAACAAAACCCAACTAAACCTAATTGAATTGAATCAAACCCAACCGAGTTCAATTCAACCCAATCCAATTAGATCCAATTGAACCAAATCTAACCCAGTTCAATCCAAATTAACTAAATCAAACCCAACCTAATTGAATTGAATCTAATCAAACTAAACTGAACACACCCAATTGAACCCAACCAAACAAATCCAAACCTAATACAACCTAATCGAACACAACCGAACCAAATTGAATCGAACCGAACCTAACCTAACCCAATCGAACCAACCAAAGTCAATTAAGTTGAATTCAACTCAACTTAGCCTAATTGAACCCAACCAAACAAACACAACCCAATTAAATTGAATCAAACCCACCAAACATAATCTAATTGAATTCAACCTAACCAAACCAAACTCTTATTGCATCAAAGGATTTCCCATCATCAAACATACCTTAAATAAAAAACATTAACACATGGACAATTAGTACATCTTTAATATTGACTTAAGAGGTTTAACCACAATCTATGGTAACCTTTCTCCTATTTAAGCCCGATTTACTCTAGTCTTTTCAACTATGTTTGGAACCTTTTGGTTACACACATTAAGACCTAAGTTTATAAGATCATAAACATGTTTCTATAAAAGGTCAAGAGATAAATCCCTGGCCCAACTTTCTTCATCACCTCCTGCACCAGGTATGTAATTTCAGTTGAACTCAAAGATTGTCCAATGTTGGCTCACACCAACTAATGAAGACGCGGACACAAGAATGATGGGTGTGAAATCCCAAGATTCATGGGGAGGTATATTACTTAAACAGATGACAAATTTTTGTGAAATCCAAGAGGACACACAGGTTTCCTCAAGCAAGCAGCAGTAAGGGAAGCAATATCAGCCCAACTTGCTTTCAATAACAGAGTCCATTCCTCTAACTGCTTCTCAATGGAAGCTCTTTCTGTTTAGGAAACCCACAATATTGGATTTCTTCCATATGGTGAAGTAACGGGTGTCACATATCTTTGCTCCAAAAATGATAATTTATGCCATCTAATTTTATATTGATCAGGTTCCGGCCAGATTCTCTCTTGGGTGAAGATAATATACATTTCCAGGATTTTGATAGACATTTATAACATCAACTTTATTGCTTGTTGTTTCCTTAAGAAGAGGCGATCTTTAAGGGTAGTAAAAAAGGAGAAAAAAAAAAAAGATTTCGCAGCGAAACAAAGTGTGATTTACCCGCTCTAATACCATATTAGATTTCTTCCATACTAATACCATATTAGATTTCTTCCATACGGTGAAGCTTGAATGCAGAAGAAAACAAACAACTGTGTAAAGATTATACATGCAATAAGAGAAAGAATAAAAGAAGTTTGATATTATTAATGGTTGAAAAGTAAGTTACAAAATTGAAGAATAGAGAACAATATATATAGAAAAAAAAAAAACAGAAAAACTAAAACCCAATAACATGATAAAAACGAATCCAACTCAGGGGAAGGGGCAAAGAACAATTCCATTAACTAACACTTTCACAAAAATCATTAGAGTCTTATTTTATGAAGACAAAGCAGTCAATAACATGATTAGAATATTCTCATAAGCAATAATATTTGCTAAAGTACACTTCAATCCCTCGTCCTTTTGATTTTAATTTGATTCCATAAATTTGAAATGTTTTTTGTTAAAATAGTTTTTCAGTCAGTTTACCACATTAACTTGATTAACTTGGTGATACAAGACAAACAACGCATGAGCATTTACCAGTCAATCAAAACTGTTAATGAAAAAAAATAAAATTATGAAAGGATAAGATTGGCCCAATAAACACAGAAGAACCAATTTAGTCTATCTCACTCTTTTAAGGACAAAAGTGTAGCACTTTGAACACGAGGACAAAACTGAAACAAAAGCGTAGTCCTACCAATAATATCTTAGCAATGAATGAAAAGGGAGGCAAAAGATCAACTTAGTCCCTTTGTCAGTTTACTAAAAAAAAAAAAGAACAAAAATGTATTTCAGTGATGAATAAAATTCTCTTACACGAAAGTCTGATGGCCTGGTTAAAAACATAGGTCCAAATGGGTATAATTTTGGACATGCAATTAGGGAAGTGTTTTTTGTCTTCGGGTGGAATCAACGATGATGCATCCTCCCTTCTATCCCACTTACCCAAATGAAAAATGATGAGAATAAGCGAGAAAGATTAAGTATTTGACAATTAGGAATGGTAAAAATCGTACTAACGAGTTGGGAGACTTAAGTTAGAAAAGTTGATGATTTGAGAAATACTAACTGTTGTTAAAACAGGGGTTTCCGATCCTTAAAATGCGAAAGCTTGAAGTGATTAAGTAGGTATTAATTGTTCCACAACATGGTGTCTCTTCTCACCACACCCTTTAGAAACAAGAAGAAATCAACTTGATTGGATTTTTTTACTTCAAAGTTGCAATCTTGGCAGCACTTTTGAATACTCCATTGGTTGCTGAAGAAGCTGGAGTGAAAGCCTTTCGTATCTTAAAGACATTCCAAGCAGTGTTAGCAGCATGTCCCGCAGTTGCAAATACATGCTCAGTAGCTTCCCCTGCACTTTCCCCAAACCTGTTGTCCAAGGCTTATGTATCAAATTCAACTGAGTTGTTTTGGCCTCATGGGAATGAGATCCAACTATAAATATCTGCTAAGCTGTTCACTGTTCTGTGAAATAGCCTTTACCTGTTAGAGACCACTTTGGATGCAGCTTTGGAGGTGGCAGAAAGAGTTTGTTTTTCAGCAGCTTCAGCTGCATCTAGAACCTTATCTGCAGCATTAGAAGATTTACAAATTAAAGAATTTTAAAGCAAAATAATGTTATGAAGTGTTTCACTTAGTTTTACTCACTAACTGCATCAAGGGAAGCCAGCAGAACTTCCCCAGGAAGCATTTTTAGGAATGCCTTTCCTGTTTGGGATTTAACCAAAGGAGCCATCACTGATCCACTGACTATACCGACACCATTGAGCAAAGATTTGCTTAACTTTTCTGTCATCTTGGACAGCTTTCTCACACTAAAATGCAAATACAAAAGACTTTTAATATAACTCATTCACATGTGCACTAAACATAGTGATTTATGTGTTCAGTGTCATTCTTTGAATACCGTTTGAGGTTTTTATTAATCTTGTTCTTCTTTGAGCCACTGACTATCTTGTTGCTCATACTTTGCCTGGCCACAACACCATTTTTCTCATCTGCAGAACTATTTAGGATCGTTTCTCCTCCTTTCTGGACCTGGTGATTTTCCTCCCAGCAAGTTTTAGATAAAGTTAGTGGTATGAATAGCATTTTAATTCTTTCCCTTTGCTCTTCAGACAAACTATTCACTTGATGTTTAATTGTCTTTGTAATTAATTTCAGTGCCTTTAAGAGAAAATTATAAGTTGTAGTCTCAACTTCACACACACGTAAATGGAAAATTTTATTCCTTCTGTTAATAACACCCTTAAGTGGTGTTACTTCTAAAAACATGCTGATAATATAGAATAGAGCTGCTTCAAAATTTTCAAACAGGTATAAAACTTCCAAAAAAAAAAGTGCGACATGGAAAACTTTCTCTAGTGGCTTTAAAACAATTTCACGGTATTAATACAGGAAAGTTCAAAACTTTATTTTCTGGGATTAAAATTTAAAATGAAGACAAAAGTACGAGTAAAGATAATAGTTTAACCTTTGTCTTTTGTTCAACATTATCCATCGTTCAGTCACACCCACACAATTTTCTAGCCTCACGAAATTACAAGGTTCAAGCATCATAAAATAAAAGGTGAAAAGCAAAGGTAAAGCACTGAATTACTCTCTAATAAGTCAACAAGAGAACAAAACCTTATTGGTGTAAGCATTGCTGCAGATGAAGATGCCCTTTACAATCTGACCAGTTCCTCCTGCAATTACCTTGGACAGAAAATGATTGTAATCATCAACCTTTGGAGCAAACTCCCTCCAATCTAGATTGTTCTTCTTGCTCAAATTCAAGCCAGAAAAGCAAGAGTGGTCCTTCAGAAACGAGTCCAGCAAACTCAAACTTCCCAAAGTAGATTCTGAAAAGGTCACACCATAGCTAAGAGGCTCACCATCTTTGACAAGCAAGGAAAACAGGTAATGGAGAGAATCCAACTTAACTACTGGCTCATCTTTTGTCAAAGGCCATTGAAGATCATGTCCTACTTTTATGATTGTAGCTAGAGACACATTCTCTTCCAAGATTTTTACGATCATGAAGTTCCCTTGAGCCAGTTCAAGAGCTTCTCCTTCATCCATTAGATGAACTCTACATGCTGGTAGTTGTATGAGAACTTCTTGTTTGAGTCCTGAGTATTCTCCAACACCTACAGTTGCAGGTATGGAGGTTTCCATGGGTGGTGGACTAGCTATGGAGCCACGGAAACAACAACACCCCACTGCTTTTTCTCTCTTGGGAGCCATGTTAATTGAGAAAAAGGCAATGACTCTTTGTTGCTTTGGATTCTTTTGCTCCTTGCTTTATTCTGTTCTTTATGACTTTTCTAGCAATTCCCTTAATTATCAAATTAACTTAGTTTTTGAAAAATTATCAATTTTTAATGTATTCATTTGAAACAAATATTTGTGACAACTTATAAACATTAAAAGTACTCTTACAATTACTTGTGGCAGTTAGACCTAGCCGTAGCATACTGTGTTGTTTTTTTTAGTTATAGTCTTATTTTGATAATTTATACTGATTTAATAGGATAATTTATTATGTATGTTATTGAAATAAAATTTCAATTTTAACTGACGGACAACACCATCACTCTTGTAGAATTGTATGTAATTTTATAATTTTGAAAAGGGGCACCATATTCGTCAAAAAGTCATTCCTCATATCTGGTGTTAAGATGATATGTCGTTCGGTGAAATGTATTCTATAAAAATAAAACATAGAGCATTTCAAACCCCTTCCAATATGCACATACATATCTTAACAAAATCAAGTCAAGTTGAAAAAATTACACAGAATCTGTCACTACATGCTTCAGTGAGACCCCATCAAAATAGTAAAGATATAAACAAACACGTCAATGAAGACCCTATTGAAAAATGTGCAATAGCATTACAGCTTGCTCCAATTTGAAATCCAAGACTTTTTTTATAACCTGTGAATTTTTTTTTTCTTTGTTGAGAATTATATTGAATTTTCTAAAGACTTAAAAATTCCAAATTTAAAGATGTAAAAACATATTTAAGCCCTTTTTAATTAATTTTCCTGCATTCTTACTTTGTTGGCTTATTAATTAATTTTGAAACACTTAATGTAATCATTCCATATTAGGAATAGTTAACATAATGATTCAGTAAAAATAATTATACGAACAAGGTTTTAAAATTAAACTGATTTTCTTCTTAAACTAGATGTAAATCACTAGCTGTATAATTCTGCAATTCTTGATCACTGTATTACATAAATTAAATCATTGAAGAGTTAAAAATACAAATATCAACCCTAAGGGAAAAGGCCTGCGCTATAAAAAATCATATGGATTGAATGGACAATGAAAAAATGGAACTAGAATTCCTACCACACTAAAACAATCAATCATGAATGCACCAAACAATAATTAAGACCAATTTGATCTACCACTACCCATGCTTCCCGAGTGAGGCAAGGAGAAAGAGAGAAGAGACAGTTCGATTGATGGCTGCAAGAACCTCCTAGTTATCAAATTTCTTGGGTTGATGCCATTGTGCCAAACTTCTGGACAAAGAACTGAGGAATGACCCTCTAGTAGGCATCCCTTTCTTTCCGTATAAATGTTTTCCTCCCAAATCTGTGAAAACTGGACTCATATCCTTGCTTCTTTGAGTTCTTTCAATCTGCATAACATACCAAAAAGAGGAATATATTCTGGTTAAGAAAACAGTTGTTAAAATTCATCTTGTCTGATAAAAACAAGATACCCCTGCACCTGGTCTGATAAGGAAATCAGAGATAACATAAAACATCAACCAACTTACCTTGCTAATTTTTCCATCTTTCAAATAGTACCGAATACCAGACCAATTGATAGATTGAGAAAAATGAGAGCGGAAGGCAGATATGGGATATAGAAAGTTATCCACCAGCATTGCGATGAACACCTGTTCAAAAGAAGTCACTTTCTAACTTTACGAACTAGTAGCAGGCTTGTTTGATATTTCACATCCTTTGGATCATAATACTACATTCAGAATCATATCCCCAAATACAAAATTTTCCAGGATAAACTCACAAGTCCATGTATTCCTTTCTCTATTTTATTCTATAGTTCAACGTGTTTATGCAAAAAAAAAAAAAAACAGTGGCAAACCCATGCAAAATTTGATTCGACTCAAAATTATGTTTACTGCCTTATCACATTTTAGAATGAGTTATAAAATACTACATCGTTCCCCTCACCTCGAATTATCATCATAGGCTATACAAAATAGGAATGCAAGGCTAATAGTTAAAGATTTACACAGAAGAACTCAACTTTACAGTACAAATGTACAAGACATATAGGATAAACAATAACTCTAAAAATCAGGCAAGACGAAAATACTTACAAGACTCCAATTATAAGATGCAAGAGAGAGTTGTGGTGCCTCTGGAGACAACATGTTGCACAGTTGGACTTCTATCCGTGTCAAGTTCCACATTGAAAGAAGTTCAACAAGAGTGCATATGGCTAGGATGGTCACCAATAACAACCCTGGGAAAAAAAATGCAAGAATTGAAATTTAATCTTTCACGGGAAAGTTCATCTCACAATATTGATGCAGTACACCATTTTTGTTTTCCTATTGACAAGCCTTTGTATATATTCATGGAAAATAGAGAAATGTCACCAGTGGAATGTAACATATGACAACGGGAAAAGAATGTCATGGTTGGATTGAATCATATCATTCCATTGCATTATTGAAAAAGATAATCTAAACCATATTGATAAGCAATTATCACAGACCTGATTTGTCTGTTTGTACAATATCCCACCGAATGTAATGAAACCAATAACATAAATAAAATTCTTATATAGTAACAAGTATTTATAAACCCTATATAATACCAAAAAAATCCCCCAGAAATGCTGATGAATCTTCTAACACTGCAGATAAGCTGAACAATAATCCTGATTCAGCATCAGAATCCTGCCAAATTTTATCCATGAACTCACACACTAACAACATACCTAGAAAGGAAAAGTAGTGTGCTCACCACCAGAATTGTAGGTCATTTCTTCAGGTGAGAACTCTTTATTGTAAAATCTTAAGGCTGCAGCAACATGAATCATCGCCATAAAATATGGTGCTACAAATCCCCATGATAAATAACAGTGAGTAGTAAACAATGCACGATTCATTATCCAGTTAACATTTGTTGTATAGGACTCCAAAACGAATGTTTGCTTCCTCAAGTAATTCCAATATCTACACATGTTAAAAAGAAAGTAAATCATAAAAAATCCAAAGAAACTTAATTTAAGATGTGTAATAATCACAAACCTTCCAAAATTAAGGTCACTAGCAAGGGGATGAGGAAAGACAGCAACAGGAGGAGATGTAATGAGCCTTTTGTGAGCCCCTGTATGATACATTATAACAATTGTTAGAATATTGAGATTCTTATTCTTTTAAAAGACTTCTTGTTTAGTAGACTTGCTAAGCAGGCTTAGTAATGAAATTCACCACGGTACTATTTTAGCCTAGATTATTATAGAATAAATTGGTGGTTAGGACAAAACATTAACAATCCTGTTAATGAAAATACACACATATACATGTTCTTTTCTCCTTCTTTTCCAACTTGTCCATATAATTTCAATAGCAATGGACAAACACAATAAATAGAAATGAAATGATAGGGAAAAACATTAAATATATACCAAAAAATGTTAGTCTATCCTAATTGAATAACTAGGAGCCCATTGCATTGCCCAAAAATATGATGTCCTATATGCATGTGGGTGGGAGTGGAGCAGTCTCAGTTCAGTAATGAGTTTGAAAAGAATATGACCCAAAAGAAAACTACTTTCTTACAATGTTAGTTTCCTGCAAATTGTGCATAAATAAGTACAAGAAAATGCTCATAGGCTTGCCAAATCTCACTATAAGGAATTAGCTCCTTCATGGATCAATCTTCAAGCAATCATTATTTTCAATGACTGATACAGATAAAGTGGTTGTATACAATGACAAAGTGTACACAAAATAATTGATAAGAGAACCAAAGATTTACCGGATATGGCTGCAAGAGTCATATCATCAGAATATCCACCATCTTTAAGTCCTGAGACTACACCATAACGATCTAGCCTAAAGTCATCAGCATGCATCTGGAAAAAAAAAAAAAAAAAACTAAATAGTTAGAAAGTAAGTTACTTCAAATCATCAACCGAGTAAAGAAAGAAGGTTAACAGCTACTTGCCATCATGCACCCTCCCCACAAAAAGAATGTTTTTCCACCAGTGGCAAAACCCATTGAACAAGGCTGTGCAATAAAATAAAAGAACATTAGGAGCAAACCAGTGGCGTTATCATAACTAAATCTTGTCAAATATTAGGATTTATGAAAAACCTAAATGAAAAGTAATCTAATAAATACTGAAGCTTAAGTAAAATTCAAATAGCTAAGTTCCATTTAGGTCTTACATATTTTATAGCAAATGGAAAATAACAGAAAACATAATCTTATACACAGACATGCGCTGCAAAGATTGGAGATATAAATCCAGAGGAAGTTGTGTACCATATGGTATTCATAGATGCAGTAACTCCCCAGACTTCCCGATGGCAGATCAAGAGGGTATCCCGTTTGAATAAATATCTGCTAAGGATCAAAGCAGTTAAAACCATATTAAAATAATTCAGGGAAGTGAAACCATAATACATTAACAAATTTAAGATAGACCACAATATCTGCTAATTAATCTCTTTACAAAAACAACAATAAACAAATTTAGGTTAGACCTCAGGGTTCTTTTCCATCTCACGAGTGAGTGCTCCAACTGATCCAGGATGTAATCTAACATCATCATCCAAAAACAATACATACTTGCTATCTTTATGCATTGTCTCCACTCCAACCTGCTCAGGTTTTAATACTCTGTAAGATTAGTGTAATTCATAAAATACTATTTGCAAGGACAATCTACGCAATCAACAAGGATGAAAATGAACCAAATTTCAAAGTGGGATGTCCATAAACTAACACAGATCTTTCACATATGTATTTTCCTAGTAAGTGTTGCATACAGATATGTTTTCTTACTGCCAAGACCATCACCATTTTCAACATAGATTTAGATTGACTTCAAATATATATATATATATATATATATATATATATATATATATATATATATATATATATATATATATATATATATATAGAAGGAAGACAATATTAAGTTCTGCATGACCCAAAGGCTCCACTTTGTTTTTGAAAAAAACTATCAAAATATATGTTAACAAAATTCCATACCAATTGATTGTGAATTTTCTGACTACAAGTTGTTGAGAGACCAGCTACAACAACCTTAGCATCAACATGATCCTGCATACATCAAACAGGCATACATTTATCGTGAATGAGACAACGACAACATTAATGGATACAGCCCAAGACAGGACACAACTAGCTCCAACATGGCAAAACAACTAATTGAGATCAAACGAGTTTACAGCTGCAAAACTTAAAAGCAAATAATGACAGACATGAAAGTGGAAATGAAAAGAAAAACATGAGAGAGAATAACTTGTGAGCTTCTTTATACCTCAAATTCTGCTATTAGTCGTGATACAGCATGGTAAGCAGGATCCTCTGTACTTTCTACCACAAAAAGAAATTCTATAGGGCCACCATATAAAGATGTTATCTGTGTTTGATGAAAAAAGAATCATATATCAACAAAAAATGTGGACAACAATGGTTAATGAACAAACTTCAAGCATTACTGAAAAGATTTTCAAAATTGCAACCAATTATTATTTACTATGCAACAAAAATGAATAACTATTAGTACACCAATAATGACAATAAATCATATAATTTAAATTACAAGTCTAGGAAAATGCATGAGAAAGTGTGTGAAATACATTAGAGGTTTAACTTTCCAAGTTATAGTGTATTGCGGTAACTGTGAAATAACCTAAAAGGCACTGCACAGAAACAAAAAATAAATATAGGAAACCTCAAATAAATTCAGGGGACATGTGTCCTATAAGTTATCACCTGACTCCTCCAGTTATGGAGATTATGTTCTCCAAACCCTTTTAGGGGCATAATCACTGTTACTCTTGGAAGATTGACCTGATAGGAGTGCTCAAGTTCGTTAATGTCGTGAGAAAGGAAAGAAAAGCTATTGCCATTCTTCATACAACCCTTCATTTGTTTGATCTCTCTGTTCCTGTGAGGGGGGGAAAAAGCTGTAAATTTCTCATTGACACCTGACAGTGAAAGTTTTTCCTAATTGCTTTATATCGACGAATACCTCACATAAGCAGCACAGGCCCACCCAAGAGCAAGTGTTAAGCAAATTATACAACCCTGCAGAGCAAACATAAAATTCAGGTTCTTATGCCATGTTCTCTTAAAAGCAAAGGAGGAGGAAAACAAAGTAAAATTTCATTTTAAGGAAACATATAAATTATTATCATGCAATATTGAAATCCAAGAGCTATATTGCCTTACTTAAGACTGCCATTAATACACATAGCCCATATTTTGACACTTGAGGTTCCATCACCTCTTTATTATTTCCATTTCTTTCAACAAGCATGCAATTTCACAAGATGAGCTTGATATGCATTTCAAGGAAAAATCTCTTTCGACAATTTACAACTTCCTATCTCAATTCTATATAATGTTGCTTCTGTTTCTAAATGTGAATTTATAGTCTACACTCGACATCTCAACTAAAGGGATTCTGGATGTTAAATATATGAAAACAACCTATGGGATGCAACCCACAAGCTGGTAAAATTTGGGGCGAGAATAAAATCAGTGAAAAAGATTCCACAAAATTCTACAGATAAAAAATCACAACTGAAAATGTAGTTGAATTCCATCCACATCCTACCAAGCTAAACTAGGTCTCTTTCTCAAGCCAAAACCAAACAATTCAATCCTTTTACTGGGAGCAGAGATTGGTTTCAACAACCACCCAGAGCAGAAAGAAACTTAAATTTAATTCAAGAACTATCCAATTGCCCCAATTCGTTAAATCAAAAGCATCTGATGAGCTTTATCCATGTTTCACACCAAGTACCAGTGGAAAGCACATGATTCTGACATCTCCACTTTCCTCTCACCATAACAAAAAATAAATAAATAGAACATAAAAAGCACAATTCTCTCCCAGAGCCAAAAGAAACCATGACCAAGCACAAAAACTCTGGCACAGAGACACTGAATGAAGAGCAACAAGTTCACATTGATTTGCCACGCAAAAACCTACAAGCCAAGGATTGCTAAGAAGAAAACAATATGTAACAATCAAGAGACTAATGCTGAATTAGTTGAACAATAATTAGGACGAAATTAGTTACCCAAAAAATCAAGAGCTTTTAACAGAGATTGATAATAAAGAGATAAGTGGAAAACCTGGATCTGAAAGAATACGGCGAAGGGACTACAAAAGACCCTGCTCAGAAAAAACAGTATCAAATCCAAAGAAGACATTGTTGTGCTCTCTTCTGTTCTCTCCCTTGTCTCTCTCTCTGAATACTTCTGTGTCTGTCTCTGAACCGAAACTTATCACAGTGTTTCTCTCTCTACCTCACACCAGACATTAACAGAGCTGAGAGAGAAACAGAAGTTGAAGGCAACTCTCTCAAAAACAGCTTCAATTTAATTTTAAAACTTATTGCGTAATTAAGAATTTTTTTAAATTCAAAATTCCATCGTTACATCCATATAATATTTTTGTTTAGCACAATCTCATATTTATACTCTAGTTATCTTCCTTTTAACCTTGTTATAAAGTACTAATTAATTTAAAATATGAAATAAAATTAATTGCATTTAATATCATTCTTTTCTACAAGTGAAATATATTTAATCTATTCAAAATATAAGATTGATTCCTTTATTTAATAATTATTTATAAAAAAAATCAAGAGAAATATTTTAAAATATATTTTGTTAAGATACAAGATAATTTGAACAAAATAAAAAATAAATTATTCAACTAACTTTATTGATTTTTAATTTTTTATTAATCATGATTAAATTAATTATAATCCATATTGTGATATCTTTATATAAAAAAATTCAAAACTATATCTAAGATAAGAAATGTTATGAATAAATAAGGACTAGGAGAATATTTAATAAAATTTATTTAAAAATGAAAATGGATATTTTATTATAAATAAATTAAGATTTATCATAATTATTATTAACAAAAGATAATGTTTAAAATATCTCCCCTCTTTTACTTTTTCATTTTGGATATTTTGGCTTTCTCAACTTCACCCTAGAATAACTTTCTCAATTGATACTTTTTTAACTATTACAACATTTGAAAAGGGAAGGATTGAACTGCAGACAAAAAGTTAAAAAAAGTAAAAAAAATATATCTAACAAATAAAAAAATTTAAGAAAAAGTATTGTATAAATTATAAAGAAAAATAATTAATTTTTAAAATAAATACTAAATAACCAAATCTTATGATAATAAAGTTGCACAAGTTCAAATTAAGATGGAGATGAAAAAAAATTACTGACATAGAAATTAATTTATTTGATTTGATTTTATATTGATATGATGTTATTCATCCTTTGAATCCAAGTACTAAATAACGTTTGGAAATAATTTGAAATACTTCGTTATCTTCATCAAACTTGTCTGATAGGAAAAGTAATGGAAGCATTTAATGGGAATATTCTTTGATAAAAAAGAAACACTATTTTGTTTCATACATGTCTGTGCTGTTCTGTATAAAGAAAAGGAAATATTCTTTTATATATATAATTTGAAATTTGATTGATTTGAAGTGTTAAACAGTGATGGGAATGAGAAACAGACCGTTGGATTGGTGGTTATTGATAGGTTGAGAAAAGAATGGCAGTTAGCAAAGGTTCATGTGCTTGTTCAGACTCTTTCAGGAAAGAAGAGGAAGGTGCCTTTCTTAGGATCCGAATCTTTTTCGTCATGTCGCTTTTAGGACACAACACAACCTTTTTTTATTTGTCACTTAATCACTTCACAGTGCATGCCTTCTCCTATCACTTTTTGGTCATCATTATACTTACATGCATCTTTGTATACACAAATAAAGAGATTGATATTTTATTAGGTAAATAACTTGTAAAGTTTGTTACTATTTCATGCTACTGTAACCGGACAGCATTAGCATGTACTATGTTCAGATGTTCCTTGAGCTTTGAAAAATGGTCGCAGTTTCCTCTTAGTTCCTTCAATTTTGACAATTCGAAAATGTCAAATTGACTAGAAAACAATGAAAGAAACACCGTGATTAGTTCTAAATGTCCATGGGAGAAATTGCTGAAACATTCATGCTTCTTCTATCCAAGATTCGGTAGAGAATTAAAGTCGAAGGTTGTATTTCAAACATAACAACATGGATCATATTAGAATGAAGTTGTAATGGTTTGTAAAATGTTGTAGGGAAGAATGATGTGGAAGAAAGAGACGGGTTTGCAATGCATGTGTAAGTGTCCCACCTTATTCACATGGTAATGCCAGCTATTGTTTTTGATGTTCTAATGGAATACTACTCATCATGTGGCCCATTCAATTTTTATTTTTTTTACAACATTATCTATGCCGTGATTTGCAATTTATGATTAGGGTAAACAAAATTGCAACCTACCCTTCTTCAATCTATAAATAATTATATTTAAACCTAACCTTTCAAGATTTTCTTTCACTCTTTTAAATATATATGGTTGAATATTTAATATTATTTAAAGTGTTTAATAAGGTGTAACTGAAATTTAAAAGTTAAATTTAAATATACATTTTATCGTTAAAATTTAAATACATTTTTAATATGCAAATGATATATAGGATTATCCTGTGTCGGTTTGACATGATTTTTTTTTTTAATCTACCATCCTCTGTTTCTTTAATTCTAACGTGATTTTGAATAACTTTAAAATAAATTATCCATGTTTAAAAATAGAAATACATCACAAGAATTAATCCCTTCAAGTGTTCCATTTTAAGGGCTACTTCCAGTGAGGAGAGAAAACAATACATGGTGCTGGTGCGTTATTATTCATTGCGCAGAAGGAACGCATCTGATTTTATTCAAAAATAGTTTATCACTATGTTTCTTTGTGTTTCAGTCCTTCAAAGTAAAGACGTAGTAAACCAAAATTAGAATTCCAATGAAAAGTAAGAAAAGAAAGGTGTTCACATTCAATATATAAGTTGCAGAGAATAATTGTGCATAGTACAACTTGAATTGCAAAAGTGCCAATACGAGTTTCTTTGTTTTGGTAATATACAACTCGAATTTCAGTTGGTCCTAACTAGGAAATCATGTGACCTCCATGTTTTCATTAGGAATAGTGTTTTTTTTTCCTACCTCCTGGTGGGATTGTGACATGTTACGAAGCATCACTTCAACTTTTAAAAATAATTGTAGTCAAAGAATTACAAGCAACCTGCTTCACTTTCATATTCAGTGAACACTTGTAACTGCAATGCAAATAAATGTATGATGATAAAAATTAAGGAGATGCAAGGACCAAATGAATTTTAAGGAAAGAAACAAAAAAATCCCCTTATCTTAAGAGTCATGTAGGAGAGTGATTTTCCACTGTGTTGTTGCTATGTCCATATATTAGTGAACAATAGACTATTGCACAGGAAGCTTTGTTAAATTGTCCCTACTCTATCCTCTTATTCCATAGCTTTTTATTGGTGATATGTGTATGGGCGTGTGCATGTCAGAGAGAAATTTCCTATGGTTATTTTGGTCAACTGTCACCACATTTAGAAAGGTTGTACATTATTCCATACACAAACACCAGCCCATTCCCAATGGATGAATATGACAAAATATTAGAACCCCTTCCCAGTGCTTCAAGAAAAAGTTAAAGAATCAAAATAGTTCAGAAATATATTAAATGTAACAACTAGAAGGTCACAACAAACCAAACATAGGCGTGAAACAAGAAGAGGAATGAGGTAAACTAAATGTGCAGCAGTAGGATTCAAACAAGTAGAGGGCCATAGCAAACCAAGTGCAACCACTAAATGGCAAGGGTGCAGGAAGCCAAGTAAAGCCACCAAACAATCAAGCGAGGACACAGCAAGCACAAACTAAGGACAGCAACTTCCTGCACCTCCAAAGAAATTCAAGCAACCTTTGGAGATGATATGAAATGTAGTTTTACTTTCCAGATTACACTTTCTGTAATGAAAGGGGGTGCTGACTGAGGCAGCAAACAAAATACTACACGTCAATAATTGAAAAAAGAGACCCAAAGACCAAATAAGATATAAAAAATAGCGAGACAAACAACATCAAAGTAAAAAACTAGGGTCACCTCCAAAGAAGTAAAAAGTAGGAGGACCGACAAAAATCCATGGGACATAGCTAGGTTAAAATAAAGACAAACATATTATTGAAGGAGACACTGTTATAACTTCACCAACTTATAACAGTTACGGCCTTAGTTATCAACCCTTATAAATAATTATTGTAATCTGTATTTGAGATAGATTAGAATTCATTGTATGTTCTCTCCCAATCTTAACGTGTACTTTGGATCCCGTCATTGGGTTCTAGTTTTCTGTATTTCTCTTCCTCCTTGTTCCTATATTACTTTTCTCTCTCTTTCTCTTGACCTTCCATTTGTGCTACTGGTTTCCCTTCATAACAATTGGTATCAGATTGGGCGATCCATGGCTAAATCTACTCGTAATGTGACATTGCTTAAAGAAATGGAAGAACGTCTTGCTGCACGATTGGAAGGCAGGTTGGCAGATTTGGCTGGGAATCTTCAAATAACACTCTCCGAATCTTTGAAAGATACTATCCAAGAAATAGTTCAGCAATTTGTTTTGCATTCAACTTCTGCAGATACTCATTCTTCTAATGGTCGTCCGCCTCCGCGCACAACACCATCTTCAGTAAACACCCGCTTCTCTCATATAGAATTTCCAAGATTTAACGGTGATAATGTTGAACAATGGATTTTTCAATGTGAGAATTTTTTCTCCATTGACAAAACTCCAGATGACTCGCAAGTACAATTGGCTATTATTCATCTTGAAGGCAGAGCGGCACAATGGCACACTGCACTCGCCAAACATACCCCATGTTCGAATCTTTCTTGGAAAGCTTATTGTTGTTTGATTCGTGAAAGGTTTGGGAACATCTCTATCGATCCTATGACTGATTTAATGAAATTACATCAAACATCCACAGTTGATGAGTATTATGACGCATTTGACTCCATCATCAATCAATTAAATCTGTCCAAAGATTATACCATTAGTTGTTTCTTGGGTGGCTTAAAAAAGAACATCCAAATGCTTGTCCACATGTTTCAACCTCCAACGGTACAAAGGGCTTTTGTATTAGCCAAGATGTATGAAGCATCAAGTACATCTACTACGGTGGATTCTTCTTGGAATTTAACAAAACTAAGGGTCTGTTAAGTCCTACCCCTCTTAATTCGATACCTCCTATTCAATCTAAATCTGGCGACAATAGTAAATCACAATTATGACCAATTCGTGCATTAACACCAGCCTTCATCAATGAACGACGTGTTAAAGGAATGTGTTATTTTTGTGACGAACATTATACTCCCGAGCATGGTCTTACACACAAGAAACTGCAACTGCATGTTATGGAACTCCAAGATAATCCACAAGAAAGTGACGAACAAGAAGATATTCTCCAACCACAAATTTCTGTAAGCGCTTTGACTGGAGTAGCAAATTTTCAGACTATGAGAATTAGAGGGTATGTTAATAAACATCCTCTACATATTTTACTAGATAGCGGAAGTACCCATAATTTCTTGGATATACAAGTTGCCAAGACATTTGGATGTCTTATAGAGGAACGTGACCCTTTAACCGTAACAGTGGTTGATGGAAACAAAGTTACAATTGCTTCTATGGTTAGAAATTTTTCATGGCATCTCCAACAGACAACCTTTGTTTCTGATGTGTTTTTAATACCTGTGGGCTGTTGTGATTTGGTTCTCGGAGTTGAATGGCTTGTTACTTTGGGCAACATCATATGGAACTTTTCTAATCTTACCATGGAGTTTAATGTCAATGGGACACACCATGTCTTGAAAGGAGCACATACACCACACCTCAAGACAGCATCCAAGCAACAAATGCTAAAAGCAATGGAAGGAGGTGTTCACATTTCTCTGTTGCAGTTATGTGACTCGGGAATAGATCTCTTTCACACATTAACAGTACATGCAGAATCTCCACCCATTCCTCTGCCTATTCAACAATTTCTAGTTGAATTTGAAGATATTTTTCAACTACCATTAGACTTACCACCTTTTTGTCCAAGATTTGATCATATAATTCCTCTAATTCAAGGTGCCAATCCGGTAAGTAAACGACCCTACTGCTATGCTAAGTCCCAGAAGGATGTTATTGACAACTTGGTCCAAGAATATCTTAAAACTGACATTATACAGCACAACAACAGCCCTTATGCGAGTCCAGTGGTTTTGGTGGGAAAAAAGGATGGTACTTGGCGCCTATGTGTGGACTATAGGGATCTAAACAAAACTACAGTTAAGAACAAATTCCCTATACCTCTCATGGATGATCTTTTGGATGAATTATATGGTTCTTCTATATTTACCAAAATCGATTTGAGAGTGGGTTATAACCAAGTCAGGATGGATCCGGGTGATATCTATAAAACAGCCTTTAAAACCTATGCAGGCCATTATGAATATATAGTCATGCCCTTTGGCCTCACCAACGCACCATCAACCTTTCAGTCCTTGATGAATTCGGTTTTTCAACCATTTCTAAGAAAATTTATACTAGTATTTTTTGACGATATACTAGTCTACAGTAGCAACATAATAGACCACCTCACCCATTTGAGACAAGTTTTTCTTATGTTAAGGGCCCATTCATTATTTGCAAAAAAATCTAAGTGTTTTTTTGCTGTGGATAGGGTTGAATATCTTAGCCATTTTATATCTAAAGAAGGGGTATCCACATATCCTACAAAAATTGAAGCTATATCAAATTGGCCAGTACCAAAAACAGTCAGACATCTTCGTGGATTTTTAGGTCTTGCTGGCTATTATCGACGCTTTATTAAAGGATTTGGATGGTTGGCTAAACCTTTGACTGATCTCCTTAAGAAGGAAGCTTTTGAGTGGACAGATTTAACAAATGACGCCTTTCAACAATTAAAGGTAGTAATAACTCAAGCCCCTGTTTTGGCTTTACCCAATTTCAATAGCCAATTTGTTATTGAAGTTGATGCGTCTGGCTTTGGCATTGGTGTTGTTCTCATGCAGAGTCAACACCCCATTGCCTTTATCAGTAGGGCCCTTAATACCCAACAACAAACTTTTTCCACATATGAAAAAGAGCTGCTTGCTGTCCAAAAATGGCGTCACTATCTCCTACCAGTCAAATTTATAGTGCGTACAGATCACTATAGTTTAAAATACATCTTGTACCAAAGGTTAACTACTGTTTTTCAGCAAAAGTGGCTAGTTAAACTTATGGAATTCGACTTCTCTATCGAACATAAACAAGGAAAAGAAAATCTGGTTGCCTATGCTTTATCACGAATACCCACAATTGAATGCACTTCGCTGGTTTTACATCAACTACAACCAGATATGTTACAAAGAATTTCCAAAGCTTTTGAGAAAGATACAAATCTGCAGACATTGGTCCAAGAGTTACACCAAAACCCTGCTTCTCACAAACACTACACCTACAAGGATAATGTGCTACGTCGAAAAGAACGTCTTATGGTGGGTAATAATGTTGATTTACGCCAACAAATCTTACTATGGCTTCATTCTTCACCTACTGGAGGCCATTCTGGTGTTAACGCTACCATACAACGAGTCAAGGCAATCTTATATTGGAAGGGTATGACTAATGACATAAAAATTTTTGTCAAGCAATGTGTGGTCTGCCAACGATCAAAGTATGAAACAGTACCATCACCTGGGTTACTACAGCCCCTACCTATACTAGGACATGTGTGTCAAGATATCTCTATGGACTTTATAGAAGGCTTACCAACTTCATTTGGCAAAAAAGTCATTTTCGTGGTTGTTGATAGGCTAAGCAAAGCTGCTCACTTTATGGCTTTGCAACATCCATACACCGCAAGGGAAGTGGCTCAAACTTTTCTTGATAATATCTTCAAACTACATGGATTTCCTCAGTCCATAACTAGTGACAGAGACCCCATTTTTATAAGCATATTTTGGAAGGAATTCATGGCTATTCATGGGGTCCAAATACAACTCTCTTCCAGCTACCACCCCCAAACCGACGGTCAGACAGAGGTGGTCAATCGGTGCTTAGAGACATAGTTGAGATGTATGTGTTCGGACTCACCATCTCAATGGAGCAAATGGTTACCCCTAGCTGAATGGTGGTACAACACTAACTACCATACAGCTACCAAAATTACCCCTTATGAAGTTGTTTACGGCCAGCCACCACCTATTTCTCTCCCATATTTACCAGGTGAATCAAAGATAGACTTAATAGACCGCAACCTAGTTAAGAGAGAAGAAATGTTGAAAATTCTAAAATTTCATCTTCAAAGAGTTCAGAATAGAATGAAGCAGAATGCTGATAAACACAGATCGGATCGACAGTTTATCATAGGTGATCTTGTTTATGTTAAATTACATCCTTACCGGCAAGTTTCAGTTGCTCAACGTGTCAACATGAAACTTTCACCCAAGTTCTATGGCCCTTTCAAAATTTTGGACAAAATTGGAACAGTAGCTTACCAATTAGAGCTCCCGAGTTCCTCCACATACACAATGTATTCCACGTTTCTCAATTAAAGAAACATGTGGGTCAAGCTCCAGTGGCTACTACTCTACCTACTACCACACAAGATAGCGCCCTTGATAAAGAACCTGACCAAATTCTAGATCGCATCACTGTTAAACGAAGGGGGTTACCAGTAACTAAAGTACTGGTCCAATGGAAGCATATGCTCCGTAAAGATGCTACTTGGGAATTTTTTCATGATCTGAAACATCAGTACCCATCATTCCAACCTTGTGGACAAGGTTTTTAAGGGGAGGGCAATGTTATAACTTGACCAACTTATAACAGTTATGGCCTTAGTTATCAACCCTTATAAATAATTGTTGTAATCTGTATTTGAGATAGATTAGAATTCATTGTATGTTCTCTCCCAATCTTCCAATCTTAACGTGTACTTTGGATCCCGCCATTGGGTTCCAATTTTCTGTATTTCTCTTCCTCCTTGTTCTTGTATTACTTTTCTCTCTCTTTCTCTTGACCTTCCGTTTGTGATATTGGTTTCCCTTCATAACAGACACACTCAACATGATCACCGAAACTAGCACAGATTTGAAAAGAATCATGTATGGTGACAAAAGAGAGAGATCTAAACTTTTTTGAAATGAAGATGCAACACAATTGATGACTATTGAGAATTAAGTAAAAAGTTATAGAGATTAAAATAATTTCAGAATAAAATGGTAGAAAAGAAATTAGTTTTAATTTTTGAGAAAGAATGAAATTGTAACCTGTAGGACAAGGAGGATGACACTGGTGACTGCTCTAATACCATGTTGAGGGAAGAAAAGACATGAGAGAAAATGTATCACTGAATTTATATTAACTGAGATATATCACAATGTTCGAATACTTTTTTTTATATTCATAAAATTTCTAATACTAACTCTATTAGTCCAGGTGATTATGACGGGGTAAATCTAATGAGATAAAAAAAATGATAACTAATCCTAAGAGATAAAGAGGAATAGAGAAATTAAACCAAAAGATATATAAAATGTGATAGAATATGATAAGATAACTTAAATCAATCGAACCATATCCAACCAAATCAAATTCAATCGAATCGAACCTAATTGCACCATACCCTACCAAACCAAACCAAAACCCAAACCCAAACCCACGCAACCCAACCAATGGTAGGTTGGGTTGGTTTGAGTCAAACAAAAATAAATGCAAAGACCCAACTGAAATTAACCCAATCCGACCGAATTCAACCAAACCCATCCCAACCGAATTCAACCAAACCTAACCCAACCAAATTCAATCGAAACCAACCCATCATTGCACAAAATAACTTCTCCATACTTTTCCAATATCTTGAATTGTCCTCTAAATTATTCATAAGTTTATAGCGTAAGATTGAAGGTCTAATTTAAGTCCTAAGGGTCATAACCTAATCTGACATCTCAAAATTTGTAAATTCAAATCAGAGTCTGGATAATAAAGAATCATTAAGATAGGTAGATATCAAATTTCATATAAACTCAGGCATACAACAATTATTTGCAAACTGGTTTTGGAATTGTTTTGCATTCACGTAATGCAAAATCAAAATCAAAGTATTATATGAATAGTTTAAGAAATGACCAAAGATATTCCTTCACCTGCCCTTGCAATTCCAATTCAAATTCCAATCCCAACTACTCTTCTCTTCCCATGTCCAAATCATGAACGCATTTTCCACCTACCAGAAAGTTGAAAACTTGCCTCAAATTTCCTCTAGATGGTCGAGCATCTGTTGCAAACTTGCATAAATATACAAGTCGTCGCCTCATATCCCATTTGGTGATGTGTGTTGCATTGAAGGATTTCCCATCATCAAACGTACCTTAAACACAAGATCTTTAATGTTGAATTTTCGACTGGGATCTTAAACACAAGATCTATTATTTACAATATTTTTATTAAAGGAAAAGCAATATCTCCAACATGGAGAATAGGGTATTCTACAAGATTCCTAGATTCTCAAAGTAACTTAAATGTTAAATTAATTTTAAATAGGTTATCTGCTACAACACTAAATAGATTCTAAATATTAAATATGGGATTCATTGTAGGACATACAAAAAGTTACTTAAGATCTAAGAGATATTGTATCACATGTGAAATGCAAGGACCCATAAAAAAGTAGTGCATGGTCTCAATATGAGATTTTGCGCTAAAGATGTTCTTAGAGAAAGAATTTAACCCTGGTATTTATGAAGTGTCAAAGCTCTCAATATTCAAGAATACGCATAGAAAAATCTATTTTGAGCTATTAACTTCACCTGGATTTGCAAACATAGATCTTCCTCAGATATTAAATCTACTCTCTTATAATCTGCCTTAGAACATCATGCCAACTTACTCATCCTAGAACCAAATTAAGCCTGATGACATTTGGGCTTCACTCACAATGATGGGCATGCAATAGCAGCACAGACATGTAAAATATGTATTATATTAGTTCAAATTAGGACGCTTATTGTGTTACAAACTGCATGAATATTTTTATCATAAAAATTTAAAAAATGGAAAGGCTGTTTTAGGTGTATAATTATGGTGTAACCTGTGCTTAATGTTCCCACATAATTCCCTTCCTCTATTTGACAGTCAGTTTTAATATATTCAGTATATAAATATGAAAATACCCCTCCCCCCTCCTCTCTCTCTCTCTCTCTCTCTGTATCAAACTTTTTGTCTTAAAAACATTATTATGTATAACAATGTATCCTTGAAAAAAGATCTGATGAATCTGCAACAATGTTGATGTGTTGATCCTATAGTATGTGAATTATGGGCTTCTTAGTTAATATTTTCTAATAAATTTAAAGATATATGGATACGTACCTTTCTCATCAAATAGTGACAATAGGATTGCTAAACAAACACATACACTAATATCTTCCCCTGAAAAGCAAAGAAAATTTGAATATTATTTGTTTGGCACAACACACTTAATAATTTGCTTTTACACAGGTCTAACAGAAGGACTAAGGCAAGGAACTTTGGAGATTCAAAATGATAGAGTTAGAAAGAAAATAAACTAGAATTAGAAAGAATATCTGTGGGATGGTGAAATTGGAGTACAGGTTCATTCATCTATTAGTACTACTAAGGAAACAAAAATAAAGTAGAGATAATGTTATATTAATGACAATTGAACTGTTTTCAAATCATAAACACAACACAATGAATGCATACATGTCATTTGGTTTCAAACAAATCCTAGTATACTTAATAAAATAAACAAAGTAATTAGGTTACTTCAGAGCCATTACCATTATTACAACAAACTAGAAGTCTTTTTCCCTGGCTGAGATTGAACTTTGCAAAGTTCATCGCTTTTTGAAGATTGGTCAATAAAGAAAATCGATCAAACTTTGAAGTCTGACCATAAAAGATTAAAATGAGCAGAGATTTCCACAAAAAAAAAAAAAAAAAAAAAAAAAAAGTTTCCCTTCCATTACAAACTAACCATCATTGGAAGATGCAAATATGATTCAGCACTGGGAAGACAGACAGAGATGGACTCCTGATCACAATTCAGTATGCAATCTACATTAGCAGCGTCTGCAGCTGCACCATACATGGACACTGAACATTCAGCCACATAAACATTTTAGAAGAAAGAAGAAATTAATGCAAAATATGTTGTTGCTGATCAAAAGCAGACTGGGCAAAAAGGCAACAAAAGTATATCTAAACTATAAGTTAACACTGTAATTCAATTTTATAGACCTATGCTTTCAAAAATTGTTATCATAAACTAGAGAATATAGGTCATCATCAAAAGAAATGTACCAAAGGGTTATTAGTGGGCATTAATTAATTAACTAAAGCATACCAATTTGAGATGTGCCAACTGCCAAATTAGTTGATCCTAACCAAGATAATCCAAAATCTTCCGAAGACTCGGTATCAGTTTTAACAATTGAAGCATCATAAGTTACCGATGGTTCTTCTTGTGTAAGAGAGACTGACTTAAGGGGTTTAACCGTAATCTGTGGTGCACTTTCTCCTCTATATGCACGGTTTACTCTATTCTTTTCAACTATATCTGCAACCTTCTGGTTACACACATCAGGACCTGAATTTATAAGATCATAAACATGTTTCCAGAAAAGGCCAGGTGATAGACCCCTGGCCCAACTTTCTTCATCATCTCCTGCACCGGGTATGTAATTCCAGCTGAACTCAGAGGTTGTCCCATGTTGGCTCACACCAACTGAGGAAGACGCTGACACAAGAATGATGGGTGTGAAATCCCAAGATTCATGGTGAGGCACTTCATTTAACCAGATGACAGTTTTCTGTGAAATCCAGAGAGGGCGCAAAGGTTTCCTCAAGCAAGCAGCAAGGGAAGCAATATCAGCCCCACTTGCTTTCAGTAACAGAGTCCATTCCTCTAACCGCTTCTCAATGGAAGCTCTTTCTGTTTGGGAAACCCACAGGGGAAGGTGCAAGGAGCAATCCCATTGACAAACACTTTCATGAGAACCATTAGAGTCCTATTTTATGAAGACAAAGCAGTCAATCACATAACTAGAACATTATCATAAGCAATAATATTTGCTAAAATACACTTCAGTGCCTCATCCTTTTGATTTTAGCTTGACTCCCCAATTTGAAAAGTTTTTCTTAGAATAGTTTTTCAGTCAGTTTACCACATTAACAATAAACACATTAAAGACCAATTTGGTCTATCACACACTCTCTAAGGACAAATGTGAAACATTTTGATCATGAGGACAAAACTGAAACAACCATAGCGTAGTTTTACCAATAATATCTTAGCAATGAATGAAAAGGCAGGCAGAAGATCGAGTTGGTTCCTTTCTCAGTTGACTAAACTAAATAGGTAAGCTTGAATGGACATTTAGCCAAGACAGCCATAAATTAAACACCATTAACTGACGAAAGAACCTATTTAGTCTATCAGAGATACTCTACTCGAATCAAATTAAATCATATTAAACTAAAGACCAAAGTGAAAACCAAAAAACAAGATGAAAAAAGAAAAATGTATCTCAGTGATGAATAAACATTTTCTCACACGAAAGTCCCTGATGGCCCGATTAAAAACACATGTCCAAATGGGTATAGTTTTGGACATGCTATCAGGGAAGCGCTTTCCTTTTCGAGTGGAATCAACGATGAAGCATCCTCCCTTCTCTCCTGCCTACCCAGATGAAAAATGATGAGAATAAGACAGAGAGATTACGTCTTTGACAATTAGGAATGATAAAGATCGTACCGGCGAGTTGGGCGACGTGAAGGTTGAGGCGAGCGGTGCTGAAGGAGCAGTTGTTGGTGTGGCCGTCGGTGGATTTGAAGTAGCAGGTGGAGTGGAAGGCGCGGGAATACCAGAGGCCGCACCGTAGGTTGGCGAGGAGAGGGAGCTGAGGCCATAGCAGAGAGATTTCAGAGACAAAGATGGAGTCTTGGTAGATGGATCTGAGAGCGTTGTATAAACTGTTGTCCCTTCGCTTTATGCATCTCGCCGCCTTGTAAATGCTAAGATTCGCACCTTCTTCCTCTGCTTCCATACCTCGTTTACTGTTTCTCTGTTCTATGTAATTTGATCTGCTCCCGCAATCAAATGTTGTCTTGAATGATTAGGTGATTGGAATTGGTACTTTATAATGCACTTATCAAAATTTCTAAATTAAAAATAAATATATATATATATATATATATATATATATATATATATATATATATATATAATTATGTTAACAAGTAAAAAAAAAAAAACTGAATAACTAAAAGGTCGTTTTCTATCAGATCCTGGTTTTCCACTTAGCTCTCTTTTTGATCCATCTGTTAAAAACTATTGATTGTTGGGGTAACTAATTTCGTTCCAATTATTGTTCAACTAATTCAGCGTTACTCTATTGTTTGTGATTAGATATTGTTCCGTTCCTAGCATTCCTTGGCATGTAAGTTTTTGTGTAGCAAATCAATATGAACTTGTTGCTCTTCATTTAGTATCTCTGTGCCAGAGTTTTCTGCTTATTTATGATTGCTTTTGGCTGTGGTAGAGAATTGTGGTTTTAATGTTTTATTTTTTTGTGGTTATGGTGAGAGGAAAGTGGGGATGTCGAAATCATGTGCTTCTCACTGGTACATATGGTGTGAAACATGAGGAAAAGCTCTTCTGCGGGTAATGCTGCTTTTGATTTAACGAATTGGGGCAATTGACTAGTTCTTGAATTAAATTTAAGTTTCTTTCTGCCCTTGGTGGTTGTTGAAACCAATTTCTGCTCCCACGAAGAGGATTAAATGGTTTGGTTTTGGCTTGAGAAAGAGACCTAGTTTAGCCCGGTACCCCATATTTAAGGTGGGTGGCCAAATTATTGGTCCATGTTGAAGTTAAAAAGAAATACAAATTTTTTTTTATGGGTTACTATAACAGAGAATAGACAATTGAGGTATCAGCTTGTGGGTTGCATCCCATCTGTTGTTTTCACACGTATTTAACATCCACAATCCCTTTAGTTGAGATTTCTAGTGTACACTTTAAATTCACATTTAGAAACCGAAGAAACATTATAGAGAATTGAGATAGGAAATTGTATGTGATGTATTCATTGATATAAAGCAACTAGGAAACACTTTCACCGTCTGGTATCAACGAGAAATTTACAGCTTTTTTACCCCTCACAGGAACAGAGAGATCGAACAAATGAAGTGTTGTATGAAGAATAGCAATTGTTTTTCTTTCCTTTCTCACGACATTAACGAACTTGAGCACTCCTATCAGGTCAATCTTCCAAGAGTAACAGTGATTATGCCCCTGAAAGGGTTTGGAGAACATAATCTCCATAACTGGAGGAGTCAGGTGATAACTTATACGACACATGCCCCTGAAATTTATTTGAGGTTTTCTATATTTTTTTTTTCTGTGAAGTGCCTATTTGGTTCACTCACAGTAATACACTCTAACTTGGAAAGTTAAACTTTCTATGTTTTTCACACACTATCTCATGCATTTTCCTATACTTGTAATTTAAATGGTATGATTTATTCTCATTGTTGGTGACTGTTATTCATTTTTGTTAGATAGTAAAAATTAATTGGTTGTAATTTTGAATATCTTTTCAGTAATGTTTGAAGTTTGTCCGTTAACCATTGTTGTCCACTTTTTTTTTTTTTTATACACGATTCTGTTTTTGTCAAACACAGAGAACATCTCTATATGGTGGCCCTATAGAATTTCTTTTTGTGGTAGTAAAGTACAGAGGATCCTGCTTACCATGCTATCAAGAATAATAGCAGAATTTGAGGTACAAATAAGCTCACAAGTTATTCTCATGTTTTTCTTTTCATTTTCACTTTCATCTCCGTCATTATTTGCTTTCAAGTTATGCAGCTGTAAACTTGCTACCTTTCAATTAGTCGTGTTGCCCTGCTGGAGCTAGTTGTGTCCTGTTTTGGGATGTATCCGTTAATGTTGTTTGTGCCTCATTCACGCTAAATTTGATGCCTGTTTGATGCATGCAAGGTCATGTTGATGTTAAGGTTGTTGTAGCTGGTCTTTCAACAACTTGTGGTCAGAAAATTCACAATCAATTGGTATGGAATTTTGTTGACTTATATTATGATAGTTTTTTCATAGACAAAGTGTGGCCTCAGGGCCATGCTTTATTCAGAACTTAATCTTATCTTCCGTATATATATATATATATATATATATATATATATATATATATATATATATATATATATATATATATATATATATATATATATATATATTTTTTTTTTTTTTTTTTTTTTTTTTTGAAGTCAATCTAAATCTATATTAAAAATGGTGATGGTCTTGATAGTTTGAAAGCATTTTTTCTGTATGCAACACTTCTTACTAGGCGCATATATATATATATATATATATATATATATATATATCAAAGACCAGTGGTAGTTTATAGACATCCCATATTGAAATTTGGTTCATTTTCATCATTGAGAAATTTATTTAAGGTTCAATAGTGTTTAAAGACATTGTTCCATTGTATTTATAGATAAAGAAAATATAATAGAAAGGATATAGGCCTCAACCTAAATCATTAACCCTAATCTAAGAAACATGTAGAGAGAATATAAAAAGACAGACAAACAAACATATTTTAACACTCCTCCTCAAGCTAGAGCATATAGATTATATGTACTAAGCTTGGAACAAATGAACAAAATCTTAGGTCCTCTTAAGGATTTAATTAAAATGTCCGACAGTTGCTCATTAGAGCTTACAAATTCAGTTACAAATTACTTAAACAATAATTTTTAGCTTACAAATTCAGTTACAAATTACTTAAACAATAATTTTTATCTAACAAAGTGACAATCAATCTCAATATGTTTTGTTCTTTCATGAAACACTAGATTGGAGGCAACGTAGAGAGTTGTCTGATTATCACAAAACAACTTCATCTACCCATTATCACAAAATTTTAATTCTTGACTAAGTTGTTTGATCCATACAAGTTCACATGTAGCAAGTACCATATATCTATACTCAACTTTTACACTAGATCGAGTAACAACACATTATTTTTTACTCTTTCAAGAAATCAAATTATCTCCAATAAATATACAATACCAGTAGTAGATCTTCTATTAATGGGACAACTAGTCCAATTTGCATCACAATAACCTAGAATTTGAGTATTACCTTTGTCTTCATATAACAATCCTTGTCATGGGGCCCCTTTAACATATATCAGAATACGAATTAAGACATCCTAATGATCATCACAAAGATTTTGTATAAATTGGCTAACTACTCTAACTGCATAAGAAAGATTTTGACGAGTAATAATAAGATAAATGAGTTTACCAACCAACCTCTTGTATCTTTCTGAGCCTGATAACTTTTCTCTTATATCTCCCATCAATTTTTTATTAGGGTCCATTAGAGTATCAATGGGTTTACAATTTGTTAAACTTGTCTCCTTCAGAATATCAAAAACATACTTCCATTGAGAAATGATCACACCTTCCTTTGACTGAGTCACTTTAATGCCAAGAAAATACTCAATTGAACAAGATCTTTAGTTTGCAAGTAAGCAAATCGATGATTCTTCGATTGGTTGATTTTAGTACAATAATTGTCTATAATAACAATATCATCAACATAAACCATAAGATACACACATTTGCCTGAAGAGGACAATAAAACACTGAGTGATCTGCTTCACTCTTTTTCAAGTCAAACAACTACACAACATAACTGAATTTCCCAAACCAAGCTCGGGGTGACTGCTTCAAGCCATAAAGAGATTGATGTAGCTTACACATTAAACCAGAATCCCCTTGAGCAACAAAGTCAGAAAGTTGCTCCATATAAATCTCTTTATTAAGGTCATCATGAAGAAAGATATTTTTAATGTCCAATTGGTGAAGGGACCAATGACGAATAGTAACCATAGCAAAGAAAAGATGCATAGTAAAAATCTTATTTATTGGAGAGAAGGTAGGCCAATGACGAATAGTAGTCATAGTAAAGAAAAGACAAATAGTGAAAATCTTAGATATTAGAGAGAAGATATCATAGTAGTCAAGACCATAAATTTGAGTGTAGTATTTAACTATTAAGCGAGATTTGAGACAATCCATTTTACCATTATTATCAACTTTAACTGAATAGACCCACTTATAGTCCACAACCTATTTGCTAGGAGGAAGAGGGACAAGCTCCCAAATGTCATTGTGCTCAAGAGCCTGTATTTCATAAATTATGATTTGTCGTCATTCAAGATGATCAAGAACCTCATGAACAATATTATGAATAGAATCAGCCAAAGAGACAACAAAAGAGGAATATGAAATAAACAAATGATGGTAACTTAAAAATTATAAATAGGAAAGGGATTTTGAGTGGAATGAATATCTTTTCTGAGTGCAATAGGTCATCCAGAATCAGAATCGGGAGAGAAGGTTGAATGATCCATGGTATGAGAAGTTGATGGAGAAGGTTATGAATCACGATTATCGACAAAAACTGGTAAAAGTGTAGGTGGGGTCCTGCGGTGATATGTGAGAAGAGGAGGAGAATCATTGTGACTTGTAGGTTGAATTGGAGCAGGATTAGGTATTATAAGTGAATCACATGAAGGTATAGGAAGAACATGTTGAATAGAGGAACCATCCTCCATGAGGGAGGAAAAGAATGGTGTTTCCTTAAAGAATGTGACATCAACAGACATATAATACCTTTTGATGGATAGAGAATAACATTGGTATCCTTTTTGGAGTCGAGAGCATCCCAAGAAGACACATTTAATGGCCTTAGATCTTAGATTATCAAGACCTGAAGAGACATTATATACAAAACAGGTACAACTAAATACACAAGGAGACACATGATAAAGAGGATCATCTAGAAAGAAAAGGGAATGTGGAATTTGATTTTGAAGAGAAAAAGATGACATTAAATTAATAAAAAAAACAGTGAAAATTGCATCTCCCCAATGATAAACATGGACATTAGCATTCAACATTAGAGAGCATGCACTTTCAATAAGATGTCAATTTTTCCTTTTTGCGAAACCATTTTGTTATGGGATGTGAGGACAAAGTTAACTTATGTAAAATGCGTGAAAAGATAAAAAGGAATAAAAGGAGGCTGAAAAATATTTTTTGATATTATCACTTCTGAAAACTTTAATTATCTTCCTAAATTGATTTTTAATTTCATTGAAGGACAAAAAAATAGATAAAAGTTTAGATCTGTCTTTCATTAAATAAACCCAAGTACATCTAAAAAATTCATCAATAAAGGTTACAAAATATCAAAAGCCAAATGAAGAGACACGACCTGGTCCCCAAATGTTAAAATGAATATTTGAAAAAGAAAAATTACATCGAGTTTCAGAATGTTTAGGAAAGATAGACCTAACATGTTTTCCAAATTGACAAGATTCATATTTTAAAACCCGAAGATGTTTCAGATTAGGAGTCATAATTTTCAACTTAGGTAAACTTTGGTGACCTAGATGATCATGCAAAATTTTAGGAGTAGGAGAAGCAAAACATGACACCGAAGGACTTGGATTCAGATAATACAAACCACGTGATTCATGTACTTCTCCAATCAGACGACCCATACCATGTTCTTAAATAGTAAAAGAATTGAAATTAAAGGTTACATAACAATTCAAAAAACGAGTCAATTGACTTAGAGAAATTAAGTTATAAAGACAATTAGAATGAAAAGAACAAAATTTAAATTCAGAGGTTAAAGGAACATGGCCAACTCCTTGTGACTTCACTTTAGATTCATTAGCCATAGTAATCATATGAGAAATGTTAGGATAGGACATGATTAGAGGCACCTGAATCAAGAATCCATGGGTTTTGATCTTCCACATATTGAGAAATGCATATTGTTGAAATACTTGGCATTGAAGAAGATTGATTGTGGCTGCTGAATTTTCCTGATTTGAACTTCAAAAACTTCTGATACTCCTCATTAGAGATCTTCATATCTGGTCTTTCAGACTTAGAACACATGGGCAGTAGTATTCTTGTCAGAAAAACCGTATAAGGAATAGCAGTTTTCCTACGTGTGCCCCATCTTTTTGCAATAGAAGCATTAAGGACAACTTTTTGTACTCCTATGTCCTCCTCGACTGTTACATCCTTCTCATCGACCACGAGGAGCAACCATAGCTGAAGTTTCAATTGTCTCCACCTAATTCTCATTTATCATAAGATTGGAAACTCGAATCAACCTCATGACAACATTCCATTGACGGAACCTGATCGTCAACTAAGATTTGATCTCGTACATGATCAAAATCAGAATGCAGACTCCTCAAAATTAGAATCATATACAACTTATCCAGTTTGGAGTTTAACTCCTTTAAGATATTTGCCACAAGAAACCTTTTTAATTCCTCCACAATAGCCTTAGATTTTGCAATGTGAGACATTATGTCATGATTTATCTGTTTGAGAGACGTCACTCTTTGAATTGCATCAAAGAGACGTTGAATATCGTTAGCAAAAATATTTTGAGCCTTTTTCCAAAAGGAAGAGCAGGTTTTGAATAACTTGAGAAGTTCAAGAACCTCAGGTTCCACAAACTGCCATAAGATTACACAAAGTTAGAAGTCTATTTTCTCCCACTGAGATCTTTCTAAGGCACAAATAGAGTTTACATCTTTTTCCAGATGGTCATGATACCCCTGATCTATAAACCACATTTCAACTGATGCAGACCAGGATAAATAATTTGTCTAGTTGAGTTTGACACTGGTTATGGTGGGAGTAACAGAGAAAGAAAAAGCACTGGATGAAGTCATCTGAATCAGAGATGAAAGATAAACCTAACCAATAGGGGTACCTACGCGACCTAGCTTCCAAATTTCCCAAAACAGAAAAGTAAGGGCACCACTGGACTCAAAGGACGCCAACGAGTCGACCGGTGGTGATCGACCTTGATTTCGGCCACTGAAAGGTGGCGCGGGGGACACACGCTTCTGAGAGTTCCTCCGGAAGAAGTTGCGCATGACAGCACGTGAGGCCACGAATGGAGGAGCAATTGCGGGGGTAGGTTGTGCTCTTCGCATTGCACAAAACCCCACCTTCACCAGACCAAACTTAGACGGTAGCCTACTATGATGGCGGCCCACGGTGACCAAAGATGACAGGGATGACCAAAAATCAGTGCAGGATCTTACCCGTTCTATTACCAACTTAAGAAACTTATTTAGGGTTCAATAAGTATCTAAAGATACTGATACATTATATTTATAAATAAAAGAAAAACAACATAAAAAATATGAGTCTCACCCTAAATCCTTAATCCTAGTCTAAGAAATATATAAAGAGAATAAAAAAAAAATCGATAAACAAACATGTCTTAACAACATCCTTGTTGATTTCCTAGATTGTTATTGCAAGAAGTACTTTACGAATTACACTAATGAGCCTCAGCCCAAATCATTAACTTTAGTCTAAAGAACATAGAAAAATAATAATAAAAAAAGACAAATAAATAAACATGTCTCAACATAATCCTTGTTGATTCCCTAGATTGTCCTTTGCAAGAATTATTTTACGAATTACACTAATCTTACAGAGTATTAAAACCTGGGCCAACAGGTTGGAGTGGAGACAATGCATAAAGATAGCAAGTGTGTATTGTTTTTGGACGATGATGTTTGATTACATCCTGGATCAATTGGAGCATTCACTCGTGAGATGGATGATGCTTAGCATATATTTATTCAAACGGATACCCTCGATCTGCCATCGGGAAGTCTGGGGAGTTACTGCATTTATGAACACCATATGGTACAAACTTCCTCTGGATTTATATCTCCAATCTCTGCAGCTGTCTGTGTATAAGATAATGTTCTGTTACTTTTCATTTGTCATTAAATATATAAGACCTAAATGAAACTTACCTAATTGAATTTTACTTTAGTTTCAGTATTTATTAGATTACTTTTCATTTAGGTTTTTCATAAATCCTAATATTTGACAAGATTTAGTAATAAAACTCCACTGGTTTGCTCCTAATGTTCTTTTATTTTATTGCACAGCCTTGTTCAAGGGGTTTTGCCACTGGTGGAGTGATGGAAAGTAGCTGTTAACCTTCTTTCCTCGGTTGATGATTTGAAGAAACTTACTTTCTAACTATTTAGTTGTTGTTTTTTTTCTTTTCAGATGCATGCTGATGACTTTAGGCAAGATCGTTATGGTGTAGTCTCATCAGGACTTGGTGGATATTCTGATGATATGACTCTTGCAGCCATATCCGGTAAATCTTTGGTTCTCTTACCAAATTATTTTATGTAAACTTTGTCATTGTAGACAACCACTTTATCTGTATCAGTCATTGAAAATAATGATTGCTTGAAGATTGATCCATGAAGGAGCTAATTCCTTATAGTGTGAGATTAGGCAAGCTTATGAGCATTTTCTTGCACTTGTTTATGCACAATTTGCGAGAAACTGACATTGTATGAAAGTAGTTTTGTCTTTGGTAAAATTCTTTTCATTAAAATCATTTCTGTACTAGAGAGACTACTCCGCACCCACCCAAATCATAATGACAAAAAGAAAAATGATAACTAATCCTAGAGATAAAGAGGAATAGAGAAATTAAACCAAAAGCTAATTCAAAATGTGATAGGATATGATAAGACTAATTTGTATATTCTAACATATATTAGTCTAAACTCAGCACATCATATCCTGCTCAAGACATGCAGAAGACGTTTGCATGTAATGGGTCACGAGTGAAAATTGGAAATGCTCCAGTTATATTGTGATATTATTCCTATATGTAATAGTGTCTTTTCAAAATACAAGCATTTACTATCTATAACGGATAAATTTCTTAAATCTAACGCTGCACAAGAGGACTGTGGTAGATTAGGACTGTTTCTGGAAATACAAATCGTGCAAGTAGTGTATGCAATGAATCAATTAATTTTGGTTACCAAAATACAAAAATCTAACATGAAGCTAAGCTCCATCTTCAGATCATTCATAATATTAAGAATCACTGTGATTAAATTTTATCAAATTTAATAATAAATTTGAGAATGTGTAAGAATGTTTCCAATCATACAATTCTTGCAAGGGAGATGAATCAACAAGGAAATATGGCATGTATAAATACAAAAAAATTAAAAAAAATTTAAGTATTTTCTTTAGAGGATTCAGGATAAACTATCACTTGCAAAACCTTAAACTGCAAGGCCTAGTGTGTATCATAAAGCTCAATCTGCTGGAACTGCAACAGCATGGCTACAGTTCGCAACCTGGAACTAAAAATATAGAAAAGAAAAGAACGATTATATTTCTTGATTGATTGCAAAACAGAACAAAGGAGAGAAAACACTCTTTCAAAGGTTTCCACTTCACAAAAGATTTCTCTTCTCCCAAAAGAGTTAATACTCAATTTGCAAATGATAACAAATATGAATCAATTCCTTTCCCTCTAATCATCCTATTCATTTATGTCACTAACTTTACCTAACGAATATTCTAACTATGCTAATTAACACCCCTGTTCCACAGTCCTAACAGATGCCAAAACAAGATCTTGAAGCCACGTGGCTCTGATACCCAGTGGATTGAGCTCAGAAACCACTAGAAACAGCAAAGAACTGTAGGTTGGTTTGGGGCCCAGTCAAATGAGATGGAGCCCAATGTAACTAAGCCCCTAAGGGTCTATTCAAGAAAAAGAGTTGTAATAGAAGTTAGTGAGACATTTGTTAAGTTGAACCTTGAGCAGTGGTGCTTGGTGGAGAAGGGGATTGCTCTTTAGGAGAGTCATCTACTGATTTCATTACAGAAAAACTATTTGTTTCCTATCCTCTATATATCTCTGTTGTTGATAATTTTGGTTTGAAAAGATCCCAGGAGTCTAACAGTGGGTGTTGCAGTGCCTGAAATTCTAATCCGTAAGAATGAGATCTTAACATGTATAAGCCAAAAAAAGTCCTTCAGAACAGGTAAAATACAATTAGACTCCTTTAGATGTTGTCACTTGTCATGCAGTCATAGAGATTCAGCTAAAGTGAAGTTAAGAAAATAAGCTATCCACCGATTTCATGTTATATAGAGGCAATGGGCAAAATTCAGGACAAGAAACAGCCATCTCATAAACTTCACATAGAATCAGTAACCACAATAAAAAACAATGATGACTGTCAAAGTTCAATTGCTACAACGTTAAGTTATAATGAAAAAATCACACCTGAAACTTAAAGCAATACAATTCAAGTTAAAAATAACTTCAAACCATAAACTAATACAACTTCAACGTGATAAGCAAAAGAAGCCTCAACTTTTAATCTAAGTGATCAATTCTCTTTCATTTGAATCATGGTGTAATATTTATATTTAGCCTTCAAGTTATATTGAAGTCAAAATTGTGAATCAACTCCACGGCTGGACAGACCAACTTTCTAACATGATTGCAATATGATTATATAATCAAATGATAAAGGATGAGAAACTACAATGTATTCAAAGAAATAAAAACTGTGAACCATCAGCAAACACTAAGTGAGATAAAACTAAATAAATTGAAGGCAATGCAGTCTCACTCCGACACATCAATCTGTTTATTCTCCGTTTGTAATGAATCTATTAACTTTCTCCCGATTAAGTGGTGAACAAGTACACCTGCTGCAACACTGACATTTAAGCTTTCCACTGCCAAAAAAGACAGAAACTCTTTACCAGAGCTCTGGGAATTCAAATCATTACTTTCACCATCCAATTCACTAGTATTTGAGTCAAGAGAAATGTTCCCAGGAATTCTAACTAACTGAGTACATGATCTCTCCACCAGTGGTCTCAGACCAGTGCCCTCGCTGCCCAAAACAAGAATAGTTGGCGGACCAGGCACAACCTCATCCAAAGAAATAGCTTTAGAGGAGACAGAGCCCCCAAGAACTCGCCAACCATTTTCAGCTGAAGACACTAAGAATTGCATCATATTCTTGCAATATCTAAGTTCCATTAACTCAAGAGAGCCAGCACTTGCTTTGCTCACAACACCACTCAATGGGGCTGAATTCTTGGCACATAACACTACCCCAGAAGCTCCAAAAAAGTATGAAGACCTAATTATTGCCCCCAAATTCTGTGGATCAGTAACCTCATCCAGGGCAATCCAAAGGGAACCCTTCCCTTCATCAACAGAAACAGGGTCCAGTTCCTTTATTTTCACCATCTCTAGTGGTGAAGCATCTAAAACCAAACCCTGATGAGGACGGTTATCAACCACCATATTCAAATCATGTTTCGATGCTTCTTTTATACTCAAACCAAGCTTCTCCGCAATCTTCAGAACTCTCTCAAACCCTTTCTTGTCCTTCTTCTTCCTATTGTTACTACTCAAATCCAATCCTTCTTGAACATACAATGCATAAAATTCCCTTCGATCAGCTGACAATGCAGCCAAAACTGGACCAACCCCATAGATTCCTTCACCAACAATCTTAGGCACAGTGGATTCGGTGGCCTCTTTCCATGTCTTTCTACCCCAATTCTCCTGTTTATTCCATCTTCGAAACTCGGGTCTCTCCATTCCAACTTTTGCCCCCACCGTCCCCTCGAACCTATTCTTTATGTTATCCCACCTTGGATCATCAATCTCCTCCCCCATTTCATCATCAACTCCTTCCTCACCATTATCATCAAACTTAACATACCTTTTACCAAAATCACTCCTGTGCTCTCCCAACTTCTCAACCAATTCACTCTTCCTTTCCTTACTAGCAGCAGCTGAAGCACCACCTTTCACAGAAAATGTTGCAGCTGCTGCTGATCTCGGCTTAGTTCCTGGAACTTCTGTTTTATGACATTTATCTAACCTTTCAATAGACTGTTCCCAAGAGGACTTACTACCCACCTTCTTTGCTGAACCACCCTCTTGAATAGGCCTACTAATCCCAGCCATTTTTGCTTTCTCCACCACCTTAGGTTCTTCCTTAACCTCATTGTCCACTTCTAACCAAGGAAGTTGCTTTTCAGCACTTCTTGCCCCATAAAATCTTCTAGCAATTTGTAGCACCAACCCATGTGGATTTGCTAACTTCACGGTTTCCGAGGTTCCAAATTTATGTGAAGTGGCGATCTTTAACATGGGGTTTTGATGATAAGCGAGTGGTAAAGAGTGGGACTTTAAGGCGTGGGGTGAAGTGGAGCATTTAGGTTGCCAAGCGATTATAGCGGCGAAATGAAGTGCCTGGGCTTTGGAAATGTTGGTGTACATTGAGGTAGCACTAGAATAACAATGAAGTCTTCAAGGTGAAAACCTAGAGAAGAATCTCAAATCTTGATACAATTGATTGAGGAAGGAACAACCATGCGAAAAGGAAAAAGTACCGTGAAATTTTCGAAATGAAAGCCCTTTATCCTCGGTTCGTTACATTGATTTGCATTGTGAAATTAGGGCAGAGACAGATATTAAAAGAGGCGATTTGTCATCGATTTCGGACGGACAATTAAACGACTTCGTTTTAGTTCCTGCTAATTTATATATTCCAACATTTATATAGTTATATAATTTTTTTCAATATAAATACCGAATTTAAAGTTATTTATGGTACATTTATATGTGATAGTAGATCAATAAAATTTGATTTTTAATTTAAAAATATCATGTTATTTAGTAAATTTTTTATTCATACATAATTAACTAATATTATATATTACAAGAAGATCAAAATATTTTAATAATTGATAAAGTTATTTCCTTTAATAATTATTGTACATGAATAAAAAATTAATGACTTATTGTATAATTATTTCAAAACAATATTTAAATTTAAAATAAATTAAATTTGTATAGTTATTTTTCTGTTTTTTATAAAATATTATATAATCATGTAATAAAGATTTATTAATATTTTAAAAAAAAAGTATACCATGTGTTACGTTGAATTTATTTAATGAATGTTAAATAGATTTTTAATCTTATTAAAAAAATTACTTAATTTATTGGATTTAAGCTTTTTATTTGGCAATTAAATTAATAAACTTTATTATGTATAAAAAATTGTTGAAGAAAGTATTTGTTTATCAAAAGTTAATATTATATTTGACAACGTAAATATTCTATTAATAAATTTATTATTGATGGATATAAATTTTTTAATATGTCAATGATTGATCTCTTCTTTATCCTGAATGCATATTTAGTATAATCGTGTTTTAATTACAATTTTGTTATATTCACAATATTCAAAACTAAGATTTTTTGAAAATATTCAAACCTAACTTCATTTAAAACATATATCCTGGTACCAGAACATAATAATGCATACTAAATAAATTTTAGAGTTTAATATTTTCAGCATTTTTTAATTTAATAATATTAGTAATATTTTTTTTATTAATATGTAAAGTCTAAATCCTTATACTATATAACTAGTATCATATGTTACGACGATATCAAATTATTACCATAACCGATAAAATGATTTAATTTTATAATTTAATGAATAAAAAGTTAATAACTTATTGTCTAACTACTGAATATTTTGATACATTAAATTATTATTTAAATTAGATAAACTTATTGTTCAAACTTTGTCTATATCACATAAGTAATTTTATGTATTCAACCAATGAATTTAGGTTTTATAGCACATGAATTACTGAATTTGATGCACCTAACATTTTTTTTAAAATACTAAACATATAACTCATAACCACAACATATCTATTAAAATCTTCCAATAACCATATTCTATTGTTGATCTTCATTTATCAATTTGTACCCATGTATTTATTTTTATTAGTTATTAGTTAGTCACAATAAACTACTTGAAATAAAAGCTCGCATGCATATTCATTCCTATTATGTAACTAATAAATTAATATTTGTAATTTTATTTCATTATATATAAATTACGTTTATGACTAAGTAAACTTTACATCCCTCCTTGAAATGGATGGTGTATATATGCCGAGTGGTAGGAATTGTCATGAGATTGCCAGGGTTCATAATGCATATTAAATTTTGTTGAGACTAAAAAACGAACAATTGTGTGAAAAAGTGAAAAAATTTGGAATTATTAGATACCAAATTAACTTAGGTTCTCAAATCTAAAAATCCAATCAAATTGTTTCCCATGGTAACATTGAAAATCAAAATGAATAAAAAAATTTCAACTTTAATTTCACCTGGGTGAGTCAAACTGAAACCAAGTTATTCTTTAACTGAAAAAAAAATGATTTTTTTCTTTTTCCTAAGGTTTAAAACTACAGTTTCGCAACAGGATAATCAGACACGAAAATGCTAGCGATATATATATGTGGCTAGCAAAAAAGAACAAAACATGCAACTCCACTCTTCGCTACTAAATCTCCGCTCCCTTCACCTCCGTGTCCGCCACTCCCTGACTTCCACCGTCCGACACTTCATGGCCGCCGCCGAGCTCATAAGCCCATCAAACACGCGTGTGGGCTGGATCGGCACGGGCGTCATGGGTCACTCCATGTGCGCCCACCTCATCCGGGCCGGCTACACCCTCACCGTCTTCAACCGCACCGCTTCCAAGGCCCAACCTCTCGTCGCCCTCGGGGCCCACTTAGCCCCCTCCCCCCACGCCGTCGCCGCCCATTCCGATGTCGTCTTCTCCATCGTCGGCTATCCCTCCGACGTCCGTTCCGTCCTCCTCCACCCAACCTCCGGCGCGCTGGCCGCCCTCCGCCCCGGCGGCGTCCTCGTAGACATGACCACCTCGGAGCCGTCCCTCGCCGTCGAAATCGCGGCGGCAGCTGCAGCCAAAGGCTGCCACTCTGTCGACGCCCCCGTGTCCGGTGGCGACCGCGGCGCGAAGAACGGAACACTAGCGATCTTCGCCGGCGGGGAAGAATCCACGGTGAAGAATCTGGAACCCCTGTTTTCACACTTGGGGAAAGTGAACTACATGGGAGGGAGTGGGAAGGGGCAATTCGCGAAATTGGCGAATCAGGTGACGATAGGGTCGACGATGGTGGGGTTGGTGGAGGGAATGATGTACGCGCACAAGGCGGGGTTGGATGTAGGGTTGTACCTGGAGGCGATTTCCACCGGCGCGGCCGGTTCCAAGTCGCTGGAATTGTACGGAAAGAGGATCTTGAAGAGGGATTTGGAAGCCGGGTTTTTTGTGAACCACTTTGTTAAAGATTTGGGGATTTGTCTGAAGGAGTGTCAGAATATGGGCATTGCTTTGCCTGGTTTGGCTCTGGCTCAACAGCTTTATTTGTCGCTTAAGGCTCATGGTGAAGGAAATTTGGGTACTCAGGCTCTTATTTTGGTCCTGGAACGACTCAACAATGTTTCTCTTGCTCCCTCCAATGCCTGAAAACTGAAAACAACCATTCTGTCTGTCGTGTACTACTACTTTACTTCCATCGCATTGCCTCTGCACTGTGTTTTCTTGCAGAACGGTATGGCATAATAAAAGTTTGGTGATTGAGTTTGACCCTAACTTCTGCTGAATTTTTATTGATGAAACGTGATCTGCAATGTCCCATTTTTATTTCTTTCCCAACACATCTGAGGACACTTGCAAAGAGCAGTTTTTTTTTTTGTTTTTCTTTTTTTCTGATTGGAGAATTGTTTGGAGTGGACAACGCAGGGGGTTTATGTCTTTAGCTACTGAAAATGTTTCCAACCTATTTTATCTGAAAAGTTAAAATGGTTTGACTATAATAACACTGTTGTATCAGTTACTTCTGAACATAAGATTATATTTTCAATTAATTTTCACATAATGAATGTTTATGCATAATTTTTTGAAACATTAAAAAATTCAATTATGGGGGATACACTGGTGATGATTGTAAACTATGTAATAAGGTTTTTGAGGTTGTATGCAGCAGTTTCTTGTATAAGAGAGTTTACAAACGCTGATGAGTATGGTATCCTCGCATGGAGTCTGAACGATTTTTTTTGTTTAATTTGACGTCAACCACTGACAACAATTTTTATTGTTAAGTGCGTGACATTTCAACTTGGCACAGTCAATTTTAATCATGTAATATAAAGGTTTCTATAGTTATAATATTTGACACTGTAAATCCAGCATAACCTGGTAATTCATGTGATAGTAACAAAGGAGTTTAGTCCCTCTTTAAAAAGTTTATATATTTCAGATTAAATAATTTGGAATAATTTAAACTTTTTTATAGAAAACAATTTTTATAGAAGACAAACACGTATGGGCAGTCTTTTTTCTTCTTTTCAGCCCAAAAATCTTGTATTGTAAAGCATTTAACAAACAATTTTCACCATTCCAGTCTCAATTTCATTAATTAAAAAAATTAATCACACACACTGCCACAAATGAAATTATAAGCCAGACTGACACTCAATCTCAAATGCAAATTTGTTTTTATGGCAATAAAAATAATTGATCTAATTTCGGAGACACCAGGAAAATTAGTTTACTAGATAAATACGATAGACATACCTCGTATATACTTAACATCCTTGGTAGAATTTTTCAAAATTAAGTTTCAAGTCTGATATTTATTTCTCCAATCCCCTGATAATAACATGTTTATTTTTCTCATGAACAAAGAAAAAGGAAGAAAAAATTCAAGATTCTCTAGCAAAGGTAAGTCACTCATAAAATTGTAAAACTTGGCATGTTTCAGACAGGATAATAAAATACTACAATAAAAATAACAGCAACAGCAACAACTCTTGAGTCTTCATTGATAACCCAGAAAAGCTTTGAATAAAAAAGCATTTAGGCTTGTCAATACATTAAGTCCTGATTTATTCTCGTTGGCTACATTCCGCAAAAGGTGACTAGTCACTCAAGATTAAGTTTGTATCTTTGATATTATTCCTTAACGAAGGAGAAGCAAACCCGGATCCAAAATAATGAATGCCCCAGTAAGAAGAGAGAGTCCTCCTATGGATACCCCCACAGTGGATATGATCTGTAGGACCAATAACCAAGGCATCATTGCTTCAATGTGTTGATCTATTACCTAAGCAAAAAATGAAACTAGTATTACATTCCCTTGGCAATAATTTAAGACTCTTCCACTCCCAAATATTGGGAGTGAGAAGCTGCCAGGAGGGCTGCACCAATGCCGGAGCCATCATTAGCATGCTCAATGACAATGGTCTCAGCAGCCTCCTCTCCCAGCAATTCCTTCAGGGTACTCTCCAAGCATTCTCTGAATTTAGTGTAGTGTTCAAACAATCCTCCATCCAATGCTATCACTGACTTTTGCTTCTCCCCAACCTTAGCTGTGTCTCTTCCTAATTTCTTAAGGATGCCCAAAATACCAGCAGCAGCAAGGCGAGCCCCGCGAGTAGCAATATTGTCACATAGTTCCACAACAATCTTCCTCATTTTTAGGGATGTGTTCGATATCTGACAAAAGGAAAGGTAAGAAATCCTATAATCCTTTTGGGGAGGGGCATTAGAAGCACCAATTTTTATTGCCCTTGACATTACCAGAATGCTTTTCATTTTACAAGACAGGTCACAAACAACAGGTAGTTTATCTTATCATCATAATTTCTAGACCCTAACATCCAATTCAAGAGAAAAACAATTTATAGAATGATGTTGAGACATGATAGCAATATTTCAACATGGGCAGAAGAGCATGCGTACCTCCAATATATCCTTTAATTTATTTCCAACAACTTTAAGATCAGGAGTTGTGTCATGGTGCATGGCTGACATGTCAGGTGTCCTAATAAAAATGATGTCAACTCCAAAAGTGAATTTATGTTGCAATGAAGGTTTATACAATTCAACACGGGGAAACAAGTAGCATAGGCACAGTGTAAACTAGGGAATAAAAACGAAAATGACAAGTGAATACAGTTTATTAAGATTGATTGGTATGAGAGCATACAATAAAACATGTTAGAGATCTAAAATCAACAAGAAATATGACTAAATTGTAATATATAAATATGTACAATCCTTATGTTAAGGTTTTGTAAGATTGGATTAGATTTAAACCACTTTCTAAGATGGTATCATAGTGTATCCTAACAAGATTTGTTTAGCCTACTAGCTCACCCACTATTGAACCATCCACAAAAATCTACTTTAACGCTCAAGATATCCCATCCTTAGCATGAGAGGAGTGTTAGAAATTTCGTATTAACTAGAAATATGTCTAAATCATACTATATAAGTGAGTTTACAAACTTCCCTGTAGAAGTCAGTTTTGTAAGATTATCCAAGACCTAAAACCACATTTTTCTAAGAAAACAGCTAAAAATGAAAAGGCTAAGATTTGAACTCCACTCTAAGCAAGTTCGTCCCACTTTGGGATGAAAATGTAACACCAATAATGCCCTAAAAAATTTCTTACTGGTCCTTCTATCTTAAGCTTATTATCATAGAGAATAATATCATCATTCATCTTTGTAAGATATTTTCATTTAGATCCATGCTCTTAACAGAATAAATGAAAATATTTTAATATACAATTTCTCCCGTTAGAAACAGTAATAAATCTTTCCCCACCACTTTCACCTATTCTCCTTCCAAACTGCCAAGCAAACCCCAGAAGAGGCAATGACAACCCAATCTTGCATTGCAGCATTCTTGTCTTGATTTACAAGTTCCAAAAAATAAATTGATGCACAAATTAGTTAATGGGGTGGGTCTTGGCCATCAATTAACAACAGAAACTATCAACCAATCTTGAGAAATGAGATTGAAGTAGAAAAGGGGGGAACAACACTTTATAATAACAGAGCATGCACTTAATTTGCTCAGGTTTCTGTGTAATTCATGCAATTAAACAACTAGGCTAAGTGTAAGAAAAGAGTCATTATTGACAAGGTAGATATGCAGCAAAAAAAACTCAAAATAAATCTCATTGACAAATATTGAGGTATCATTCAATTAAAAGAAAGGTGGCTGTTTGGCAGTAGTAATCAACCCAGATAGTGGCTTCAAGCAGCCAGACCCTAAAATCGGCATGGCTGGATTCATAATGGAATGACCAGAAATTTGAAGATTATAAATATAAGTTAAATAATTTATACTACATATACAGAAATACTTAAACACTAAAAACTATATATACCTAAAATTAAGTTGTAATAAATTATAGACTTAAGATAGACACACAAGTCAATAGCAACATAAGTCAAAGAACAAGAAAAGAGATAGAACAACGATGAAGACAAAACTCATTAAAACTAAGGGCTAGATTGGTGATCATGGTAAGGGAGATATGATAAGATAAACAATGCATATCCTATCTTAATCTATTGTTTTGTGAGGCAATTGGATATGATAAGACAACCTTATCACCCTATCCTATCTTTCCTATCTTTTTCTCACCAGTTGAATTTTATCTTGTGATGAAAGCTATGTCAGAAGCTAAAAGGATATGATTAAAATATTTTCTCACTCATGTTCTATCCGCTCATTTGTCCCTTACTCGAACCTATGTGTTTCATTTGCACTCTCACTGCATACTTGTGCTTCTTTTTACAAGTGGCAAGGCAACTCACGAATCAAGTTATCACCACATCCATATTACCCTTGTTATTTTAAAATGGGAATGAGATTGTTTAAGTTTATAAAATATTTACATTAAGTGTTGCTATTCTTTAGTTAAAATTATTTTGCTACTTACATAATTTATTACAATTTAAAATTTTAATTGAATTCAATACATGATCTTAAAATTCAATACATTTTATATATTTATAGAATTAAATAATTTTATTAAAATTATATAATTATTTTGTTGCTTGTATTTTTTATAATTTAAATAATAGATAAAAATCAAAAAATTTCATCAAACTGACAAAGCAAATTTTTTAAAAAATGATATGTAATTGTGTCACAATGGTAATTTTGCCATTTAAAATATGACTTGTATCACATGCCATTATCTGGTCCATCTCAAACACAATAGAACAATATAATACTATTTAGTTGTTATTCGATGTCTACGAAAGACAGGATAGGACAAGAAAGAGCTTATTATTTACAACTTATTTAGATTTATATTATGACATAAAGCACTTATGTAAGTTTTTTGGAAGAGCATATGAAAATAGTATATGGTTTGTCCAAAGCTACTTTTGGTTTATTTCAATAAGCTCTTCAAAACAACTTACTAACTTATATGAAAACAATTTAACCTTATTTTTTCTCTTTGGTTATCAAAAACAACTTAAGTTACTTACCCAAATAGACCACTTATCTTACTCTTATCTAACTCTCTTATCCAATCATGTCAACCAAACAGCCTAAGAAGATCAATGGGAAAAAAGGGACAGAACAGTGAAATGAAGGACCTATGTTGGTCTGTTACACAGAGAAAAGAGATAGCTCTAGGAGAGTAAACAGCATGAAGGAAAGAGCAAGATAAGGGTTCACTGGAAAGTTGGAAACAACATCAGAACTGACACCAGTATGGCAGATTTGCTAGAAAGTACACTTCACCAGCACTGCTATTTGGTCTCGTGTTCATTCTGAACTCCTCCAGACAGAAACATAGTGAGTTTCTCCCTATATCTCAAAATAAGGCTGAAATATACATACACATACACACACACACACACATATATATATATATAGAGACAGAGAAACCCAAAAGTAGGACAAGGGTCCCACAATAACATGGGTAATGAGGGGATTCTCCTCCATCAACATAGTAACAATGACCATGAACATAGGGACAACGGTCCCTATTCACAGTCATGATTCCCACTACAAAAAAATGCTTGACCCTGAAATAGCGGCCTCTGGCCACTGCACACTGCTACACCAGTTTACTATTAACAACTATGTTTGCTGGTATGAATTATCATACCTGAGTATGAAAGGAACTTTCAATTTGGGGGGAACAGTATCTCCAAAAAAGTCAGCTTCTTTGGCCATCTTCAACAAAACTCTCCTTAAAATCTCCCCCAAGTACATGCCAGAAATCAATTTCTCAAAAGCCTGTGAATAATAGCAGAATAATGTTAGAGTTGCATCGATTTATGAAACAAATGAACACGATAGATGATTATAACCTGTTCTCCAGGGTTTAAACTCTCAGCATCAAGAGCTAGATCATATTCTGTTAGAGAAAGATGTGATGATCGGAAATTACCCCACTCCATGTTTATAACCTGTAATATTTAGAAATAATCAACATGCTGCGGCACTAGATAGTATCATAGTATAAACAACTCTTTCACAAGAAATTAAATCATGCACGTTCATAACCTACTTACCATATCTCCCGACTTTGGTATAAGGCCGTGCCATTTTGGAATAGCATGTGCACGTTCTACATATGCTGCATTTGTCCCAGTACCAAGAATCACAGCAGCAATTACATCCTGATTGTAGAATCTTCCTCCAGCTAATGTTCCAATGGTATCATTAACCTACATCAATCCACCAAAAATGACTTTAAAAGGCTGACATAATAAAATCTTATAACGCAAAAGCTCTGTCAGACACCAAATGAAAATCATCATTCTCAAATCCTAGCCTTAAAAAATAAATAAATCCTAAAGGGAGAAGAGTGAGACTGACTAGAGCAGCAACTCGCATATCCAGCCCAATTTTTTCCATGGACTTGGTTAGTTCTCCCACCACATCTGCACCAACCTACAAACAAATTACGAAGGAGTAACTGTCAGATTACCATGTTCAATCAAAGAATATCAGAGAAACAACAGCTGGTAGAAGAGTTCACTCTCTAAAAAAGAAAAGATTCTATGGCTAGGATGCAGTTTTGAACAATAATGTCGTAAATCTCGCACCATTGTAATATGTGGAGACTTACAAAATTGTCAAAAGAGATAGCATTTCTGGACTATATATCACAGTGTATTTAAGATAAATGACAAGAAAAAAAAAGGCGGTATAAAATAAATTTGAATATCAAAAACTGCTAATAACACACATTATAGTGCACTCTCCTAAACAGACTCTACTATTGTTGAAATTTGTGAGATCAAAAACTTTTGTGGCTCTATTTTCATATTTAATTAATCAGCTTCGTAAATGATTTGTAGGTTCTCATAAATTTTAACCAATAGTAGATGTGTTAAAAAGTGTGCGCTAGAGAGGTGGCTAGCACTCCTCTTCTTGGATATAATACAATGAAGGCAACAAGAATTACCGTATCTTCAATATTAAAACCTTTAGTCCACTTAATTAGAGTCCCAGATGAAATTGATGTTTGCCTCACTGGAAATGAGAATGTAAAACCCAGTTCTCTTTGTCTTCCATGGGGAGGATGAAAACCTTCGGGCTCTGAAGCAACAAACTTGGCAAGAGCTGATGCTATAAAATCAAATAATGCCTGTAACAACATAATGAGTATGTATCAAACTGTAGCAAGGCTTAATCCTCTAATAGATTTTCCCATAACACACTTACCTCTGAAGAACCAGTCATCAAATGTGGAGGAATTGAAACTTCTGCAAACTCCTGGCCAATAACACCTTTGTCTTTACCACCTAAATGTACACGAAGGACACGAAAGTTCGTGCCACCAAGGTCCAGTGCATAATAGAGTCCTTCCTCATCCCTGTAAATAATGGATATGGTGGACAACGAATCAAAATATAATAAATCTTAAGAATTACGAGTTCATATTTCTGCATCTTGACTGCAGATTCTTCAAACCACAATATAAACTATCAAATGCTTTAGTAATAAACCGTTATAATCCAGAGGGAGACAGAACCATTAACATTTGGATAGTCTTATTACCATGAATGATTTGCCATTAAAATAGTCCAATTTAATCATGAAAATTCTGAACTGTTAAAAAGCAGTATCATTTTGAACCATCGTGACAAATCACGATCGAGTTTCAAACCCCCAGATTTACAACAAACAAAAAAGCTGTAATATTATTTTTAGCTTTCCAAATCCAAAATATGATCATAGTGGAGATAATGCATATAAACATTTACTGAATTACATAGAAGAAGGGGCGAAAAGGTATATGATGAAATCCACTACTACACTACTGATCAAATTTGTCTGTGCATGATATCAGAATCAAGAACATAAAATAAACAACACGCACCAAAAACAAAACATAAAAAATAGGAAAAGATAAAAAATAGGAAAAGGAAAAAAATTGTTTAAATAAAAATCCATTTAACAAGTCAAATAAAACAACAAGATCAACGCTCCGGCGACAAGGCAAACTTACAGTCAACAAATCCGGGACATCCTGATCCTCAACTATCTTAAACTCTTTTTATTAAAAACTTTATTTTGACAAAAAAAGAGAGACAAAAAATCATCTTTTTTTAATGTTAGTATTAAACAGCTAACAGGTGGGAAAAGGTAAAGAAACGGGATAAATCTACGAACCCAGTTGGGAGATTATCGACGAAACTGATCAACATATTGAGCTTGCTACCACCTTCAGATGCGAGACCTGCGTGCATCTCAACATTCATGGCGTCGGCCACTTGTCTAAGCTTCCCAATTGGGGTCCCACACTTTTCCTCGAACTCTTTCAGTATCGCCATGGCACGACTCCACTTGCGGGAACTAATCATGCGGTGGCGCACCACCAGCGCCGCCGCGGCGCAAACGGCAGCGGCGCAGACAACGGCAGCTCCCACCGCGACCTTGCCCATGACTGCAGTGGAACAAGCCGAATCCCGCAAAGTCGGAAACTTTGTCCTCTGAAGAATGAAACCCAGATTAGATTTTAGTGGGGAAGTGAGAGATTCTTGTTATTGGCATACATTGTGGGAAAGTGACAGTGGCGTGGCCTTGGGGGTTAGGAAAAAGAGGTGAAATGTAATGAGACAGACACACTCACACGAGAGCATATACACACATATATACATGAAATAGTATTAAACACAGTAAAAAAAATAACAAATCTTTTAAATATTGGACATCTCTCTTTTTGAGCTTCAAATGGAAGATTAGGCGATGGTCAAACCAAAATGGGAAATAGATTAATTTGATTAGGTTTGAGAGAAATCTCGAATCTGATCTCAATCCTGAAAAAATAATGTCAAACTTTACTTTCCTAATAAAAAAAAATTGAAACGAGGTAACTGATTAATAAATATAAATAATTTAGCAGGTAAAGATGTTTGTACAATAAAAATTGATTTGTTGTTTTCTTATTTATATAAGATGAACATATATTAAAAAAAAATATAATAATAAAGTACACACTGCTCAACCAACTTAGTACACTGCACATGTGAAAGTAATTTGTTTTAAAAATAATAAGTAATCAATATTATATAAGATTGCATGTTTTTTATGTGGTATTTGGTAATAAGGTCAATATGTAAATTTATAAAAATGAAAAAAAAATAAAAACTTAATATTTTTAATGGTGAATTAAAATAAATGACAGATGAATACATTATGAAGTTGTAAGTTTGACACAATAAAAAAAAATAGAGTAACACCCAGACAACAAGCATCCACAATTCATTAGCACATAGAATATATATCCAAGTGGGAGACCTAATTTTCAAAAGACAACCAAACCAGGTGATAACACTATAAAAAATGTTTCAATTTGCAGTGCCAAACAAATATAACATGAGTTTTTTTTTTTAATTATGTAAAAAAGAGAAAACATATCATGCTGCTAAAAATACATAGTTGTGTTCTAAAAGAAAGTAATAATAATAATAATATGTGAAGGATAGGGATGAAATGGAAAAGATTCCATTGTTTGTTTAGGAGTTATCTGTGGTTAGGCTTTTGTTGTAGACATGTTGGGTGCAATCCGGTTATGATTAGAAGTGTAACCAAATCATTTCAATCCACCATGGCATGCCAAATGTTAGTTCACTTCCTTTTATCCTCTCTCTTTTGTTTTATTTTATTTTTTTCAAAATAAAGTATATTCTTATGTTTTTATATATATTATTCACATATATAAAATCACACTTATATATAAGAAAAGGAATTTATGCAGAAATATCATTTTTAATTTATGTTTCTTTAATTTTCTCAATCCATCAATATATTATAAAAATAAAATCATAAATCATTCATAAACTGAATTATTTATATCAAATTATAAGATAATAAGATAAATTTGTATTTTTATTTCGTTAATTTACTTTAATCAGTCTTATCTAATTCAATTAATATAATAAATAAAAAAGAGATGAGATGAACTCTTTCTATTTATTTTTAATAAATATTTATATTAAAATATATAAATATTATAATTTAAATTATACATATTATTAATTACAATGTAATATTTTAGTATATATAAATATTTTTTTAATTTATCTAATAAAATATTAATTAATAAATAAAATTTTAAGAATAATATATATAATTACATTTATATTTTAAAAAATTAATATAAAAATATATATTGACTGTCAATATTTTTTAAGTGAATAAATTAAAATTTATAATATTTTGTATGAACTAAAGAGAAAAATGAACCAAAGGATGAATTAAAATAATTAAAAAAAAAAACAGAATTAAAATGAAACCAAATAAAGACCGAATGAAGCGTTTTACCATTCTTATTTCCATTTAAAATCAATCACCATCGTCAACCAAACAAAGGTTTAGGGATAAAATTTTTATTTAAAGAGAAAAGATGTTTTCTATGTATAATCATTCTATTAACTACATGTAATAAATAAACATTTATCCTCCAAGATTCTTGTCCTTTCAGAATCATGTGTTTTCTGAAATTTCTCTTCCTTCCATTATCGTTTTTTTTTTTAAGTAAATATATCAATTTATATTATTATTTATAAAAAAACATATCGTTTTCAATGAGACAAGGACGTAGGTCTTAATTTGTTGGTAGTATGAAAAAGCTAAAATACCTTCCTTATATTCTTATCACCGATAGTGGTCACATTTTTTTATTACATAAAATCTCCAACGTGTCCTGTCCCGCTACTCTATTTATTTATAAAAAAATAATGGCTATGGAATTTACTCATCTACCCCTCTCAATTTTTTGACACCTCTACCAAACTATATGATTAAAAATAAGACTAACTCATATTTATCTATTTTGGACTGTAGTGTGTTAATGTTACATTCAGCAACAGTATTCCAAATTTCAAATATCCAAAATAACCCTACTTTATACAGGTGTCAGAAAACTATAGTAGATAAATGAGTAAATTCCACCGCCAAATATACATATTAAAAGACAAGGGTGAATTATAACAAAGTGTGTGAAATTCTTTTGATTTTAATAATATTTAATTTCGATATTTGATTAATAATAAAATTTTCATTTATTATGATTTTATTTTAAAGATATCTTGTGGATAAAGAAATATATATAAACTAATTTTATCCACGATTTAAATCACATGAGTTTATCAAAATATATAATAAAAATATCAATTTACGTTAATTAAAGAATGTTAATTTGTTTAATTTTCTTATGAGTAAGAAAAAATTAATTAAGATTTATTTTTATTTTAGTTTATACTATGTGATTTTTTATTTATTTAAAACTGTTATTTTTTTCTCCTATGATATGCGAATTTTTTTTGTATTTAAACATAAAAAAAATGAATAATACCACCATTTTTGTGCTTAAAGAGGACAGACAAGACAAGATTGTCTTCAAACTATATCTGGCTCCATACTTGTTTTTTATAAATGTTTTATGATAGAATTATGTGTTAGAAAAAAATTCCTTACATATATTTATTATACATGTATTAAGACACATTACAAGTATTCATTTTTTTAAATATTTTTTGAGAATAATTTGTTTGTTAAAATTTGTTTGATTTTTATTTGTTTTAGTTTTCAAATTCTTTTTCACCTTATCCACCACTACGTCGCATCGCCATATCCTGTATCATTTGTAAATGTTGTTGTCAAATTCTTAGGCAAAGTAAACAAAGTGACATAACATAAACTAATTTTTAAACAAAAGTTTATGATCACTTACATCACATTGGTTTCATATAAATTAATATTATCAACGATAACTTCTCCCAAACACTCATAGAATCTGTTAGTGGGTTTGATTTAATACACACTTATACAACTGTTTATCTCAAAAATTAAGTCTAATGCTAGTTTGGTCTTGAAAACCTCCAACAATTTCTAAAAAATTCAAAAATCTCACTAAGAAACCAAAAAAATATATATATACACAAAATTATAGAAATTAGTTTGTGTGTAAGTTTTTTTTTTTTTTTCTAAAAGTTCTGATGGAGAAATGATTTCGTTTTAAATATGTAAAAATTAAGGTTTTGTTTTCAAGAAAACATGTGGGTAACTTTTTTTGTCATGTTAAGGAGTCTCTCCCTCTGGCCTGGATAAATGTTTTGTCACTCCATAAGTTGTAAGAAACAAGCCCAATAATGATAGTGTTTTTTTTTCCTCTGAAAAAATAGCCAGTTCTTTTTATTTTTCTGTCTTTAGCCCGTTATTTTTTTTTTTTTTGCTCTTTATTTTACCCGCATAAAAACATTAAGAGAAAAAGGAACAGTTTTTCGTCACGGAAATAGGAAAAGTTCTTGCTGTACCTCATAATTTAAAAAAAAATCATTTTGGAATGAACTTTTCGAAATCATTAAATAGTTTATTTATATATATATATATATATATATATATATATATATATATATATATATATATATATATATTTATTATTATTATTATTATTATTTATTTATTTTTTTTGTTTAATTTGTGTAGTTCTAATAAATGTAAGCTTCATATTTACACTTGCTCTTTAACATGTGACCTTAAAAAAGAGAGCCAAAAGAAGAGATTACATGTCAATTAGTTACCTATGAATTAAAGCTTGTGTAACAAAACAACCACCTTAGACAGATTAATCAGTAACATACGAAGAAGAAAATGAACCACCCAGCTTGCGCGTTGTAGACATTATTCTTTTACTTTATCGTTTTCGTGAGTGGATGTTGGATATAAAAGAAAAGTGAACTTGATGTAGTACATATTGGACCATTGGTTTAGCTTCTGTTAAGTGCTAATTTTATAAGCCTAACTTTGAAATGGAAGTGGATCACGTTATATGATTGTTGATTTCAGGGCGTGCTGGCCATACTTGTAGTTAATGCAAGTGGGGACTGGAGATGAACAACTTGGTGAGAGCATCATGCAAATGACCCATACACAAAAATACTTTGCAATTCACAACTCTTTTTCAAGCTATAGTCTCAACACTAACTATCGAATAAAGTTATCTTCACGTAGTTTTCATCAATAGAAATATAGAATTCTGCAGCAATCGAAATTTGACCTTATTCTTTAACAGCTCAATCTGATGTAACTATGTAGATCACTCTATGTAATTCTGTCATGGTTTGACATATTTTCGTTTCAACAAGTCTTGTACCTGGCTACACTTAATGTGGTAACATTCAGATAGCTTTTCTAACCTCATCAGGTATTACTTTGTGAAATGAAATTGGACTTGGAAATGGACAGTATATATTCAGTTCCGGATGTAAGAGCTTTTATATGACAAGCAAGAATCACTCACAGAAGTAATTAATTTGTGAATTTGAAGCTGATTTTTTATTCTGGTTTCTGTCTTTATTTTGGTGGAGGAAGTGATTATGACTTTTTGATGGTCTCATGGCATTCAGCAATAATGATTTTTTAATGACTCGTACGATTGATTTCCATATTCAAACATGCAATCCATATCAGCTAATTGTAAACCGTTCACATATTACAGGCCAACTATATTGTGTCTTGCACAGATCAATGCAAAAAATTAACCCCCAAAAATCCAACCATATCTAACTATAATCATTTCCCATTTTGTATTGCGTTTGAATTTCTATACACCCCTTGTGAAAATGCTCCCTAGTTCCTCCTGCATAAGTATATCTAGTTTGACAACACTAAAGGACAACATTAGAGATAATGTTTGCAATGCTCCATTGTTGTAATGGATGGTGATGACTTCACTCTTTTTATCATTTGACTGCACGACCACTAAAATATTAATTTAGAAAAGGACCTCGTGAGCTTCTAACAATTAGAAGTTCATTGCATATTTTTACATCATGGATAATTTGGTCCCAGAAAAACATTGATTTGCAAGTTGTAAGACCACTAATTACTTTGGAGGGTGGGGATCAAATTCTCTCCACGACAAAACTTAATCAGAAAACAATTATCTAATAACATTGGATTTCATACAGCAGCTAAATCTCTTTTATGCAAAAGCCACCACACATTGCACACCCCAATGCTACATGGAATCCATAGTTTTGTTTGCTTCTGTCTTTGCTTTCGGGGCAAGGCATAAATTAATCACTAGTTAATACCTCCCAATAATCAGGTCATAGTCAAATTATCAAAACCAATGATCAAACTCTGAAAAATGCTGATTGGATGAAATGAAAAAGGGCACATTAATGTACAGTTGGTTTGATCATAAATGGTACTGCTACTGTACATACACAAAGGAGGGTTACAACAAGCCAAAGAAAGACATGAAATATAGGGTAACATCCAAGTTTTTCATGGACAAATTAATCGAGAAACCTTGTTTACATTATAAATTAATTTCATATTTATAGTTTATGAAAATTGAGCAAACAACTTATTGATGGAGGATGAACTTCGGGTAATTGAGAAAATTGAAAAAAATCATCAGTCCTGTGAGTTACGAAAATAATGTCTAATCAGCATGTGCAGCAAAGTGCCCCCACGTGGGTTATGACAAGCGTGTGGGTCTCAAATTCCAAGTGTTACTCTTTTCTTTGACAGTTTTGGCAAGATGCAATCTTGTTGGATAACAAAACTTCCAAGTGAGAAAGAAAATCAGCCTTATACACAAAGAAAAGAAGATACAAATAATGTGAAAGGGAAAAGCACATAGATCTTGTATTAATTAATTGCAAGGTTTGCTGATGAAGCAGTAAGGAAGCTTTATTTGAGGCATATATACATTTCCCATCATGTTCATGAGAATTATGAGATATTCTTATGAGCTGTGAGTGTGAAGTAAGGAGCTGGCTCTGTAAACCCTGCTACTTGGACATCCTCTCTAGATCTCAACCCTAACTTCTCTTTTAGATTGAAGAAAAAACGTTTTGATATTTTTTGCTTTTCAAATATAAAGGTGGGAGAAATCCAGCTACATTTGTACAGGTGGTATTGGTGTGTTGTGTTCATATAATGTTAACCTTTTTGGCTAAAGGTTAAACTTTGTGATGGGAGGAAAAAGGGGAATCTGATGATCAAAGCTTCTGTTGTTTGCTATTTACTATTTCTAGGGGTGCTGCCAAGTGTACTGTAAATAGATTTTTGTTTAAACATATTCCACATGCCCCACACACCAAGAAATCAAATATGAGAGAAAAATTTGTTTCCAAGGCGTCCATGCTTTGGTACAACAAATCAAATTCACAGACTCCATCTTAAAAGAAAAATGAAGTTAAAATTCAGAGGTGTTGAAATAATGCATGTTGCATAAAATCTTTTAAGGAGATTGGTTACTTCTCCTTTCTATGTTTTTAAGGAAGAAATTTTATTGTGAAACTCAGTATTCCATAGAGAGAAAACTACATATTCCAAAAGGCAGAGATGAAGAATAAAGTATATTAATTGAAAGAGACGAAAACAAGTGTAAATTACAGAGATCCATGTTGAAGGGAGATGTTTTAGAATTTATCATGTCATGTGCTTCTTCCATGAACACTGCCACACCCTAACTTGCTCTTTCCCCAAGAAAGATGCTGAATTCAGAAGCAAGGTCCCACCCCACCCCAATCAACCACCATGTTCCCTTTAGACCAACAATCAACACTCACTTCGCACCTGATGCAAACCTACTTTTAAATACCATTGTCACATCAACATAATTCACATTAATTAACCATTTCTTGTTTATCATGAAAAATTAACTTATTTAAAAAAAAAGTTATAACTTTTTTAAAAATTATGGAAAAAACAATTTTTAACGAGAAGTGATATAAACACTTCATTTCTTTCTAAATATTTTAATAAATATACATATAATATGAACTTTTATTATTATAAAATTAATAAAATGAGTTGTTAATAAATTATTTTGATAACGAGAGTTGTTAATCTATAATTTTTCTAATAGATTTTTAATATATATATATATATAAGTTTATAATACACATAAATAATAATATTATGATTTTTAATTAGGATGATAAAAAATATCAATTTTGATATCATGATTCATTAATCATCTTGAATTATAAAAGGGATTGATAATTTTAATCCGTGAAAAAAGCGAAATGATATTGAATTGGTGTATTACTTTTAAAAATATCTATAAATAAAAATAAAAGAAATTAAATTTTTTTGTCATACTAATAAAATATATAAATATATTATAATATTATAATTTAAAATATAATTATTAATTAATTAAACTTAAATTATATATTAAATATTTTAATATATAAATATAATAAATTTCTTAATTTGTTTAGTAACAATATTAATTAATAAATTAATTAATTAAAGATATATTAAAAATATATATAAAAAAATATTACTAAATTCACTCACGAATCCACACGAACTAGTAATCAATCTTAAATTAGTTTATCTCATTTTAGATTTGTTGGGTTAAAGGTGCAACGTACCAAAACTTTAAATAATTACAATTTAAAATATTAATTTAATCAATCATTTTAAATATTTATGAAAAAAATAGGATGTACGAAGGTTGTCAAGGAGAAAAAAAATATATTTAATAATGTTTTTTTCTCTAGATCATTATTTCTCCAAATTTATTTTCTTTTTATCAATTTGAATCTCACTAGTTTGGTTAAGCATCTTGTCTTTATTACCTAAAAGAAGAAGTTACCTAAGTATTAGTGGGTAATTTTTAGTTAAATTGTTATGGCGTTATGATTTGGTATTTGTAAAAAAATCAATATTTTGATGCTAATCAAGGCAAAGCGTACTGTTAATTTTTACCAATATAAAAAAAAATTAAGAAAGAAAAGTAAAAAAAAAAAACAAAGCCATGGGATGATGTGAAAAATTAAAGAATTAAAAGTAATTTTGGAAATAATACCTTCTTTTTTCTATTTTTAAAAAAATTTAACAACTTCAAAATAATTTAAGTATATATTTGCTGGAATCAAAATTATCTCAACATCCATTCACACCTTTGGAATACATAATTTTATAATCCTTAAATTAAAAAAAAAATCTAGAAGATTTAGTAAAATATAGTTTTAATCTCTTAACAATAAATTTAAAAATAATTTAAAAAAATCATTTCAAACTTTTAAATTCATTGTTTAGAGACTAAAATGATAATTTTAGAAAAATTGAGAAACTTTTTTTATTTATTTTGGAGACTAAAATAAAAAAAATACTATGTCAAGAATTAAAAACATAATTAGATCTTATTTTATTTATAAAATTTTTTTATGAAGTTGTTTATTTGATGCATACCGTTATGTTTTTTTACATGTATGGAGAACAAAAAAAAATACTAAAAATACACTATAATATATATATATATATATATATATATATATATATATATATATATATATATATATATATATATACGTGTGTATATTTATAGAAAGAAAGAAGTATCCAGTGATATATTTGTCTCTTTATATCAATTATGTGTGTTTATTATTTACTTAATTAAATAAAAGAAAAGATAAATTTAGTTTTTTTAAAATAATATGTTTATAATAAAAATTATTTAAATAATTTTTTTCTAAAGTTATTTATCTAATTAAACCTTTTATTATTCACATAATTTAATAATGATAAATAAATTCATCAGATATAATACATATATTTTACTTTTTTTCATCATTTATTTTTCTCATTTTTTTATTTTTTTCATTTATTTTTTATTTTATTTTTTCTCTATCATCATACTTGTTTTTTTTTACCATATTTCTCTTAGATTCTTTTGTCACTCATCTTACTCTCCTAACTAAAAATATTAAATTAAAAATTTATAAAATAAGTTTTTTATTATTTAAAAAAATATTTAAATAATTTAAAATATTATTATTTAATATATTATATTTTAAAAAAATATTAAATTATAAATTTGAGATATTACACTTTATTAAGTTATAATTATTAAAAAATAAAATTAAATATTTATTTTAAATTAAATTTTTAATAATTATTTTTTAAAATTACCTAATATGTATAATCTTCATAATTCAAAATTATATTAAATTATTAAATAAAAATTACATTTAACTCATAAATATTTAATATTTTCTAATTAGATGAGTATTAATTTATTATGATAAAATAATTTAAAATTAATTATTTATGTTATCGTAAATAATAATAAATAAAATTATTTATTACCTCGTAATTATAAATAATTAATTGATATTTTTAAAATTTTAATATTAACTTTAAATATATATATATATATATATATATATATATATATTTACTTGTAAGGATAGACATAATATATATTTTCTTAATAATTTAATATAATCATTTGTAATAATTCAAATTTATAATATAATATTTTTAAAATATAATATAAAAAATTATAATATTTTTGACAATTTAAATATTTGTATTTTTTATAAATAATAAAAAACCTATTTTATCAAATTTAATTTAATATATTTAAGTGGAAGAATAAATTAAGTGACAGAAAAACAAAAGATTAAGAGAGAAAAAAAGAAATAAAGTGAGAGAATAGAGAAAAAAATTAATAATAAGTAAATGAGAGAAAAAAATAGAAAAAAAAACAAAATATTTATATTATATAATAAATTTTATGTATGGACAATAAAAAAACACAATGAAGTAAATAAGAGATTCTATTTAGATAATTTTTTATTTTAATTATATTATTTAAGAAATTGATTGGTGAATATAAAAATTAATTATTTTTTTCATTTTCTTAATTTATTTCTTTAAAAACTCTTCGTCTCTTCCACTAAATTAAAAGTGATTAAAATGCATTTACATTTTAAATATTCACCATTCAATATTTTTAAGATATTAGTGTTTCAAATATCAGTTAGTAAGTGAATGCGTAAAGCAATGGTGCAGTGGAATTTCAATACTACAAAATATAAATTCGTATAAAAGATTTTAATTAGTAGTTGTTATTATTAATAGATTTCAATTATGAAGAGATAAAACTAAGGTGAGTGAAAATCATAGTATTTTTTAACTTACTGATATATAAATATATGTTGTGGAACTACTCTTGTCAGCTTCTGACACAAACACTCATTCTTTTTATAATAGAAAGAAGGAAGAAGGAAGAAGAAAGAGGGTTTGTGAAGAGAAGGGAGACATGCAGCCATGTTTGAATTGGGAAGCAGAAAGATGTTAAATAGTTTAGGTGGCATCATGTGGCCTATGGGAACTGAGGGATTTGGGGGCAGTGAGACAAGGAAGTGATGAAGCAGAACCCAACACAACAACACTGCATTATATATGTACACTGCTTTCCCCAATGGCAGAAAACAGAAAGAAGAAGAGGTGCCACTGCCTCCCAAATGTGAGGCTCTTAGAGCTGTCAGATGGGGATGGTGGGGACTGCATAATCTCATCCCTTCAACATTAACACAGTTTTTTACCACCTTATTCTCTCTTCACCCCATTTTCCACTTCTTCTCTTGCATACATTCATTCTCACACACTACACTAGTAAGAGACACTGGCCAAACATGCACGTTTGGATGGGACAACAACAGTTAATACCAACAACTCAACAAGACAGAGATAGATAGAAAGTGAATGCTACAAAGTAGAAAGTAGTAAATGCTAACCTGTACTACATGGCCAATTGTTGTGAGGGATGTTTCCTTCCAACCATCTGTTTGTGAAAATGGGAGCGGAGTGCTGTGCAGCCTCCGGCAATTGCGCACGCACCCATGTGATCCATTATGTCCAATCCAACACAGCCATCTACACTCACATTATTCTTACACTCCTATCATTTACTTCTTCCTTCTTTCATCAACCTTTCTTTTTTATCTTCATCTTTGCTTAATCCTCCTAGGATGCTATATGCATGCTACAACATAATCCTAACCTCTCTGATCTAAACCTTTTCCAATTGTTTCCACTTTTAAACCCTTTTGCTGCCTCCATTCAAAGCCCATTTCAGCACAGTGGCCCCTGCAGGACCCAACAAGTACTTCACTTTCAGATGCCATGAAGAATAAAGTCTTTGGTCTCCAACTCCACGTGTGCCCCTTTCCTTTATCAAATCAAACAAATACAATTCATTCAGTAATCAACTACAGTAACATCTTATTACCCTCTAAACAGTACCTAATCTCTTCCTATTTCTCTATTTTAGTACTTGTTTGAACTAAACAAAGATTAACGGTACAACCCCAGAACAAAACAGGGAAAAAGAATTTCCATCTTGGCTTCTTTGTGAACTTCAAACCTTGAAGTCAAATCTAATACCATGACTAAACAAAGAACGGCGCGGTTGCTCATACTTAATTATTTTGAATATATATATATATATATATATATATATATATATATAAATTAAAAATCTACTTGTCAGTAAGATTGGACTAATGGAGAGGGAGATAATTTATTTAATTACCACAGCCAATTTTAAAAAATAAACAGGTAAATATCATTATCCTTATTATAAACATAAAAACATTGAATAAAATTTTGAAACAACTGAGATATAATTCAATATGAAAGAAAGCATTATCAGTAGAACTCTAACGATAAGTTTGTCTCAATAGAGAAAGTTCTTACTGTTCAAAGATTGATCAATGTTTGGTCAAATGCATTTTACTTTATAAACGTGTATTTAAAATATAAGTAAAATGAATCAAATTTAAGCCTGAACTGAATTTTAAAATAACACTTCATCAGACATTTTTTTTTTTACCATTTCATTCTATATATATTGCTGGACGGTAGACATTTCTGGGTTAATGTATTTATTGTTAGCAATTGAAATTAATAATGAAAGTCAAGAACATTATTAGGTTTGATGGATACATTAACAATATAATTAGTGGAGCAAAGTCAAATGCAATTGCTAGACCAACATGTAAGCCGTACATGCATTATGCTTTAGTGATGAATAATGGCACCTTTGTCAGTAATGCAGAGCTTTAATGCTTTTTCAAGAATTCTTGGATTGAATAGAAGTAATTGCATTGCATCTCATAAACTAAAATGAATGGAATAGAAGTTTTTTGTTATTTGAAATCACAGTTACCCAAGATGGCCAAGAAACTAGCAGAAACACAATATCACAAACCCAAAAAACTATTCCCTTGTTGGGAATTGTTCCCTACAGAATACACTGACATTCCCATGTATTTAAGTATTTTTCATTTATAATTCTTTTGGCATTAAACCGCAGTAAGGAATAGAAATATACAATTTTTTTTACCGGAGATTTGAGACGTTAAAAAAGGTATAAAAAGATTGTAACTTACTAAGTTATGAGAAGAAAGAAAGGAGGTGAATCATGAAGACTGTGGCTTAAGCATGTAACTTGACATCAGCCTTCATTTTGTTGTTATATTTGTCATAAATAAATATTATTAATTTATAATAAAGAAAGAGATGTAAATATTAAAAGAGGGGGTAACAGACTTGAAGTGTCTATATATACAAGGGTCACCTTCTTGGCCTTCTCATTCAAACGGGTAATTAGTTTCGTGTATGTATCTATTTATCTATCTGTCCATTCACACACTCTAACTCACTGGGTGGGAGTGTTTGTTTGGGTCATCCCACAGAGAAGGGAGTGAGGAGTGAGGAGTGAGGAGTGCAAGTTTAGGTTTGACAGAGTACTAGAAATAAGTATATAATCCATTAAGATGGGATCGAAAGCAGAGGAAGGAGAATACAAGTTGATGGAGGCAGCGGAAAAGGAGCAGTGTTGGAGCATAAGGAGAGAAGTAAAAGCGCTGATGGAGTTAGCGTTTCCCATAGCGGTGACGGCACTCATATTCTACGCGCGTTCCATGGTATCGATGCTGTTCCTGGGACACCTGGGAGACCTCGAACTGGCGGCGGGGTCCCTAGGAATGGCCTTCGCGAACATCACAGGTTATTCGGTGCTGTCGGGTCTAGCACTTGGGATGGAACCGCTGTGCTCCCAAGCGTTCGGCGCGAAACGCGTGAACATCTTGTCGTTGACCCTTCACCGCTGCGTAATGTTTCTGTTACTCTGCTCCATCCCAATATCGCTCCTCTGGCTCAACATGTCCAACATCCTTCAACTCTTGCACCAGGACCCTAACATCACCCGCATGGCACACACCTACCTCGTGTTTTCCCTCCCCGACCTCGTCACCCACTCCTTCCTCCACCCAATCCGCATTTACCTTCGCGCGCAGGGAGTCATCCACCCGGTCACGTTAGCGTCCCTCGCCGGAACCCTCCTCCACTTCCCCTTCAACTACGTTCTCGTCACGCGGCTCCGCCTCGGCCTCGCCGGCGTCGCGGCAGCTTCCGCCGCCTCCAGCCTCTCCATCCTCCTCTTCCTCGCGACGCACGTGTGCCTCACAGGCCTGCACTGCGCCGCGCCAAGCAGGGACTGCCTCGCCGGGTGGAAGCCGCTGCTCCGGCTCGCCGCGCCGAGCTGCGTCTCCGTTTGCCTGGAGTGGTGGTGGTACGAGATCATGATCGTTTTATGTGGGCTTTTGGTTAACCCCACCGTAACCGTTGCTTCCATGGGGATACTCATTCAAACCACTTCGCTCATCTATGTTTTTCCCTCCTCGCTCGGTTTCGCGGTTTCCACTCGCGTCGGGCACGAGCTGGGCGCGAATCGGGCTTCTCGGGCGAAGCTGTCGGCTGTGGTGTCTGTTTTTCTCGCCGCGATTATGGGTTTCTCCGCTATGGTTTTCGCCGTCGGGATGAGGCAGCGGTGGGGGAGGATGTTCACCGGTGACGAGAATATCATAAGGATCACGTCGATGGCGCTGCCGATCCTGGGGATTTGCGAGCTCGGAAACTGCCCGCAGACGGTGGGGTGCGGCGTGGTGAGGGGGACGGCGCGGCCGAACACGGCGGCTAATGTGAACCTGGGTGCGTTCTATTTGGTGGGGATGCCGGTGGCGGTTGGGCTTGGGTTCTGGTTTGACGTTGGGTTCTGTGGGCTCTGGCTGGGCCTGCTCTCGGCCCAGGTATGTTGCGCGGGACTTATGTTGTATGTGATCGGGAGCACCGATTGGGACGTGGAAGCCCATCGGGCCCAGTTGCTGATGTGGCACGATGATGGAACGACGGTTGACCGGAAACAAACGTTGACCAGCGTTGTTACTGTGACTCCCTCGGCTTGATTGTTTGATTAAAAGCAACAGCCCCTCCTCTTAATGGGGTTTATTTTGTAATTTCATTGAGGTCAAAGAAAGTGAATTATAACCGCATTTTTTTCCGCCTCTTTTTTCTCACACCCTTATGGGAACTGGATACATAATTCAATGGAAACTATACTCTGTCTTTTCCAAGAATACATACACGAAACGAACACGAGTAACCAAAGCACAAACTCATTGATGATATGTGCAATGTTTTTCTGAACAATATGAGAATTGTATCGGGTGTTATGCATGGCAATACAAAATTGAATATTTAAACTAGGAGGAAAAATATTATTGGTTAGAAAGATCGTGGATTTGAGTGTTATTTTGAAGTGTTAAGTGTAATTTGAATGAGGAAATGAGTAAACGCATTGGAAGAGGACGGAAGAGAAAGGCATGTTTGCATGGTACTGTACTCACTCTACTTTGTGAGGAGCTCCCTTCTGTTATCTTTGGCCACTGCCACCGATAAGGACCCATATACCACCCTCCACTTACCTTCATGCACTCATTTCAAATCATCATTTCATGCACTCATTTTCACAATCCACCTAATTAGTTTAACTTCAAAAGCTCAACACCTTTCAAGTTACCAACATTGACGTAGGTACGTGCATATTAGAGAAGAGGCTACTTATTAATTAGTCATCTATAAAATACTCTGTCTGTAGTGTCGAAAAAGGTTGGTATAAATGTGTAGGATTGGAGAGGGACAACCTTTTTCCTGAAAAACTTGATACACCTACCCTATTTTATTGCAACTAAGGACCCAACAACATGCGTCCCCAAGGAAAGAGTGGTGTGTTCCTACGAATTGTTGTTGCAGTCTGCATTAAGTTGTTGTGCAGAACGCGCACGAGGGTTGCATCCGTCACACTATCCTCCTCCGCCTTCTATTTCTATTTCTGTTCTTTTCAAACTTGATCATCATCATCATCTCTCTCCCCTCACACGCTAGCACTATTTTTTTTATCCAAAACTCTATTATGTTATTACACCTTCTTAAATTTTTTACATTATGCATTAATGTTAAAGTATGTAAATCAGATAATAAAATTATGTGTAGTAGATGTGTTCTTCAATTTATAAAACTCTTGTTAATATCTTCTTTAATTAATACGTGATATTATTTAAATGAATTATTTACAATATTACATTGTAATGTTTTTCATATTAAATAATTAAATTTATTAAAACATTTTGCTTATTATTGGTACTAGATAATTTTAAAAAGTTTTTGTTTTAATAGCGTCATACATTTTATTTCATACTGTAGCACATGATTTACAAAAATGGGTACATGTGGAATGTTGAAATTCACCGTCCCCACCTAATTAATACTATGCCATATAATTTATTCAATACCTATTAATTATGCTGTACTCACTTCAAAAAAATAATAATGAAGCTTATATAAACTAGCATCTTATTCATATATAACTTTTAAAAACCTCTGTGTACATATTTTTATTAAGGAAAACATGGTGTTTTCCAAAAGTAATTAATGTAATTTGATTTTCCAATATTAGATTAATAAAAAAATCGAATTTTACTGAATATATGTATACCATATATAAATATTAAGGTAAGTTGGATTTTCCAAATACGATTTTTTTTTATTATTATATATTAAGGTGCAGTTATTTATTAAGTAACTGGAAAGTCGTACATACTAAATTATACAGCTTATTATTAAAAAAAAGAAAAAAAGGAGTCGTTCGTCTCATATATAATTTATATAAATGAAATATGTAAGCTGTATATGGTTTACGACTTTAATATTATTTTATTAAAATAATACATATAAGTCGTATTCGTAGGTTATCATAATAAGTATTTTTTTTCTTCAACTAAGACCTCACATTCAAACTTTATATATAAATAGAAATAAAAATTCTTAGGAGACTTAAGTGTTGAGATTTTTTTTTAATATAAATATTTACGGTAGAAAACATACAAATATTAAATAAAAATATTTTTTGTAATTAAAATCAACTTATTCTCTTTAAATGATATGAACTTTCATACATTTAAAGTTTAATTTATATATTTTTTTAATTTATTCAACTTATTTTTTTCTCCTATAAATAAGTCTATAATTCGCATGTATTCTTAGTATTGTAATGCTGTAGATGATTTTTTTCCAAATAGGACTAGTTCCAATGAAACTTGTGATCTTAATTAAATAGAAAATTTTCAATTGCTGGAAAAATCGTTAAAAAAAGGATTAAACTCATTCGTATCTCAATTATAAAACTCACTTAGTAATTTAAAAAAATATTAACTTTAATTAGGATATTGCCTTGATTAATTAAAAAGAAAATGTTATCTTGTGAAAATGTTAAGTGTCGCTTTCGGTTGCACTATTGGTGAGACGCAAATCTTTTAATTTAATATAAGTTTGATACGAAAGGTAATTTATTTATGAACTCTTTTTATAAGTAAAAAAATAATAAGCTTTTAATTGTGTTAATTAAACAAAACACACGCTTAAAGTCAAATCCAAATCTTTAAATGAAGCTATAGTATTATGTTTGACTTTGTCGCAAAGTCGTATTTTTTTAGTCAATAGATATTTTTCTTTCTTATTTATGTAAGCAAAATACGTAATTGGCTACGAAGTTATAATTATTTGACTTTAATTAATTGTTTTTATTTATTCATTTAATACGGTGGATATCGCATATATTAAGAAAACGAGATGATATTAAGAAATTATTGCATGATCGTTGCTAAAATTTGTAGATGAAATTTATAATATGCAAGACTTAGTCAAATAATTACATTTTAACATACCTTGAAAAATATATAGTATTATGTATAGTTTTGGGTTGATATAACAAAGAAAGTTAAATCCATAATTGTGGTTGAATTTTGAATTTTGTTTACAATTATGGATTTAGGTAGGTATGAGGAGCATATGAAAAATGAAAACATAGCATATAATAAAGGAATGAAGTGGCTATAGACAACATCATTTTGCACCATCATACATCTCACATGGCTACCCTTTTAGGCAACCGACCCAATCCTCTCAATATCCCTTCAACCACTCTCTTTGTCCCCTTACCTTCTATAAACTTTCTTTCTTTTGTTTTTCCATGCTTAATGTTTTTATTTTATCACCCAAAACCAAACATACACACTTACAAGTAAATATTGAATAAAAATAGTAACTTTTAATATGTTAACAGACAAATAAAAAAAAATTAAAGTAGAAGCATTATTGTATCTGAATTTTGTCATGAAGCATAAAAGTATTCCATTTTGGCGTAGTATATGGATCATGAGTTCATGAACAAGTAAGAACCAACCAACCCATCATGATAGCCATGCATCGGGACCCTCCACATCATAACTTTCTCTACTCTGCTCCAAAATAAACCCTACATATACCTCTGCCATGAAAGACATACACAGAATATGTGCCTAGCCCACAGGAATGGCCTCTGTCCACCCTGCAAGTAACAAAGGCACAGCCATGGAATATTCTTCTCTTTCAACATATAGGCAACCTTTCTGTATATCATAGTACTATATAAGGGTTAATTTCATCGTCTAAGAAAGTTTTCTGATATGAGGTTGTTTGAGTTTCACTCACATTAAGTTCAAAAGTATATCTGTTTATGATTGAAAGAAGAATATTTGACATTTATATATAATACCAGTAAAAAAAACTAGTTATGATAAACAAGACTTGTTTTTGTATAAAAAAAGGGGCTATGAGTTTCCCATGATATGCTGAACCAAATGTTGGGTTTTGTTTCTAAAGTTGGCTTGACATGTTCCCCTAACCCCTCACAAGTCACAAGGGGTGATCCTTATGCTCCACACATGGGCTTCAATTCCTAATGTTTGCCAACAATGTTTTCATACATGGCTGTAATAACACGATAAGGTTCTCTTCCCCACCCATCATCCTCTCTCCCACAAGCTCTACACTTTCTTTCTGGGCCACACCTTTCCTCAACTCCTCGTGGATATCATATATATCACTCATGCATGCAACTTTCACTAATGAAAAACACTCACAAATATTGTTGCAGTACGTTTTATATTCAGTACAATATCATATATTCTCTTCTATATTCAAGAAAAAGTGTGTATTGATAAGTTTATAAAATACTTTTCTCCTCCTCATATTTTATCGGTACAAGTTGAAACTTAGACACTACTCCACCAAGCACACAAATCCAGTTTTATCTGCAGAGTTAAATTGATGAAAAAGAGAAATGCCAAATGTTATGAAAAATTGTTCAAGCCACATGTGAAACTACAATGAATAAAATAATGAAACAGATAGATTTTGACCAAGGGTTTTAATATCAGTTTCAACGAACACGCAATAACCAAAACAAACCTGATTTAGATTTTTAGTCTCCCTTAGATTCAACCTAAAATTTTGAATTTTTTATATTTTTGGATTCTATTGCTAACTCATATTTTATGAGGTTTATTTAAAAATCAAATCAATGAAAACTAATCAAATTATAACTTTTGATCTAAATCACGTGTGAACACTCTTAATTTTGTCATAAAACATCAAAATAAAATGAAGCCCTTTAACTCACAGTTTCGTGAAAAAAATTTGATAATATTAAACAATTTTCAAATAAAATAATTAGGTTTTTTTTCAATGCTTTGTTAAAAAATTATTTATATATATATAATTGTTATAATTGATTGTATGAATTGTGATTTATAAGTAAAAAAAAAGGTGGTTTTAAATAATATATTTTGCTTAGATTGTTTAAATGATAACTTTTTATAATCAATTAAAAAAATATATGAAGTTAATGGGTGTGGTAATTGGTTTTTATTTAAATTAACCAACTATTAAGGGGTAAAAATGAGAAAACAAAAGGTAGCTGACAAATAATCTGTTAACTTCTACGCATAAAAAAAGCTGGTATCTTTTGTAATAACTATTAATCTTATTTAACGTACATGGTTAAATAATTAAAAAATAAAATAAGCTACTTTTTAGAAATAGATTATAGTCTAAAAACTTAATCCAGTTCAAAACACATCTTCAACGTGCTTTGTATTTTGAAAAGAAATTGACGGAAATGTATAGCAACATAAGAAAATTGCAAATGAGAGACTGACATTATGATTCTCATATAAATTTTATAAAATAAAAAATATTTTTAATTAATAAAAAATGTTTAACTCATAATTTTTAATAAGAATTAATTGATTTTTTTTCACACTTGTCTATTCTCATTTATTCTGAGTACATACTTTTTTAATAAAAAAGATCTATAAAGTTGCAGCATAAAACAAATAGTTATTTATTTAAAATATTTAATATAATCACACAGTAATTAAATCTAATTTAATGATGGAAAAATATGTTTTAAAACTGGTTCATCATATATTAATTATAATAATTATTTCAAAAGAAAATTTTTCTGTCTAATAATTTTTTTTCTTAGAAATTCTTCTCTTAATAGATTGTATTAAATATAGCATAATTAATTTGCTTCTCTTTTTTTTATGTAGACAATGTTGTTTTTGTTTTTTAAGAACATCGAAGCCAAGGGTTGGACTTCCATGAAATCACTCTAGCCCAAGAAATATTAGGCTTTCATTTGGGCTTGATAAGGCCCAATTCCAAAAAAACGTTTGAAGCAAGTTCAGGACGCGGACAAAAATAATAGAAGAAGCATCATTAGGGCAAAAAATAATGTAAATAAAATTTAAATATCTGAATTGGAAATAAATTTGGTAAACATAAAATAAAATATAAACATATTAAGTGAGAATAGAAAAAATAAAGAGAAAAGTGATCTTTTAAGTTTGTTTAATTTATGATGAATAATATAAGAAGGAATAAGCATAGCAATGAAAATTTGGTTTATTGGTGCCATTATGATGAAAGGAAAAACAAAGTTAGGTGAGAAATAGAAAAATGAGATAATGTTTAAAGGTGACCATAGTTGGGGGAAAAAGTGTTTTGATGGAATATTTTGAGGTGATTAATTTCTAAAGAAAGAAAAGATGGTCCTAATTGAGATTTATAAATGTACCTGTCTCACCTATATTATATATATATATATATATATATATATATATATAGTTTTGTCTAAATTAGAAATACAGAATGTCATCAATTCTCATATAATGTTGTGCTGTCATGGGTATGTAACTTCAACAACACATCAACCACTTTCTCACAAATATCACCTTCAACATCTTCTCTCGTGATGATATCTCAAGGAAATGTTTTATCAATAATCTAGTTAATATGTGTTGATAGCATAAGTTAAGAGAATTAATAAAATTATTGAATTTTTTATTTAGATAATTTAGAAATCAGATATATAATAAAAAGATATATTAAGTGTTAGTATAAGATGTACATATTTAATAATGTTTTTAGTTTATTAAAAATGTTGCTTGATTCATTTGATATTTTGATATAGTTAGTGTATCTAAAATGACTTATGTACTCAACCTTAATACATTTTGATGTTTTACTATTTAATAATAATAGTGAGATTGATTATATTCGAGAAAAAGTAGTTAAATATGTATAAGAATAATAATAAAATTGATAACAACTGTTTATGATGAGTCAGTAAAAATATATTTAATACATTTTTTTACCATAGATGTGAATTTATTATTGTTAAAATTAACATTATTAAAACCTATTAAACCAATTTAGAGAGTTAATATAAAATAAAATAAAAACATAAGTTATCCCTGAATACTTAAAAAATAATATAGCTTAATAGATAATACTATTATTTTTGAAAAAATTAGTAGAAAAACTAATTAAAAATAAACAAATATTAATTTAGCTTAATAATAACATAAAAATTAACTATAATTTTAATTTATAATTTTGGCAATAATTAACAAATTATTAATGTTGTTTATGAGGTAAAATTATTTGTCGATAATTAATAAATATAAAATAATCAAAATAGACAGGTTAATTTTAAAATTTTACAATTTTTTACTTACAAACCAATCATTTCAATATTTTTTAATTTTCAATTATTATATTTTTTATATATGTTTTCTACCTTAGGCAATATTTTAAAATATTTTTTAATTAAATTCACACCAAAAAAAATATCTTACTTTTTAAGTAGATACTAATTTTTCATAATACCATTTAATATGATAATTAGAAAAATTCACAGAATATCTATTTAGAAATGTAAAATTTTATAATTTTTTTTTCTAATTTTCAAATCAGTGATATTTTTACACTAATTATCCATCAAACTTAATAACCCTATTTCACCTATAGATGGTGTTTGTTAGGTAATGATTTTGTTTCTTTACTGGGTCATATAAATGATTTTTTTTTCAAAAATATTAAATAATAATTTTTTCTTTAGTTTTCTTATATTCAATTTAGTGCAATTTTCTTCATTCATTATTATGTCTCTTTATACATAAAAGTGATAAAAGAAATTAAGGGTAAATAACTGGTAAACATAAATTTATACATAACATTGGTTTTAACCTTGAAACATTTTAATATGCTCACTAGATTACAAAATGGCACAATAATCATAAACAGCGACGTGTTCAGCGGAGTTTTGTTTTCATCTGGATCCCTCCAGTCAGCACAGTACTGGAAGCCTAGTACAGCTAAGTTTGTCTTTGTAATTTTGAATACCCAAAAAGTTTCAATAAAAATTGGTAAGCATAATTCAAGTTTTTCACCATTAATCACATCTAATCATGGATCATTCGATTTTTTGTAAAAATAAAATATGCAGATTAGTAAGTAGAAAGAGGACCATATCTATGATTTCTAAGTTGCAGAGAAAGGACAGTAAAAACAAAGGGGAATTCGAATCAGTACACAAAATAATTGAGGGAACAGCAAAACTAAACTATGAAAGAGAAAATAGGTAGATAAAGAAAAAAAGAGAGAGGAAGACTTGCAGAGAACAGTATAGGTAGCTGTTGGGAAAGGAAACGAACAACATTAATTGAACTAAGAGCTACATTTTTATTGGTTCAGCTTCAACAGGGCTACATGCAGAGAAGGAGTATGCATTGTTTCTCTTTACATGTGAAGAATCTACTGATTCATATCTAGTTGGTTTTGGGAGCTGAAAGGTGAAGAGAGAGCTGAGAAAATAGAATGAATGAGAGTGGTTGTTGATTAGCTAGGAGTTAACCTAAGAAGGAGGGTAAAACAGTTACAGAGCGCAGAGGAAGTTGATCTGTGGTACAGGGAATGGCTTCACGAGACACGAGTGTGTCAGATGTTTTGGGACACTGAGGTATCTTTCTTTTCTGAAGATACGTCGCTCCACAAAGTAGCAGGGACAGATGAAGATAGAGATTTCACTATGGGCCTGTTCTCTTCTTTGAACCTTTTCCATCTTTTTTTTCTCATTGGATCAGTGCACAATTTTGCCCTTCTCACTTTCCTTCCCTTTTCCTTTTCCCACTTTTGAACTGCTTTTTCCTTTCCAGAATTTTATTCTACCAAGGTGGTTTACCTCACTCTTATTTTACCATGCACTACTGTTGTTTAATACTACCAACATGGTTTTTTTTGTTTACTATGCTATAGTTTCCTCTTTGAATGTAATGTGAAACCCAACACCACAATGTAACTCGTTTTCTATTTAATATTCCATTATTTTAATGTTGTTTGATTTTGCTGGCCATGCCTCCTCCATGTTCATATGCATGTTTTTGTCATGTAATGCAGATTTTATGGAGGGCCTTGTTGTGTTTTGAAAAACTGTGTCTGTGACTGTTTTTTTTTGTAGGTTTCACTTCACCGTTCCCACTATCACTATCCAAAGACCGCGATAGCATTTTCCTAACTCATCCAATGGGCAGGGCCATTAGGTGGTTGAAGGGGTTGTTTGGAATAAAGACAGACAGAGAGAGCAAAGATAATTCAAAGCCTAGTACCACATGGTGCCACTCAGACAGGGATCCCAAAGGTTTATGTCATAATCCTACCACTATTCCTCCCAATATTTCACCTGCTGAGGCTGCCTGGCTACAATCCTTCTACTCAGAAACTGAAAAGGAGCAGAACAAGCATGCCATTGCAGTTGCTGCAGCCACTGCAGCTGCAGCGGACGCTGCTGTAGCTGCAGCTCAGGCTGCCGTAGCAGTGGTTAGGTTAACTAGTCATGGCAATAGCAGAGACACCATGTGTGGTGGTGGACAAGAAAGGTTGGCTGTTGTCAAGATTCAAACCGTGTTCAGGGGATACTTGGTAAGTTTGTCTCAACATGACTAGATTTGGCTGAAATTGAACTAGTCAGATGCATAATCTAGACATTCAATTAGCCTTCAGTTTGATTAGATACAATTTTATATATAATCTGTTCAGATCAGTGATATTTTGATGAAAAATACTAGTTTCTTACAAAATTTCTTTTAATTATATAAAAAAACCTTTATCTGAGAAAATTCACATCCTAAAATACTAGTTCCATTCCAAGACATGTTCATACGAGAGATATTTTGATCTTGCAATTCTTTGATTTTTCTAACTAGGCAAGGAAGGCATTGAGAGCCTTAAAAGGATTGGTGAAGTTACAAGCTCTAGTGAGAGGGTACTTAGTGCGGAAGCTAGCAGCAGCAACCCTGCACAGCATGCAGGCTCTAATTAGAGCTCAAGCAACAGTAAGATCTAAGAAATCTCGGGGACTCATGAGCACAAAGAATGAAGCACACGGATTTCAAACACAAGCGCGAAGATCCATGGTAGTACCGTATAACATAGATATTAGATTCTTGTTCACTGTCATGAAGTTGCATAGTCATAGACTTAAAGTGATTGTTGCCACAAATGGTTTTGCAGGAGAGATTTGATGACATAAAGAGTGAGTACATAGCTCCCATCCACAGCAGAAGGCTATCATCCTCCTTTGATGCCACAATGAACAATGCAAACAACAGTGGTGATGGGAGTCCAAAAATTGTGGAAGTGGACACTGGCAGACCAAAGTCAAGGTCTCGCAGGAGCAACACATCAATATCAGATTTTGGTGATGACCCATCATTTCAGACACTTCCATCTCCTCTCCCATTCACTCATTTATCCATACCAAACCACAGAACTTTCCACGACTCAGAGTGGGGCTTAACTGGAGAAGAGTACAGATTCTCTACAGCACAAAGCACTCCACGCTTCACCCCCAACTCTTGTAGTTGTGGCTCTCTTATTGTTGCACCTACGACACCTAAAAGTGTTTGCACAGAAAATTTTTTCTATGAACAGTACCACAATTTTCCAAACTACATGGCCAACACTCAGTCTTTCAAGGCCAAATTGAGGTCTCACAGTGCTCCAAAGCAGCGTCCGGATCCTGCTCCAAGAAAGAGGCTTACCCTCAATGAGATGATGGGGTCTAGGAGTAGTTTAAGTGGGGCTAGAATGCAAAGGTCTTGCTCACAGATTCAAGAAGCAATTAATTTCAAGAATGCTGTGATGAGTAAGCTTCAGAAGTCTACAGAATTTGGTAGGGAGACACCACCAACTTTTCCAACCAGAGGAGGCGGAGATTGGTGAAATTTGTGAGAGTTAACTTTCTTTTACCTTTTTACATTATTAGTAATAGCTCTGTGTTTCTGCACCCCATGATTGACAATTTAAGAACATGTAGTGGGTAGGAAACAGGGAGGGAGTCAAGACAAAACAGAAGTAGAACAAAAAGAAGGTCCCCATTGTAATTTGGTCATGGAATTATCTTCATATATTGTCATCATAATCAAATGCTACTGTAGTTAATTTCTTCTTCATAGTTGAGTTTGTTTTGGTTAAACACAAATATGAATCTAGAGATTTGAAAAGAAAGCATACAAGCGGTTAAAAAAATAAATAAAAGGGTCTGAAACAATGGTGTTAGAACAACAGGACTTGAAGATCTGTTCTAATATTTGAAAACATATTTTTATTTTTATTAACTCTTCTAGCGAGGTGTAAATTAAAGCTTAAGTATTTTCTTATGTACTTATAAAAAGTTATAGAAGCGTATCAGTTTAAATCAAATCTGTGCATTTTTTTTTTTGTCAAATTCAGATAGTATTGTGAATAATCTAAGGGTTGATATGTTTCTCAAGTTTAATTAATGTAGAAAAAATTGATCATTAATTTTGTTGAGGGAAAATTTGTAGGGTTAAGAAAACTACAGAAATTAATCTCTAGTAATAAGAAATGAATAGGACAAGTTTTATTTTGAATAATGAAAATTTATTAATTTGTTTTGACTCATCTAATAAAGTTTTAATTCAATATAATTATTCATTACAAAAATTAATGGATTGATATCCAATTCATCCATAAAATTAATATTTCTTAAAAATATAAATAATTTTTTAAAGATATCTTTTTATAAATATTTTAAACAAATAAATTTAAAAATTAAGTCATTCGAAAAATAGTTTTCTTAAAAAAAAAAAATTATTGACTGTGAGGGAATCTTCAATGTCAGGAAATACAGGTTTATGTTTATCTCTTCTGTCTGAAATCTGATTCATCGCATCACACGTACTGCAGCAGTTGGACGTTTTTGTTGTTCTATGTCGTTTCTTTATATTTTACTCATTTTTTGAATTTTGAAATCTAGGTTAATTCATTAATTCATGTCTTTGTTTCTTACTTGATGCATGTTTTTTAGATAATTCTAATAATTTCATGTTTTTTTAAGTACTAAGTAAGAATGTTAACTTAAATTTACAAAAAAATCTGTTACAAATATTAATTTCTTAGAAATATTGTTTTTAAAATCTTTAGGAAATGAAAAAATAATTTATTTCTTAAAATTAAATGAAATTATAAGCACGTGGTGTGCATAAGATTTTTAGTTAAAAAATGTCTACGAGACAAACAGTACTACTGTCAAATTTTGCATCCGAACGGGGAATATTCCATTGACAAATTGGAGAAAAACAATGAGAGAAAAATAGTGGGACAAGACAACTAAAACTAAGTTTTCACTGGGAAATGAAGTCTCCTGTCATTTATCTTCCCGCACACTTATAAAATTTATATCATGTAGAAATAAATACATTTTTTTTAACTCATTGAAATATATTTTAAAAATAAATTTATGAAACAAAAACTTTAAAATAGATCTAATCATATTATCATTATCAACATCATGTCAGAATATATTTTTTATTTTTTTAAAATATAGAATTATTTTGAAAGATAAATTAATTAATCTTAAACATTTTCATCGTTATTCAAAAGAAGTCAAATCCTTTTAAATGACTTTCCAACAAGCACTACCAAAATTTCAGGGCTGTATTTCATACTTTTGCACCTTTTACCCCACAATGCATTTTTCATGCTATTAAAGTTAATGCATAATTTCATAGAAAATGATATTAAATAAGGGATTAAATCAAATTGCTGTGATAAAAAAATAATAGAGGATAAACAGTTGAGATTTCAGAGTTATAGCACAAGTCTTAACTTTTATTTATTGTAATTATATATAAATAATATTAAATTTGAGTATTATACCTGTAAGAGTCAAAAGTATATATGAAGTACATCTAAGGGGAAAAAAGTGCTTTCTTTCTAAATAATTATGTGCGAAGTTAGGAATGTTTTGATGAATGCTTTTAATTATAAATTATGTACATAAGGAAAAGAAATAAAGTGTGAGCCAAAAATAAAAATTTGCTTTGTTTAGATATATAATAGTTTATGGAAGCATTTACATGCTTTATGCAATGTATATATGTAAAGTGTAAACTCTATTCTTGTTGTTATTATATTCGAATTGTGTTTTATTAGTGATATAAGAATTGTTTCAATTACAAAGTATATACTATAATGTTTTCATGTATTATTAATATATCAAACTTATTGATATAAAGAGAGTTAATTGATGTCATAGAATAATAGAACTAATTATGATATACTTGAATTAACATTTTCCTTTAATTCAAACATTTGTACTAATAATATCTAGTTGATCTCTTAACATTTTAAACCTCTCACTATTCAAAAGTTTGATAGGTTTGATTATAAAATCAGTCAATTATAGTTGGGTAGAATAATGAATAAGTTTTAACTTTCCATTATTAACTTGCTCTCTTAGAAAATGAAATTTAGTCTCTATATATCTGTTCCTTTCATGTGATACATGATTATTGTCTAGATTTATAGCTGACTTGTTGTCTACCAGCAAATGATTAGGTTTTTCAATCTACACACCCATGATAGAATCAAGTCACACAACTTCACAAGTAATACTTGACCCTGCTATATATTTAGTCTCACATGTATACAAAGCTACAACAGATGGCTTCTTACTATACCAAGAGATTGATGCTCCCATGAACTTAAAAACATAGTCAATATTACTTCTTCTATCAATGTTGTCATCGCACCAATCTACATCAGAGTAACCAAGCAGTTTGTTTTACACCTGATATGTTTTGGGAAATAAAATCTCAAAATCTAGAGTTCCCTTAATATACCTCAGCACCCTCTTGGCAGCCAACGCATGTTTCTTCCTTGGTTGATGCACAAATCTGCTAAGCACTCCTACTGAAAAATAAATATCAGGCCTATTGTTACATAGGTACTTGAGTGATCCAACCATTTGCTTGTATAGTGTGTTGTCAACCTCCTCTTCATCATTCTCTGACACAGTGATTTGAACTTCTGCTAGAGTTGTTATAGCATTACAATCCTCCATATTAAATTTCTTTAGAACCTCAACAACATAGTCTTGTTGATGAAGTATCATTTCCTTCTTAGTTTCAACAAATTCCATTCCAAAAAAATATCTTAATCTTTCAAGATTTGTTATCTCAATTTAGCCATCAACAAATTTTTAAACTTTTTAATTTATCTGATGTTGCTCCCTGTGATAAGCAAGTCATCCACGTATATATACAACAAAAGCAAATTGGCTCCATCTTGGAGTTTCACATACACTCCATGTTCCACTGAACACTTCTTGAATTCATGTCTCTACATAAAAGCATTTATCAACTTGTTTCAGCTCTCGATGCTTGCTTTAAGCCATACATGACTTTTTTCAATCTATAAACCTTGCTCTTACTCCCTTTAACCACAAATCCAAGGGGTTGAGTTACATAAACTTCCTCTTCAAGAGGGTCATTAAAAAATGTTAATTTCACATTCAATTGGAATAAAGGTCATCATCTTCCATTTGTCAAAGCAACCACAAGCCTTATGGTGTCAATTCTAGCCACCAACCTTATATTCCTCTTGCCAATACCTCCTTATAGTTCAACCCTTATTTTTGAAGAAAACCTTGTGCCACCAACCTTGCATTCCTCTTGCCAATACTTCCATTTGGATTCAGTTTCAATTTGAACTCCCATTTAACATTAATTGATGTTTTATTCAGTGGTAGTGCAGTCAGCACTCAGGTCTGACTTTCTCAATTACATGCAATTCCTCCAACATTGTAGCCTTCCATAATTCTTGCTTCATAGCTTATTCATGATCATAGACTCAGCCTATGCTAACAAAGAAAAATGGACTAAATCACCTTCATTACTTACTGTATTTTCAGGACATATCTCAAAATTAGTCAATGATCTTGGCATATTTTACTGCCTGGAAATTTTATGTTTGGGGTTGTGTATGATGCATTGTAGTATGATGAAATGGAGTTTCATCACCCGATTTATCTTCCTTATCTTCAAAAATCATTGTACTATTCTGCCCTGAACTCTCTCCTATATCAGACCAATCCCCATTTTAGCTTCATTTACCAAATCTCTGCTTATGCAATTTTTTTGTGTTGTAGGATTGTATAAACGGTAAGCTTCAGTTGAGTGATAGCCCACAAATATCATAATGTCACTCTTATCTTGTAGTTTACTCCTTTTTTTTCATTTGGTACATGCTTATAATAGACAAAACCAAAAATTCTCAGATGATTCACCATTGGTTTTCTCTCACACCAAACCTCCTTTGGAACTTTGTTTTCCAGCTTTTTGGTAGGACATTTATTGAATACATCTACAACTGTTGATATTGCTTCTCCTCATAACGAATGTGGCAATCTCTTATGCTTCAACATATTCCTAACCATATCAAGAATGATCTTGTTTCTCCTCTCAGCCAAACCATTATGTTGTGGAGTATAGGGTGTTATTACTTCATGTTGTATATGTATTGTGGATTATATGCTTCAATTTAAACTTCTTGAAGATAGAGAAAACATCACTTTTAGCTCTAATCAAATATAGTCAAATCATGCAACTATACTCATCCACAAACGTTGCAAAATATCTATTCTACCCTAAGGATAACTCTTCGAATGGTCTACACACATCAGAGTATACAACATGCAACACATCTTTAGCTCTCATGTGTATATGTGAATTAAATGCATTTCTACATTGTTTACCTAGCAAACACTCCTCACACATCTTGTCTGGTATAGGAATATCAAATAACCCTAATTACCATGTTATTAGCAACCAACTTTTTCAAGCTATGAAAATTTAAATGGAAACCTTCTATGTCATAGCCAACTTATCTGATCTGAAACTATTGCAATACAATCATGTTTTTCAACAGGATACAATCTTGTTTGAAATGTCCTATTCTTTGATAATGGTGATTTCAACATAAACCTCTTTCTTGAGTCATATACTTTTGACATGTCTTCTTTTATAGTGACTAAAAATCCCTTCTCCATTAGCTACCCAACATTTAACAGGTTGCATTTCATTCCAGAGACATATAACACGTTTTCATCACTATAACTTCTTTCCCATCCTTCTTGATCACAACATCTCACATCCCTATAGCCTCAATCACATTATCATCAGTCAATCTAACTTTACTGGTTTTCCTTATGTCAAGATTTGACATCCAATTATGCTCGGTCATGTGATTGGAGCATCCTGTGTCAAGAAACCAACTTTCAGTCACAAATTCCTTTTTACTTGTTGTAATCATCAACACTACAAGCTCTTCTTTTGAATCATCCTGAGCAATGTTTGCTTCAACTTCAACAGATTTCTTCTACTTACCTTTTCCATGCCAACAATCAGTAACATATTGGTCCCACTTCTCACAATTGTAACACTGTATCTTTCTACGATCTTGAATCTTCTTTCTTCCTCTACCTCTTTTGGCTAATCTTGTATGTTTTGTGTGCTCACAAGAACATTGTTCTTGATTCAAAGAACTGCAATCTTTGTTAAATCGCTCATCTAACTTCTTCTTCTTCCATTTGCCTCAAGAAAAACCTCTTTTCTTCGTAGCTTGAGCCTTCAAAGCTTGTTCTTCACTGACCTTCTCAGCATTGCATGACAGAAGCTTTTACTCGTGCGCTTCTAGCAATCCTTGCAACTCTTTTACTAACATATTTTCTATGTCTTTTGATTCTTCAATAGCTACCATAATGTAATCAAACTTTGGTGAGAGTGTACGCAAGATCTTCTCTACCATACTAAGATTTGTCACTGATTCTCTGCATGCTTTTATTTGATTAATCAACAGCTGCAACTGGTTCAGGTATTTTGTTACATTCTCTGATTCTTGCATAGACAACAATTCATGTTTCCTCCTTAAGGATTGTAATTTCACCTTCTTGATTTTCTCTACACTTTCATGCACCTTCTACAGTGTATCTCATGCTTCCTTTGTTGTTTTTATCTTGAAAATTTTTCTCAAAATTCATTATGTCCACACATTGATCCAAGAGACAACAAGCATTGCAATCTTTCTTCTTATTTACGGTTTCATCCTTCTCACGGACACCCTCTATCACAATTTTCCATAGTTCTTGATAGCCAAAAATGGTCTCCATCCTTATAACCAACCCAGTGGTTATAATTTCTTCTATCAATAATCGATAGATTTGAGAAAAAAATTTCACTTCCATTTCCTTGTAAATACATGCTGCGTAGTTTTTCTAGAACCTCAAAACTTCTCTAATACTCCTTGTTGGTAGAAAAGAAAAAGTAATCAAAAAAAGATACATATTAAAATGTCTCTATGTATTATTAATATATCAAACTTACTGCTATAAAGAATATGTAACTCCTATATCAAACTTACTGCTATAAAGAATATGTAACTCCTATATAGAATTAACTGATGTAATAAATGAATAAAAAGCTAACTATCTTATGCTTAAATTAGCTATATACAACAAGTGATATCGATAAACATCTTATTGTCTCATATTGTAACTTTGCAAGGCTATGAAACTTGTTTGTTCTATAGATTATCTCCAGTCTTAGAGGCAATATATGATAGTTCTTATATAGTTTAAAACCACCAAACGTGTAAATCAATACAGGAAAGTTTAAGCTTCCAGAGGAGTAAATGAGTTAAGAGTCATGCAACTGCATATGCAGGGTTCTTGCTCTTTCAATAATTTTATCTGGTTTCACTCCGAATATGTCAAGTACAAAATAATGAGGATTGATGACCAAACAACAAATATCAGTGTCGCAAAATTTGGCTGAAGAACTGACCCATTCGACTTAAAAACCAAGAGTTTAAAACCCGTCAAACCGATTAAAAATCACTTCTAGAAACTTGTTCGAGCTATTTTTTTTTTAACTATGATGCGATGGTCACTTTTGGTGTACAACTTGTGTACAAACTGTGCTAGTTGCCTTGCATTTTACCAATGATTATATCAAATATATTTGAATTTATATCAAATATATTTGAATTTATATCAATTCATACTAGCAATAGACTTTCAAACTTACGTTTCATCTGATTATTCAGAACCAAATTCAAATTATGTGTAGACTAGAATGGTGCTGGTTTAAAAAATAGCGAAGTGTGTTTGTTTCTGCTTTTACACGCACATTCACTGTTAAAATCATGCATCAAGAGGACATGTATGGACTAATTTTATTGTATTAGACAACTAAATTATAATAATGACATTGAAAGTAAATTAAAATTCAAATCTATTTCCAGCTCAAGTTGTTTGAAGTTATTGTTCTAAGCCTCAAAATTAACAGGGATTAACTATGTTACAAGCTATTAGTGGCTATTGTCATGGTACCAAAGTGCCTATTTCATTGTTTTCAAGTTTAGGCGTGTTCTTTTCAGCCTAGGCAGAATGGGATAAGTCAATGGAAGGAGATGATAAAGGAGAAAGATGCAATGAATGGTCTCAACCAAGGATTACGTATGATTACTTCTTGTCCTTACAAATATGGTTTCTCTTTTGTTTAGCAGAAAAAATGGGTTTGTCGTGCTTGAAATAGAACTTCTACGATTCAGTTGTATATGTTGTTTCTATTATTGATGACTAATAATACTCTAAAAACTCATCCCAGACGCAATTTCATATAATTAAAAGTATTTACGTTTAAAAATAATAATAAATACAGGGAGCTAGGAGTAAACAAGGTATAAATATGGAGGAAGAGTATATGCCACATAGATGAGAATCTGCCGACTTCTGATAAATGTGAGAACAATTACACCATTAACATTAAAATTTAAAACCAGTGTAATGTATGCAGGTACCCCACTAAAAAGTACAACGATAGAGAATAATAGCCATCATTTCTCAAGCACCAAAACACATTTTCTTCACATGCCGTGACTTTTGGTACCCAACAATATTATTACACTGCAATCAAAGCGCATTCCAGTCGAGATCTAACCAAAAACTTGTACAGAAGCCAATGAAAAATATGCACCATAACAAGACATAAAGAGGGGATCAGAGATCCTGTTCAATGAGATAATCACCAAGCCTTTCAACTACCATGTTGCATTGACCCGGAGTCATGGGCTCATCATAAATGCCAATGATCAAAGCCATATTGGTCTTCTTGACAGTAACACCACCGGGACCCTGGGGTAATGGGGATAGATAATTAAAGACTAATATTACAACTATAATGGCCCAACTATGCTCGTAGAATATATCTGCACAACCATCTTGCGTAAGATACACAACTTTTATATGTTCATTAATTTTAGGTAGCGATTTACATCACACAATACAGACACACAGTATCTTGTTGAGAGGATGCAAACAATAACTACACTGATTAAAGATGTCTATGCCCATACATATGCATTTGCTTGTAAATTATACGATAAACAATTCACAAACAAATGGATGGATTGGAAAGAAGTGAAACGCTTTAGAAAAGAGATATTTTGCTTATAAAATCAATTGCACAATGCAGTTGGAAACTGAATTACTGCAGTACACGATATGTGAGCTCAATCCATGCTCATGTCACCCTCAACACCAACCCAAATAAAAGACTGTAAAATATAACTAGATCATAGTGTTGACAACAATATGGATGGAATTCACTCCACAATTTATTGCTTAATCCAAATGTAACAATCTACACAGTAAAACATTTGAAAATGCATATCTTCACAGAAACTGCATCATTATCATCAAATAACCCTGACCATCATCACACTATATATAAATCTATGCAATCAAAATCGAGACAAAGATCATAAAAGGTGGTACCTTCTTGCCTCGAATGACAAAGCCGGGTTCCCCTTGGATGACCATATATTTAGTGCCACCAATATACAATCCAGTAGGAGCAAGTGTTCCAGGCTCATTAAAGTCATTCATGATCCCAGTTATTTCCTCAGGTTTGAACTGAATGAACAAAATTCCAGACATTATTATATCACAAATAATAACAGATCAACAAAAACAAAAGCAGATCCGTTAATACTAGAGTTCGTAAGAGCATCAGATACATATAATCAAATAATCAATCAATCAACTACGCATCAAATTGACAACATCAAATTAAAGTATAGTTGTTGCTTGCTTGCACAGTATATAATCAACAGTTAAACACTACTAAGGTGCAGTCCAAGTCAATTCGACTTGATTTCCTTTACTGATTAGGTTTAGCAATGTGGCAAACATGCCCGGAAATTAGAACTGTATTGCAAGACGATCCTTCTCGAATCTTTGCTTCATTTATAAGCGAACGCGGTGAGTAGAGATCGGCGAATCTAGAAGCTTCAGTAAAGAATTAAGAATAAATGGCGAAAGGAAGCGACTGGAATGGGAAGAGAGTAAGTGAAAATAAACCTGGGGGAAGGCGTCGCTCTGAGCCCAAACGCTGCCGTCTTGACCGATGATAGCGGCATGAGTGAGTTTGCTGCCTTCGATGTCGCAGAGAAGGTGGTCGTCGACATAGGCTTGCCACGACATGGTTGAGATTTTTTGGGGATTTTCTAGGGGCGAGTGTTTCGGTGATCGGATTTGGAGTCTCTCTCTTTCTCAGCTGCTACGATGATATTACGGGATATCTATCTATCAATGTCTTTAAATTGGTGATATATATGAATGAAACTACATTTGCACCCTTTACATTACCCTATTTTCACTCTCTCGGCCTTCCACCCAAATGCCCTTTTCATTACCCCCGCTGTTTCGGGTTGGCATAAGGAAAAAGGAACAATGACTTTATCACTAATTAAAAATAATAGCTATAATTATTTCATAACAATTTACTAGTTAAAAATTATAATATAATTAAAAACTAATTATAGGTTCTTTAAAAGCCGTTCTTTTATTTACAATACGCAAATATTTGATTACGAATTGAATTTAACAAAAGCGTAAAAGCTTTTAAGCAATTAATGAATTATTATAGGCAGTAGTTTCTGATTTGTTTTGTATATATTTTTATATTATGAGTATATAGTCTCTTTTTTTGTTTAAATTAGTAAATATAGAGTTTTCCGTTTGAAAGGAAAAAGAAAAAGTTGTAATTGATAGATCATCATCACTTATATTTTTTTTTTCGTTCACCTTTCTTTTTCAAATAGCAACATTCTAATTCTATTATTTCTCTCTCATAATTTATCTGTACGATTGATTTGTCGTGTTTATGGCGAACTCTAAGACGTAAATTTCATAAACACCAATAAAATATATCCATATGTTAAAATACCAATAAAATTCATTATATATATAAATAAGTATTCTAATTAATTCATTTTAAGTTGAAGAGATTTAGGGAAAAAAAAAGTTATAGATTTTCTATCTTATTTCTTGTTTAATTTTTTCATTGATTAAAACTTAACTCACGCAGAAATTTTTGGAGTATTATTATTCTTCCATGTCTGATTACTAAGATAAATCTTAAAATCTTTTTCACCAGTGATAACTTTATTTATAAAAAAATTCGATATAAATATCACTCTCATATAACCAATTGTCAAAAATACTCATTTTCATTTTTGAAAAAAAATTATTTAAAAAAGAATAAGTTCAACATGCATAAAAATAAAAATTATCTTTAACCTAAAACATTAAAATGAGGTTATAGATTTTCTTTATTCTTATATTTCTTAACATAAATCATATTTATAATTAATTATCTTCAACTTTTATCACGAGAGGAAGATTTGTCTTTTGAAATTTATCATGTGAACAAATCATCCATTAAAGACGTCGTGATTGAACTAATTTGATCAACAGAACTACAGTTTGATTGACGTTTTTGTTATTTTTCCGAGTTTGACTAAAAAGAAGGTGTAAAAGAAATGTGAAGCAGCTAGTACTGAAAGGCACTATGAAAAAGTAATAATCTATATATTTATACATAAAAATTTTATAATGAGATGAATAGAATTGAATCAAAAAGAAAGATTGATCCATTCAGAGCCATCAATGTAGCTCAGGGAAATAAATGGTTTTGCTTCCTCATCAGTGAGCTCCCTTGACCATGATACTCTCCCCGCGTAGCTTGCTCCTGGTCCTGTGCATTTGTACTGTCCATAGAATACAGTCCTAGTGGACCCAAAACAATACCAAAAACAAACATAAAATCAAATCAAATATGTACAGCAAATAACAATACAGCATAGATCAAGCTTCGTGATTATACAACCACTCAACATTGAATTCATATTTTACAAAAATGTTTATTCGTATTTGTAAAACTTTGTATTCATGAGGATTCTGTTAATTGTTCCTTTGAGACCTGAATTGACTTGGTGAGTTTTATCACTCAAGTTACGACACACTTTTCATAACTCATGCGCACGCTGCTCTCTTGTCCATGTAAGCAAGCAAATAAAGATTGCGGTGTATGTAGTTTGGGGGTAGGACTCTACCTATATTTACCTACCCTTTTCTCATAGAAGTGCTACTAATTTCTTATTCTTCAGAAAGGTCATATATTTCTAGTAGTTTGTGCATTGGAAGGTGCTGAGCCAAGACGTAGATTTCCACCACAGATGTTAGGTCACTTCTCTTTCTGATGGCACCATACTATAACTAGGTATCCCCAACAGTGCCCTTATTCTGATATGTTACCACGGAGAGGTCGAGAATCATCATAGAGGGTTACTTAGTGCGTTTGCTTGTCACTTTCATAAAAGCATTGAGAATTGCTGGGGCAAAATGACAAACATTGTGTGCCCCGACTATTGAAAAAGGTATTCACAACAAAACATAATCTTTGTAGGCAAGACGTTGTACTTTCCGTCACTGAGAGTGAGAACTTTGGTGAAATACTCTCAACCAGAGTGTTTTGTAAAATGTAATCTAATTAGCTGAACCTATACTATACTCATTGAAAATTACTCTCTTTAGGTAATTTGACATGTTTCGACGAGTTACATTTTATATTCAATTAGAAAAGTTAACAAGTTATTATGTGGCTACACGTGTGTCTGTACTCTACGTGTGTCACAATGATGTAAATATATATATATATATATATATAGAGAGAGAGAGAGAGAGAGAGAGAGAAAAAAACTTACATTTCACGGTTAGGGTCACCCCAGTTATACCATCCTTTGGGAATGATGATGTTGTCCATGTATGTATAAGCAAAGACAACGCGAGAAAAGGGACCCCAAGCCCTTCCAAGGTAAAGTGCCCCTGAGCCCGTGACCTTACAGTGGACAAACGAGAATCCCGTGTCTTGTAATAAACTGCTTCTTCCTTGAGCTGTTAGGGCCCCTGTAACTCGTGCTATGGCATGCACGTGACATCCCTAGTAAGTGTTTCCAATGTAATAACGTAATCTAATCAGAACACAACTTCAACTTCTTACCAAACCAAACCAAAACAAACCATGCTCCTCAGGGCATATCAGTAAATAGCTCAATGCTGAGGGTATCCCGTGTCTATCATTCTTAATCAAAACATTATTTAAATTTTCTTTTCATTTGAAAATAACAGAGACATAGAGGTAAGCACAAATTAGACTCCACTTCTGGTTAATTTATTGAATAATGTAATACAAAATTGGTTAGGTTATACTGATGCTGCTTAAATTAAATTAATGTGAAGACATTAGTACAAATCCTCAGGTTGTTTATCAGCAATAATTCAAGATGACAGGTGTAAAATTTTGGAGAGAAAATCTAACCTCGAAGAGAGAGAGAGCGTTTCCAAAAATGAAATCGACAGAGCCTTCGATGTAACAATCCTTATAGTAATGCCTACCCAGTTGATCATAGAGTGTGTCCTGTGCTCCCAAGAATTTGCAGCCTAGGAATATTGCATTGTCTGCTGAAATTCTCAATGCCACTGCTTGCTTTCCAACTGCCCCTGGTGCTGGAATTGGGGCAGTGTTCTGAAAGCATATTGAACAACATTTTGTTGAAGAAACACAGGCAGGGTCAGATTATATTGAAGCAGAGGAATGGAGCTTGTTACTTACTTTGAATGTGATATTCTTGGCTATGAAGAAAAGTGAATTCACTGCAAACGTTGCAGAACCATAGGTTCCTAATGGCTGGCTTTGAGCAGTGTCACCCCATTGAACGATGGTATTATCCGCTCCAGCTCCTTGTATTGTTATGAAGGATTTCAAAGGAGGAATGTTAACTTTCTCCCTGTGTAATTACAAAAAAAAAAAACAAAAAAAAAAGTAGCAAATAGATTTTCAGTTAAATGAAAATCACAATTTGTTAATAAATGATTATAGAAGAAAACTTGAAAGTTGTGCAACAAAGAATAAAATAAAAGGAGGACAAGTCTGAAAGAAAGGACAGTTCATTAGGTGCATAGTCTCCTGTAGTCAAAGACCGATACTCAGGGCATTTTAATCAAAAGGAAAAAGACACCCAAGTTATTATCACTTCCCTATGTACCAAATCACACAAAAACAAAACAACAAATAATAATAATGAACGGCGACAGGACAAACAAACACCAAACCCCATGTCTCACATGAACAAAACCATAAATACCGTAAACAAACAACACATTACAAAAAGACTTGAATGTGGCAGAATTCAAGTGGAGTAACTAGAAATAAAATACTCGTACTTACGTGTAAACCCCTGCATGGACCTTAATTACCACTCTCACTAAATTGATGAAAGGAAGGGAATCAATGGCGTCTTGAATTGACGAAAAACCTCCTTTGCTTGGCATCTTAGAAACGTGCAAAGTGTGAGAAGGAAAAAGCTTATTCTTGGCTGTCTTAAAGACAGAATGTTTGAGGCCACCTACAAATCTCACCCATTTCATGAACTGCTCCTCTGAAAATTGGACTCTGGTCATATTGGTAGATAGACCATTCCCAGGCCTTGGTCTAATTCCCTTGGTATGGCATTGCGTTGCACTTGGATTTTGTAGAAGAAGAATAACAACTACTAAACCATAGAAAATGGAATGAAAAATTGACATCCTCGGAGAGAATGTGTGTAATAATGAAGGGAATGTGGTTTGGAACTACAACTGCTGTGTGAATTGGCTTGTTTCACGGTTTATATACAAGTTAATAATAGTACTTGTTTATAGGTGGCACTGGAAAGCGAAGCTGAATCAGAGAATCAATGACAGAGAGATAGGTCACGGGTGCTTCTACTGACATCTATTGAGAGAGAGAGAGTGTGTGAGATGAGCAATCCAAACCACAGGACAGGTTGCACTTTTTGCCTATAAAAATGTTGTTTGAATTTTTTTTTTTTAATGTTTGGCCACTTTCACTTTGTTGTAATTGTTGTTGTTTGTTTGGTGCTGCCCGTGAGCCCCTCTCTTTCTGTTTGTGTGATCGTGGAATTATTCTTGTTGAGATGATGGGTCGTTTCAGATTGTGCTCCTAAGAAAACCATATTTTGTAAAATATATTTTACTGAGCTAACTTTTGTGCAGCTGCATGCTTATACTACCTACCTACCTTGAATCATCGCCGAACAATAGTTGGACCCTCCTATACATAACTGAGTGCTAGTTTTTTAGTTTAAATTTTCTATTAGAACACTTCTAATGGTTGAGGTTGATTCCCAATTCCAAACTCCAAGTAGTTGGTGAATCAGAGAAGCACCATGGTCTCCCAAGGAATAATTGGTAAAAAATGAAGTCACAAAGCATTGCTGTGCCTTAAGTTATAGCTTCTATGAGTGAAAAAACTCACTATATGGCATAAATAGCCACTATTTTTTGTGCTTTGGAGGACTATCAAATTTTGTTGTAAAGAAGTGCTAGTTTTCTTTTTGGAAGATTCTCAGTGTACTTTTTTTTTTTTTACTTCCACTATCATCAGTGGCTTCTCTTGCTGGATCTTTTTTGGTTCTTATAAAAAAATGGTTCGCTATTAGCAACTCTTTTCCAAACACAATTTTAAATTCTGCATTAAGACCTCTGATTTTTATATGATAATGATGATTCCGGTTCATAATATGTACGAGAAAGCATATATAGTTCAAATAAAGGGCTGTTTTTTTGGTTACAAAATATAGTGCTAATATGTTACTTGTAAAATACAAACACTCGAATAGTGCAAGTTAACCACAGAAACACTTGAATTGATCCAAACCTTTAGGAAAGGGAAAGTAATGAAAGGGTTAATTGTTGATTGAAGACCCCACTAATTCCAATCACGAGGTGAGTTACTCTTACCTGTACTGTACCAGTCCCAGAATATCAATCATCATTTTGTCTTCTCTACCAATCCTTTCAGACTCAACTGGGTTTTGAGTTGTAAAACCGGGGCCAAACTAGAACAGCCGTAGAAATCTTTTATTAGAATTTCACTTCTTGGGCTGTTGGGAAGTTTGTTGTTTGACACATTCATACCATGAATAATTTATATATTTTGTAGTCTCATATTCACCACTCTTATAAACAACTTTCTTTTAATATTATAATAATAATTTTCTTTATTTTTATTTTTATTAAATTATTCTATAGATTATTATATTAATAAAAATGAGTTGTTTGAAGAGTTGTATGATTCTCGTTGTCAAAATATCACCACTCATTCTATTAGGAAAATGATATTTTGACAACCTAAATCCTCCAATAAACAATTTTCTTTTAATATTATAATAATAATTTTCTTTATTTTTATTAAATTATTTTATAGATTATTATATTAATAAAAATGAGTTATTTGAAGAATTGTATGTTTTCTTGTTGTCAAAATATCATCACTCTCTATTATTCACTACTACTTACACGATAGTTATAAAAGGCTCTCCTCAGCGGTTCCATAAATTGAAATTGAAAGTCTAATTTTTAAATTGATGGTTATTTATTATATTTTTTAAAAGTTTGAACCATTATCAAATTAATTTTTTAAGAGAATTATCATCGATAGGATTCAAAACAAGTATCTTAAAGTTAGAGGTTAATACTCCAACCACTAAACTACTAGAATTTTCTCGATAATAATTTACGAATAAATTATATTTATATAAAAATAAATATATATCCGTGTAAATATATAAATAAAAATATATTTATATATTTTGAATGTGAGGGCACGCTCGAAGGTAAAAATGTGTGTCGAGTGGGTTTTCAAAATTTAATGTCAAATTTGTGAGCGGGTCTTTTTATATGAGTTTATAATTTAATGATAGAATATAATCTTTATAATTTATTTATATAATGATATAAAATAATTTTGGGAAAAATGTCATTCGCTTAAGCAACACATTCGTTTAAGCAACATATTCGCTTAGCGAAAAATACCAATTTTTGCTCAAGCGAGATATTTTCGCTTGAACGAGTGAATTTTCGTGAGCTTTAACGTATTTTTGCTCAAGCGAGAGTCAATCTCACTTTCACCCTCGAGCGCCCCCTAACATCTAACATATAAATATATAACTATATAAATATATTTGTATTTATATATTTACAGAGATATATATTTATTTGTATATAAATATAATTTATTTGTAAGTTATTATCGGAAAATTTAGTAGTTTACGTGGAAAGCATATTCTGTAGTAGTGATTTCAAAATGACTTTTTGGCATAACAAAAAGAATGAAATGACATTGATCCAACTCTACCTAATAACGATTCACATCTCTTATCTTAGGATTTAGGGAAAAAAAAATTATTGTCAACCTCTTTCAAATATGAATATACCTGATTTAGAAAGGAAGAACTTGCATCAGTATCTCAATTTCAATTCAAACATGGGTTGGATTAACACTCCATGTTCTGAGAAATATTTATCATCCGAAAAAAGGAAAAAACGGAGTTCATAGTTTTTTTTTTAGGAACTGACCCATTCCCTTTTTTTATATGCTTGACAATCGAAAAGATTTATGAGGGAGGGGTCATTAGAACGTCAAAAAATGAGAGAATTAAGAATACCCGCTAGAAACACTAATCCGATCCATAATGATGTACAGGAAAATAGAACATTTTTTTTGTTTGACCAACCTTCAGGAGAAACAAATACAACGGGTACACTTATCAATAAAATAAATGAAATAGCAATTAATGTAAAAACAACTAATTGGAAAGCAATAGTCATGTTTCTAATCCTCCAATTTACAAACAAAAGAACCTCCTCTATCTGTTGCAAGTCGAGGACTACCCCCTTCTTCAAACTTCGATTCATATTTTTCATAGAGAAATCTCTGAGCAACGATAGAATAAGATCCATTTTAAATCGTATTTAAGGGATTCCTTGGTTCAGTAGGTAGAAAATATCTAGGGGCGCGAGACAACTCTCTCTGAGGAACTCGACAAAATAGCCCCGTAACTTCGGGAGAAGGGGTGCCTCCTCAAAAAGGGGGTCGCGGTGACCAGACGAGGGCGACTGTTTACCAAAAACACAGGTCTCCGCAAAGTCGTAAGACAATGTATGGGGGTCGACGCCTGCCTAGTGACCTTCTGCGGGGTCCCAAATGAATTGGCTTATTCGTAAAAAGCTCTATTATTTGGAAGATCTATCTCATGTCTAGTACTGCATGGTTTCACCCTGCAAGAACTCTGAATCATTCTCTTAAAGCTCATCCTTTTCATCATAAATGATATGCTTGTCCCATACGATCCATACTAGATCTGACCAACTGCCCATCCTACCTCCTCTACGTTCTTGTCAACCCGTCTTTGTCTCAGTAGAGTTTTTCAATAGCATGTTTCACTACAAGAAAAATCGCTTTTAGCGACCGAAAAAATCGGTCGCTAATGGCCAAAATTCGGTCGCTATTCTGTTAGCGACCGAAATTAGCGACCGAAATTGTTGGTCGCAAAAGGGCAAGTCGCTAAGTTGTTAGCGACCGATTTACATTTCGGTCGCTAAATAGCGACCGATCTGGTGGTCGCTAAATAATTTGGTCACTTATTCATTGGAGACCAAAATAGCGACCGAATTAAGTGGTCGCTAAATCGGTCACTAAATCCGTGGTAAAGTTTTAAAAAATAGCGACCAATATATTCGGTCGCTAATATATTAATATAATTATTTAAATAATAATTAAAATCGGTCGCTAAATAGCGATCGAAATGAAAATCGGTGGCTAAATAGCGATCGATTTAAATCGATCGCTAAATCAATAACAAATTTAATTATTTTTATTTATTTACATTTTTATTATATTTATTATTTATGTTCCCTACCTCTTAATTATATTATATTTTTGTTTATTTAAGTTTTTATTTATATTTATTTCTCCTATCTCTTAATTATATTATATTTTTTAGAAGTTTAACTTATTATTAGGTGATTTATTGTCATTGTCGGGATTCGAACCCGGTACCTTAGAGTTGGAGGTTGAAACTCCAACCACTGAGCTACTAGGATCTTTTAATAATAACTTACAAATAAATTATATTTATATACAAATAAATGTATATCCGTATAAATATATAAATATAAAATCTATAAATAAAAATATATTTATATATTTTAATATATATTTAAATATTGATATATTTATATCTTTATATATATTTATATTTTTATATATTTATATCTTCATATTTTTACATATATTTATATCTTTTCATATTTATATATAAAGATATTAGTTTTCTATATAAATAATATTATAATATAGTATATTATACTATTAGTATAGTATACAAATAATATATTAGTATAGTATAGTATACAAATTATTAATTTTGTAATTTATATACAATGAAAATAATATAATGGTATATTAGTATAGGATAGTATATTTGTATTCTAATTTTTAATTAAATTAAAATTATGCTAATAATGTATATTAATATATGAGGGGATAATATTGATATATTGATATATTTGTATATATATATATATATATATATATATATATTTATATATTTATATATTTATATATTTATATATTTATATATTTATATATTTATATATATATATATATATATTTATATATTTATATATTTATATATTAATATATTTATATATTAATATATTTATATATTAATATTTTGATATAT